TATCGTTGCATGGACATCAATTCGCCAATCGTTGTCGGTTGACGTAGACTCGCACGCGGTCGTCAATACACCGCTCATTAACGCTATATTGTTATTGACAAATTAAAGTGATGATGATTCTGAAGACTATACAGCACCGTCCCTCACCCAGGACGGTTATTGTCCCTTACTGTTCTAGGAGTTGTACACACTTCCTGTGATCATCAAATTCATCAATGTACCCATATAATAATAAAATACGAGCACTATTATTATTCGCTTACGACACTCAGCAGCGGTCGATTATGACGATCCCCAGTGTATTATTACTCACGACGACAGTTGACACCGAAATAACATGGTAGGTAGATATATAGTTTTGACGTACCGCGTTGCAGTATAGTAGGTACCAAACTATATTGGGGCGTTGGATCGCGGTCAAGAAAATTCGCAGTGGTTTTTCTTACATGGGAAAACGTGTCGGCGCTTCGTCAAATTTCGATTCGCAAGCCAACTGGCGACACGCCGAAAACCTGTGTCCCATACTACGTACCGTCGGAATGCAAAAATCAACAGCCCGCCAACGAATTAAGGAAGGAAAACCCGTGACTTTTATCGAGTTCAATTAGCTGAAATATTATTATACAACGGTATTATTGTGTACAGCGAAATCAGTTGTAACTTCCCGCCATCCACCTGTCCATATTTACAACGTGTATTTCCCCTCCTCCCAACCCTTGTGTCTTGCTTTCGCCCATGTGGTCACGCCGCTTCCACGAGTCATCTAGTGAAGAAAATAAAAAAAGACTATTACGCACGCACCGCCGCCGCCGTTCACTCTATCTCAGTCGAAATAACAATAATAAAAACAACAGCAAGAAACGGGTTGGCGGACACGCATATATCATTATTGTATATACCTATAGTTGAAAAACGGTCACGACTCAACGGTTGCCGATTTTGTTCGCGGCAGTGGGCGGCCGTGGCGCACTTTCCGGCAACGTCGCATTGATTACTCAAAATCCCGGCGACGACCCGGTGTGTTCATGCGTGCGTGCCGGGCGCGCTGCTCGTCGCTCGGGCCTCGGCGGCACCATTGCCGCCGCCACTGCCAGCAGACAACAACGTGTTGTGTACGCGCTCGGAGTAACGTTGCGGAGTTGTTGTCGGCCTGGCGGCGGTACATGCGCAACACGGCTATAGCCGAGCCCATGTGCTTCGTCGTGCGCGGGCCACCGCCTCCCCTCCTCTTGCCTACCCGCGCCATCCGTTGAATAATGTTGTTTCCTTCGACCGAAACAGCTCGCGTAACTGCGTTCATTAGCTTTCTAATATTATTTACTTGTGAAAAAACAACGGTTCAATCACATTTTATTTGTACGGCTCATTGTTTTAGTCGTTAACGAACAATGCTTGTACGTAGCAGCGGCGGTGGCAAACAAACCTATAACGATAGAACACACTTTTTTCTATTTAGCTGTCCAAAACAACATTATAATATGAGCGTTTAGCGGCGATGGGCATTTGAAAATTTGCTAAAAAGCAACTGTCGTCCGTGACGTTGGCGAAACGGTAATGTATGGCCATCGATAGATTATTACGGTTGCCAAACGGCCATCGTATAAAAAATACTGCCGCCGAAGCACACATTTAACCCAAATGCTAACCTACCACTCGATAAAGATCAAACGCCATACACTTTTGAAAAGAACATTTCTCAGTTGCTTCGGATACAATTTTCAGACACTACACTAAACCCGTATCGATGACAAAAATCTAACCCGCTGACTGTGGGACGATTTTCTAGGAATAGTCAGGCTTTCGCCAAACGCGAAAGCCGCCATCGCGTTTTTAATTCAAATTAATATCCCACAGATAATGTTTCATTGATTTTCATAACGTCGAACCGTTGATTATAACTATAGATAATAATGTCTACCTTCAATTAATTACTATGTAAATGTCGTGCGCCGAATAAAAATTCTCACTGCCGGTTTATTGTATTGTAAAACAAAAGCTATACATACCCTTCGGGATTTTCGTGGTTAAATTAAAAAATAAAATTATGATATCTCGATAACAAAATATGTTCAACAATATATCTTGCGATAATTTATCTGCTATCGCCGCACGTTTTCGCACGATATTATAAATATTATGTACAACAAATAAAGGTTTCTTATTACGTGAAGATTCAACAAAGATAATAACTATAGTGGCACATTACAGTGGATATTCCTTATATTGTTTATTAAGTTATAAAACTAACGGAAAAGCTGTCAGAATACAATGTAATATGACTACTGCTAGTCACTACCTGCTGTCTATGGATTAGTATGATTTAAACGATACTACGCCGAAGGTGTAATAAAAACTGTAAACTAAGATATCAACGAAAACAATAAGAAGAAACTCGAATCCATTTCGTTCAATAAATATAAATCACACGCGGCATTGTTTATAAAAATGTCAACAAACATATTAACAAAGTCAAGTTTTACTAGAAATATTAAGAAGTACGATAAGTTGTCAATAGAGCGATTAAAGATATTTAATGGGTCTGTTGTTAATATAATGGTTGATAACGGAACAGAAAAAAAGGAATAGCCCGGAGCGAGACACGGCCAGAGCGCTCTTCAAAGGTCACTTATATACCTGTAATGTCAATTGTCATGCGCCAGGAAACTCATAGAAATTTAATTTACTCAAGTACACAAGCGTGTAAATAAGTCGCTTGGGGAAATACTAGTTGCGGCAATGGATGTTCAACGATTTATGTTGACGGAAACCCGTGTTTCATTTAGCGTCATCATTTTACGAATATTATGTATTTTGACACCCGTAATGGACACACGCATATTTCGAAGCGATATATTAACAGGAAAGTTAATAAAATGTTTTTCATTTAAGTATATAATATTTGAACTCGCTTGTATATCAGCCGTATTGTGTTAAAACAAAAAAAAAAAAATTGTAACAATACAACGATGTTTTAGGAACCGTGTTGGTTGTATTGTGAATCCGACTGTCAAAACATATTATCGTATTATCAATATTTGTTTTCGAAAACCAATGTACTAAGACAAACACACGAAATAGCTGGTAATTTTTGTCACACAAATGCGCAATCATTATTCCAGTGTAAATTAATTCGAAAAAACGATGATTGTACGAAAGAGTAAAATAAATATTATTAAACCGGTTTACGGGATTTGGCCAAAAACAAAACATAAAAAATGAATTCAATCGAGACAATCGTAAACAAAAATCATTTCATAATCGGTAACGGTAATTTTTGTTTAGTTGTTGTTCCAAAATGTTGTGACCAATACATTCTTTTCGAACAAGATAATTAAAATAAATAGTAGTTGTCAGTCACCACAATCGCTTACCAAACACGATAGTAAAACTATCAAATGTATTATTAAAAACCAATATTGTCTACGAATACATTACTAAATAATATTATTATCGCACGATAACCAATAAACACGACGTGGAACGTTTGTCATGACGCGTTACATATAAATAAACGAATTAACATGAGATAAAAAATATTTTCCCCGTGTTATACATGCGCATGAATCTTAGTAGCAATTATACAATTTCAGTATTAAGACGAGATCGGTTGAATAACCGTATCCAATAATATTAAAGCTGCTGCAATTAGTTTTCTCCCCAGACAAATGATAAATACTAGAACAAGACCGCTCTAGTATGAGGAAAACACACGTTGACCGAAAAATATTATACATGAAACCGAAGACGGACGATCACGAGATTGGTCACAGTTGTCGGACACCATCTCCTCGATCGCTACCGTCGTGGGGAAATGTGGCCACCAAGGGAAACTCAGGCTCGCCAACCGCTGCGTTGCGCTTGCAAAATTAGTAGCTCTGTTGTTGTGGCGGCCACAACCAGAGTTCGCCATTCACCTTACGGTCAAATTTGCGTAATGAAAAAAAAAAAAAGAGGCCTTGCCGAAATAGTCTCCTACCCAGTAGCTACAGAAGAAAAACGAGTCACCTACGGTAAGACTTTATAAAAAAAAAAAACAAAACAACCTAATTACCGCCATCCTAATCGATCAGTCGGCATAGCGCGCGTGTACGTAAGGTTTAAACACATAACACACTTTGCCCGCACGCACATGGCAAGCTTACGGCAGGCCGCGTGCGGTTAAAAAATGAAACACTACGTAAAAAAAAAAAAAATCGCGTATCTGCGGCGGAGGGGAGAAAGTACATACTCCACGTGGTCGGCCGTGTGCCGACGGCAGGATGGCCAACTTCGCGGACTAGTAAAAACGTCGTTTATGTCGCTGCCCCGCCCGGCACCTATATTATTATTATTATACAAATTTGACGAATAAAAAATAATAACATAAAATTTAATTAATTCGACTCGTTTCGGAACAGTCGAAGGGGAGGGGGGGGTGTAGTAAAAGTCTTGTAACCGTCGAACCGAGGTTCCGACTGGAGGGGAGACAGCCATGTGGCAAATGTTTACACGCTTACACACTCATGCTGTGGCGAGTGGGCCGTCGGGAGGTGGGTCGGTGGCATTGGCGGCGGGGCGGAGAGAGGTAGGGCGAGTTTTCCCGCAGCACGTGACCTTCAGGATACTGGTATCTTCGAGCGCGCACATAGGAATCCACGCTATAGCAACGGCGGCGGCGAGCCACCACACCACAGCACACGTTGCGAGAGAGGACAACGAAGGTCATTCCACAAATACAGTGTGCGCCCTGCCACGCCCGCTCTCTATCCGTTCACGGAATCTTCTCACTCCCTCCCCCGCCCTTTCTTCGACCACCAGCCGAATCAACGTTACTGCCACACCGCGACCCGCCTGCCTGGCCGGCACGACACGGCAAAACGCGGTGTATCCCCCCGGCGGAGTAACCTACACACAAGGGTGACCCGTGTTTTTTCCCGGCCGTTTGGATACCTACGTGCGCTGTGTTGTTGGTTTGTATGTAATAAACGGGTAATTATTGTAGTACTATAACGACTAATTACCAGCTGCGTGTAAAGTGACCAACTGTTGTTTCTCGAACTCTTCTTGTAACTCGACGAATCGGGCGGCCTCAAGCAGTGTCTGCAGCCCGCATCTCATGCTCATGCTGGCCCGGGCAAGCCACCTCCTCCGTCGTCGTCCACGTGTCAACCGCAAACATATCACAGTGCCCTGGACGCAAACAACATTTACATAATCGCGGGACGCCCAGCCGTGCGGAGTCACGCTCGCCGAGGACGCTTCATGTTCGTACGATTTTTAAAAAAAAACGATACGCGCCAACGAGCGGCTGCTAATTATTGCTCGACGAATGAAAAGCACCGTGAGAAAAAACCGTTTGAAAAATACGCAGACGCGAACACGTTACAGCTGTTGGCACTACCGCCAAACGCAAATTTACAAATACCGATAATGAATAATAAACGTATCAACCGTTGCGTTGAAACTCACGCGTGTCCGTCATCGGCGGCGGTCGGTGCTTACTAGTCGTGTGTGCGGTGCCGGGTGCGCGGCGACGGGCTACGTGGTGTGCGTAGGATTTTCGCGAGCCGAAATGATCGGCGGGGCCCGGGCGCTGCACGCTGGCCGTTGCTCACGTGTCCGGGCTGCCGTCCAATCCTACTCGTACAAGTCCGCCGGGTGGGCGTGGCGTAACTGCAGCGCGGCGGTGGCCGTATCGAGTCGTGCGTGTACGAAGTACCAGCAGGCAGCACTCCGAGCTGATCGCCGCACACGCACAAGCCTGTCGGGCTGCGCGCGCGCGGCAAAACTCGCAGCTAGCAGACTATTATTGTTATTGTATACACAATAGTAGATAATAATATATTATTATTATTGCGCTATTAGTCTAGCGCACGTTGCCGCTCGCCACAGCCTGTTTTTAAATACGCACCGTAAGTCGTAACGAACGTACGTAAGACCGTAAATCGTCGAAGACATTTTCCCTACCTGATCTGTTTTTTTCTCTCTCCCGGCCTGGACTAGTTCTCACTCCTGGACTCCTCACTACTTCACTCCCGTTTCACTCCAACGTAGACGCAACACACGATATGGCTAAACGCAACCGTACATTTATAATGTTTTTTTTTTCGAAGCGATTGCGGAGAGCAAGCAATTTGGCAACGTTTAATAATTTGTTTTTGCGCTTGCGCACTTGAAATTGGCAATACAATGTGTGCGGCACGCTCGTAATGGTTGAATGCCTATAGTAGGTATATGCTACATAGTATCATGTATATCATATGTTCATCATAGATCATGAAAGAGGGAGGGAACACGGCGTCCCAGACCAAGCTCATTGGAGTTACGGCGGGTACAATGCAGGAGACTCAATTTAAGGGGAGACCCAGGGAGGTGAAAAAAAAGTACACCAATCGTGTCGTTGACCGACAATCGGGTCAAGGGGACTTTGGTAAGAGAAACGGATTTGAATTATATGCAAAATTATTTTTCTAGCCGTAAAAAATAGAAATACCGTGTACTTGCATTGATGAAATTTAAAAAACCGGCGCTTTTAAGAAAGAAATTGGATAGGTTAAGTATCAGTACGTAATTGGCAATTTGTTTCGTTCAGTCAAATGACTGATAAAGCTATTATTTATATTTAATTGAATGAAATAATCATCGTTTTAGCATGATAAATATGAAATAATCTCTTGAAAAGTTGTCGTTTCGCTATCGCTATAAAAAAAATAAAACATTAAAGTTCTAATAAAAAATAATAATAATAATAATACCAATATACACAGAGTAAAGAAGAATAGACTATAGTAATAACATAACTCTATATAGGGATCTACACGTAAGACGCATATTTAATTTAAATAGGTAGGCAAATTAATTAAAACTTTCGATTTTTTAGTTTTCTTTGGTGCTGAATCTAAGTGAATAGCTGTAAGATAGTCAGATATCGGGTTAAATATAGAATGTTCTAAACATCTTTTGCTCCAAATAACAAATTTCTTTTCAAAGCTATGCATTCATAATTTTTGTTATAAGTATTAATATTATTATGTATTATGTATTATTATTATATTATTATTGTAGACTGTAGTTTTTATGAATATTTTACAAATAAAAATTAGAATATGAAGTAGTAAATTCTATATATTAATTTATTAAAATTATTATTATATTATTTGAATTTATAACGTTAATACATTTATTTTTCAAACCCGGGTTTTTAATCATACATTATCTGAAAACTTCTATTTGTGTTCTTTAAAAATAAGTATTAAGACATTTTAAAAAAACTACTAAACATTACAAATAAAAACACATTAAAAATATAATTTTCATTTTTTCTTCTGTAAATTGATATAAAAACTAAACAACTTTTTACTTTACTTTAAATACCCTTTTGGGTCCAACCACTTATTTAAAAATTGTGAGTACAGTATACACTAATGCATTTTATTTTGTAGTTTTGCTATGTTATATTATAACAATGCTATGTTATAACATTAAAGACATTTTACATATGAATATGAATTTAAATTTAAATTTTCATCTTTTATTGATGTTTTTGTAGCAATTCAGTTGTAAGCAATTTTTAGCTATTTAACACGGCATTAGCTGCGGTACTAATCTAAGTTTTAATTATAAGATCTTCATTTATTTTAACTCCCCATTTGGTTGTTTTTAGTTTTTAGATACTGACTGACATACAACAGATTCTAATAAAACACAGTTTCTTTATAAAATACATTTATACTAATCAAAATGTATGCCAAAATAAGTTTTATTTGATTTTCTTAAATTAAAAAAGAAATATTTAAAATGTACTAATGTAGAAATTATCATTTGTGTAAAACTATAAAATCAATATGGAAGACTTACTTATTTAATTGATAAATACATATAATTTTTATGTGATTTAAAATATAACTAAATTTTTCAAAAAAGTTAAAAAATGTATGACATTATTCTATAACTAATTGACTAGTACTTTAAAGTTAAATTTTAAAACATCTAACATCAATAATACAGAAAACACATACATAATAATTTTACTTGGAAGGCACTAGCAGCATTGAATTTCAATCATAATACCTTGTAAGCTTCTTTTTTATAAAAGAAGATACTACAAAACGTTAAAATGATTTTGAATACCAATCTACAAAGATGGCGATAAATTACTCATGTATATCACTTTCAGTTCAGTCTTGTGAGTATTTTCAAAGAGAGCTGCCCTGTTTTGACCTTCGCCCTTCTTTATCCAATGGCCGTAAACTCTGAACGCCATCGCATCAATAAGCTAAAATACAAACAAAAAAAAAATTAAAATTTTTTTTTTTAAATTGAACAGTTATTCTATTAACTCACTTTTCTCAAGACTTTGTGCCTATAAGGATCTTGTTTGGCCAAACTCACGGATATTTTTCCAGTCGAACACGGCAACAAATGTAATAGTCGTACCATAACTCGAACTACTAATATTGCGTATAGGAACTTCTTTCGAGCGTTAAAAGGCCGAACCTTAATTTGTTTAGCTAATATAGAGATTTGGTTAAACTTCGTCGATTTCATGCTAAGTGTTCTCTTGAGCGGAGCAATATCCTGATCGAACATCTGAAATGTGTTATACATTTTAAGAATTTTACAGTTAGGTACATATCAATTTTACCGATCCCTTTTTTATTTTATTTGTCAAATAGAAAAGTTACATGAAAAAATGTATTTTTGAGTGAGTTTTGTTTTTAATTTTGAAGTAATTTTTTTAAAAACCATGTTTTACAGTGTCAGTCAAAACATCTTACCATTTACTTTAAAACGGCTACTAAACAAATAAGAACGAAAATGTATAGTACAATAAAAAAGGCAGCATTACAACTTTTTTAAACCTAAAAAACTAAAAAATGGTTTGTAACAGTAAAAAATATAGTTTTACGATATTTTTTGAGCACTTCTTGACTCTTTTTGGATGATTTCTCTGATTAATATAATTTTTACTCATATTTATTGAACCATAATTTATTACTGAATTATTAGTTATTTAAAGTTTATAGTGAATTTAACATTTTAACAAAATAAGAAACTAAATACAGACAATACATCAACTATCAAAAAGAATTATTCAATTTTATTACTATGTAAAAAAATGCCGATCTAAACCAATTACAACTGAAAAGGTCACATATTATTTGTTTGATTTTGGTTTTTTTTTAAAGATAGTTCAGATATATATAATTATTACTTAACAGTTTATGCAAACTGCAACATTATTTTCAAATGTTTTAGTCACTCAATAATAATAGTTTAAAATTCTCACCTGAACCATTAATATATATGTCCTAGACTTAAAAATAATGATAACAAGGATAAAAAAAAAATTATACCAGTTATCACATTAGAGGGAACATTTTAACTGTTAATATAAAATTATATTATGATTCTTTTTTTTTTTTGATAAGAATATCTTTGGTGTTTAGAATTTGGGAAATAGTTTTAATTGAGTTTGTGCCGCCCATTGTAATTAATTGCATCACCCCTTATTATTTTCCCTCCTGTTGTAATTCTTTAAACGCGGCCCTGATCAACATTGTATAATGTAAATCAACTGAATAAAATATAATTACTTTGACTTTGAAAAATGGATGGTCTAATGCTTCATCAACAGTAAGTCGCTCGTGTGGGTTCAGAACTAAAAGCTTCCGAATTAAGTCTTTTGGAGATTCTAAAAATATTTTTAAACATTATTTTTTATTATTTTTTTAGAGTACAAAAAATTCCTGACCCATTTAAATTTTTTTGGGTATACATAAACTATATTTTTGGATAAATACCAAACATTTTCCGGGCTTCAGCATAAAAAAAAAACAATGGGTTTTATTTTCCATGTGAACTTTTCTATTACTTATAAATAAAAATCATAGAATTCATCAAAATAATTCTAATGTGGACTAACTATGTTACTTTTTACCAGAAATATCTTGCCATTCAGGAGAATCAAATGAATATTTTCCTTCCATAATGTTTCTCAGCATAATCATTTGTTTACGATGCCAAAATGGAGGACAACCAATTAATCTGTATAGGAACAAATCTTTTAAAAATTTAAATTTATGCAAATACTTTTTAGTGTATTACGAAGGTAATACTTACAATGTGTACATTACCACGCCACATGCCCACCTGGAATCAGAAAAATACATAATATAAATTAAATCTAATAAATATTTATTGACAAATTCCTAACCTAACCAGTTTAGCTGGAAATTAGTGCAGTTACAATAAATTGTTAATCAAATTATTTCTTGAGGTAAGGTTTACTATTTTATGCTTTTATTTAATTAAATTGTGCCAATAAATTAAATTTAAAAACTGTTTATATGAAAAAATGTATAATTAATAAAAATGTATTTGTACGCTTGATAATTCTAATAGAATAATTTAATACTATTATACTACTGAAACTCAGTACCGAGGTGTAAGTTTTTAAAATGGGGATACAATTCAACAAAATATTGTAAGAACATTTATTTTATTATAATTAAATACAAGTAGGTAGACGTTATTTCCAATGACAACTGAATCTGCTCTCTGTTTATGTCATTCTGTGTAAAGAATTACTATTAAATTAATAAATTTAATAGTCAGGTTAGATGATTACCCCTATGTAATAACTTGATGATATATCTATTATCAGCATTCGATTGATATGAAAGTATTTTACTACAATTTAGTTAAACTAGTAATAAATGATAACAATTAGGTACTTACAAGTCGCATGAAAAACCATATCCTTCAGCATTGTCATACATATTAACTTTTAGCACTTCTGGAGCTAAATAATTTGGTGTCCCGCATAGATCTTGTAAAAAAAATTAAAATGTAGCAATAATTTAAAGAAATCAGGAATACTAATTTAAATTAGTAGTCACCTCTGAGTAATTGCCCTTGTTTCAGAACACTAGCGAATCCAAAATCAGTAAGTTTTATATCCATGGCATCGTCTAATAATATATTTTCCGGCTTAATATCTCTATGTACAACACCTTGATTATGAACGTGTTGCAAAGCTTCGAATAATTGTCTCATGATGTACCTAGTTTTTTTCTCAGACAATGTAACGACATTGGTTAAATAGTCAAATAACTCTCCCTTTCTGCAAAGTTCAAATACTAAAAATATGAATGTCTCGGACTCGAACACGTCATGCAAATGAACTGAAATGTATAATACATTTGAGTTTATTTAGAATTTTACTGCTCAATGGTGTTTTATCTAATGTATAAATTAAATTAAATGTAATAGTTGGTGAAATCTAACACCTTAATAAAGTACCTACTTATATACTGGTGTCCAATGACCATTCGTAAAATGTTTATTTCTTCCATAGTAGCTTCTCTGTTTTCGGGATCGTTACTAAGATCGATTATTTTAGCCGCAAACTCCATTCCAGTTTCTTTTTCAATACATCGTCTAACTGTTGAGCTGACACCTCTAAAATACAAATTTATACGATTTATGAATGGATAAAACTACCCACGTCCACACTGACCATGCTTTTAGAAATTATTATTAAAAAACCCAACCTTCCGAGTATTTCTTTGGGTTCGTATCTTGCATAAAACTCTTTTGCTGCATCTTTATCGGGTAATTCGTCGTCTTTATTGTCCATTTTAATAAATTGGAAACCCGTTACGCTTGCAGACAATTACAGAAGTTAATGTAAATAATAATTACAATTTACTTTGTACAGGCATCGGAAAACAGCTAACAAAAAAAAACTTAATGAAAGGGTTCAAAGGTAAAACAAAGATATTTAAAAATACACTCCGAAGTTGTGTAATCATAAGGAGTAACGAGATAAGAGTGATTATTATTTTTCATATAATAAACAATGAAAATGATAAAAAGTTCACCGAATGAACCACGGTTGTGTATAGTTAGATAACAGATAACTTCACTTTCAATTAATCGTTATTTTGTTATGTAATCCATAACGTAGGCCGTAGATCATGAGTCATTCTGTCATGGTCAAGGTAGATTTATAAGTTGTGATTTTATAATTCCACCTTGATCATGATTAAATTGACTATAATAAACACTAAACAGGCGTGATTGTTGGGTTATAGCAATGATTATAAATACATTGTGTTTATACAACAAATAGTGTTTATAATTAATGGTTACACCACAGAGTAATTACTATGGGGGTTACATTGCGTAGGATAGTTCTTTCGTGGACTTTAAAAACATGTATTATCGTGTAATTATTCATTAAAACATCTTCCATGACTGATGGGAATGTGTGCACTGTGCATATTCGCAGATAGAAAAGTTCGTAATCTAGCTAGCAATCATGCCTGTTAATTTATATTTGGTAATGGCGTGTGACAACATAGATTTTTATGTATGCAGTATGTTTATACTTCTATTTATATATATTTTCTAACGTTATGGCGTAGTAACCGTGCAAGTGAGTAAGCAATTGCATCGGGTGCATTTACTGGGCATGAGCGCAATAGAGACTTAATAATTTTATGATAAAATTAGTGCGATGTACTTTACACTATTAAGTATTAACTAACAATCATCACAATTTACAAACATAAAGTCTGTAGGTAATAACTGTTAAGTATTATGGTGGTCCTTATTTTTGGTCTGGTCGAATTTGTATACAACAACTCCTAAAACTTCAGCATAATATATACATTTTTAGTCCCGTATTTTACACGGTACAATTTTATTTTTAATAGAAAACTAGTTAAAGTTGCTTTTTTAATTTAAATCATTTTTTCGGAATGGAATATCGATGTGTATAGTATAAAATCTAAAACTATTTATTAAAAAAAAATTATTAGTAGATTTCCTATTGAATTAACTTATTTTTCTCCTTAAATATTCCCATTAAACAGTGACTTAAGAATAAAGGTAGGTACAGGCAATTTTCGGCAAATATTAGTTTTAATCTATAACTTTAATGTTTAGTATGTAAATGAGAATTTTTCATTGGTAATTTATTTTCTTTATCAGATTATCACCGCTACCATAATAACGTTTAAAATTATTTTTTTAACCTAAACATACCATATCCATATTTCTCAAACCATATTGAATTTATAGCAAAACTATTATCAAATCCGTTAAAAATAATATAATATCTGGGTACCGTATGTTGGTGGATTTTCGATTAATGGAGACAATTTTCTATTATTTTACGAACAAAAACCTACTTTTTATAAATTTTTCATTAGCTAAAACTCCGTTACTATTTACAAAATCCACCAACGTACAGTGATTAGAAATATTACATACGTCATGTTTGACTATTTACTCTAAAACTACTACTATTTAGTCATCGAGTTAACTTTTAACTTAAGTAGAAAAAAGCCCATCTCTGTCAACAACTCACTACTACTGACTTTGAGAACACATTTAGCCTTCGGAGTTCGAATAATGCAATACTCAATTTTATTAAATCAACTGACAATGAAAGTTACAACACAAAGTTATAATATACATAATTTTATAATCATTAACATATTTTGAACTAATATAAATATTAGTATAATAGGGCGTAGGTTTTATTTCATACATTTAGCAGATTGCACACACAAATCAATAAAATTATTCATATCTTTTCCTAAAAGCCAATGACTAACGTTGTTGCAAAGTTTTATTGGATTTTGTATTTCTATCCTACTAGAACATCCAAAATTCGTGTCTACGATTGTCTTTGTTCTTCCAAACATTTCTCTTTGGTAACGAAAGTTTTTTTCCGAGCTAGATTTCGTTAAGAAATCTTTGTAGAATGTTGACTTTGGAATTAACTGGCCGAGCACGGGACACAGTACATAATTTTTTAGCGTGGTAGTATCCGAGTAAAACTCGAACACACTACGGAGCAGATCCCATTTAGATGTATGCAAATTAACCGTTGTCAATGTAGGCACACGTATTTCTTGAACACAAATACTCGTATCCCAACCTGAAATTTGAATAAAACAATAATACAAATCATTTTTGTAAAAACAACTTGCGATTTGTGTATTACGAATAATTATAATTTATAACTAGTTAGTATTTTGTTTAACAGTAATTTTGTGAAAGCACAAGCTGAACATTAAACATTCGATCAGAAATTGTTTTATTTTAAAATGATTAAACTTCCCATTTCAAGGCAGGCGTGGGGCTGATAAGAGATGAGGCGGTAGTGTTATTTCGCACGGTCGCCGAGCCGGTTCGAACTTCGAATCTCGGCCACTAGCGGTATGTATCTCCGGGCAGGCGACTGTCTGGAGGGAGGAATAGCCACCTGTTTCTTGGGATAAGCGTTAGGTTAGCAGACAACTGCAAAAACCCCAAAAAACTGCCAAATCTATGACCGTCTGAGTATAGATGAAACGTGAAAATTAAGCTTTTCATATTTTACTAAATTAGATACAACAAAGATATTTTATTTATAATGCTTAAAAATTGGTGTGGTGAGTGGACAAATCAAATTTCGCAGTTGGTTCATCAGGTCAGGTGTATTTTATTAAGGAATGGATGAACCTACAAGAGCAACGTACCTTAGTGTCTATATGAGTGGAATACGTAGTCTAAGTAGATGAAAGTTCACAAGTGTATGAAATTAAATTAAAACAATAAAGGGAGGCATTTTATAAGAACGGCTCTAGAATAAGCAGATTTAAAACAAATTACTTGAGTTTAAATTTAGTAATATAGTGTAACTTATTAGCGATTATTATGTACCTTCAACAAAATTTGGTTCGTGTTTTGTAGACATTTTCCAAAACTCTATTGTTGGCGGTACGACTTTTTGACGGATTAGAACAAACAATACTAACCAAATAATTGCAAAACTCGACAAATTGTCGTTTATAAGTTCGTGAGTTAGAGCCCATTGTTTGACAATAACACATACAACCCATTGTACTCTTTTGTCCAAAGATAAATATAATCTGAAAATCATAAAATTAAATAAAATGATGGTCAGGGTCAGGCCTGAAAAGTGAAGACTCCATTTATAGCCATTTTGGTGGTGAAAAACGACCTTACAGGAAAATCTCTTACACTTCGTAGAGGTGGCCTATTTCAATAATTTTAGTTTCATTAAAAAAGTAGACTTGCTACAGTACGCTTTGAACTACGATTTTTGTCTACATTACCAAAACAAAACATTTTCGTTTTGTTTTTCTTAACCCATTTTCTGGTTAAGAAACTTGTACAAATTGATCATACTTAAACTCTTATTATAGCGTTCGGAAATTTGATTTTTGAAACTTAAAGTTCAATACATCCTGGATGCCTGTAGGAAGTCTTCTTCTTGTTCTTCAAAAAAAAAAAAAATGATTTAAATCGGACTACTCTACGAGACGAAGGTTTCACCCGTAGTTTGTAAAATTGTATTTTTCAGCAATAAACAAACACACACTTGAATTGTGCTTTGGAAGCACGAATACAAATACTTTCATTCGTGCTTACAACTCTTCAGGGATAAATAAAATCAGTGGCGTACTCTGAGCTTTTTTTTTTAAGAGAAGAAGGTCGGTGTATCTTGACAATATATAAAATATCTACATTTACTCTTGCAACTATTGTACCCCCAACATCCCATACCCCTCCCCCCCCCAAATCTCAACCCCACTCTGTAAGAAAAAAAATATTAAGAGGCACATGTTTAAATATTACCCGACATATGCATATTATATACAACTGAGTTCATGCACATCGAGACTAATTCTGTCAGTGTGTTTGTGCAGAAACAGTAGAGCTGTAACAGTATCAAGCAACTATATAAGAGTACTTACTTTACAAGACTACTGTTCCGCACAGTAAGGCCACTTCTAAAAGATAGATCGCATTTCAGATTGGTAGGCTTATGTCGAAATCGTACTATAGGTACTCGTGCGTCCTTAAGAGTTACTATATTAATAAAATCTTCTGATTTTTCGAAAGATTCAATAAACAAGTCTACTAGCTGAAGTTGCTTTATTCGAGAGTCAGCAATTTTCCCTGTAAAACAACCACCTCCAAAGCAAAAACAACTATTATTATACTAAGTCCAGGAGAACATATTTCAAAAAACTTCAATTATTAACTACAGATTTAGTATATTTAATAAAACTTGTAGTTGAAATTCGAAATATTAATAATTAAAAGTGAATACTATGAATACGTTTATTAGTCATTACATTAAATTTAAGGCTTCCAGCCTTAAATAAGTACGTGTTTTAAATAAATATAAGGAATTTAGTGCTTCAATCTAGTTAGTGTTTAGAACTTTAAAATAATAAATACGTATTTTTGAACATGTATAGTCTGCAGGGGCGTACACGCAGCAGGGGACCCACATAAAGTTCCGATCAAAAATTATATATTACTCTTACAAACATTTTTTTAGAAAATTATGTTTTTCTGAATCAACAAACAATTTTTATAATTCAAAAAACATTTAAAGCACTTTTTTTCGAAAGTTATTTTTTCCGGAACTTTATCGGAACAAATAGATTTTATCCCTCTTAAATCATAATTATGTCATATATCTTTTATATAAAAAAGCAAACTAAAAATCACCTAATATAATATTTATAACTATTTCATTCATTATTAATTATCGTTTAAATTAAAAATAGCCTATTTTATAACCATAATATCCATTTTTAACATTTAACATAGTTTGTAATACTAAATATATATTACCAACGTCAAAGTATAAATCTAAATCACTATCGGTTGTAGCCAACTTATAGACTCGAGATCCGAAAACGTAAACAAATCCAGAATTTATTTTCATACGATCTTGAATGGTTAATTTTATTGCATCGATGCGTTGTTTAAGTTCATTATCGTTGTAGGTCTGGTCCATTATTACCATTAAGTTATCGATTTGTCGGCATAACTTTTGTTTGGTCATTCCAAATATTTCTGTAATTTAAAAATGATTTTCCTATACCTCAATCCTTAATAAATAAAAGATATCACGACCTCTTAAAGAAGAGATAGATAAATGAATTTATCCAGGACTTGGAGAAATTAGGGATTAATTAAGTTGATAATTTGTTTGTAAATTAAGTTGGTACAAATTGTAACGTTCGTCTTTAATCATTTTTTAAAATTAAGAATCGTTTGCTGAACATTTTAACTGATCGATTATCAGTTTTGATTTCTTATTTTATAAGTTTTTTAAGTTAAAAATGTATAACGAGAGGAAGGATGGAGCGTATTAGTTTTTTTATTCTGTCCGCATTATTTAACCACTTATTTTTTAAGTATAGATAGGAACATTAAAATTATTTATTCAAAACTGGTAATCGACCAGTCAAAATATTCAGTAAATTATTTTTCATTTAAAAAGTTAATTTATTAATTACTTATATTATAATACGTTACCAATAAAAACTTCAAAAATGTATAGAGCTCTAGAAAATACTCAAAAAGGGTAAATATTTAGTAATTTTACCACATTGTAAAATAACATAAACAAAAATATTTATTGTAAAAAATGTTGTTATATTTATTTTGGAAAAATATCAATATTCAGAAAAATGAGCGTCTTGCGTTAAATGGAACACTCTGTATTTCAGTATTTGATTATTTTACAAGTAAACTGAAATTATAAGGTTGTTGACGGGAACAACCTTATGCCCTTATGCCAAATTTTGGATTTTGTAAAGCGGTAATCCTGGACCCAGAAAAAAATAAGCTATAATAAATGAAAAAATCTCCTATGTGCTAGCTTCATTGTAGAATAAATAACAAAACCCATCATAATATATTGAATATGTTATAATACACACGTTTATTCCCGTCAGCGATTATATTACAATATTAATACAATTACGCAGTAACCTCGGGTTTCTCCCACTCCTCTTCCTAATGATTTTTCCAAAATGTTAAACTTGCATATTTAATAGCGAACTGATAACATGATTGATAAATATTTAAACTGACAGATTATTGGACAGTATTACTTACAGGCTACATCACGATCTTATATCGTGGTTAACAGTTTATTGCTTTTAATAATTTACTCGAAAGCAAGTACTTTTCCAATAAATAAATAATTTTAAATCAGAAATATTATACTTATCAATATAAAACCTTTTCCTATGACTTACCACAAAATGTGTCTGTATTCGTGATCATTATTCAGACTTTCTAGTTTCTATACCTATTATTATGAGTTATGATAAAAGATGTACAAGTGCAATGTATTATTACGAATAAGGAAAACTACAATCCAGACGACCAATCGGTAGACGGTATACCTACAAACTACTTAATAGTTAATACTTAAACTTATGAGTTATGCTACAGACTACTATAAAATAACTTATAACGTCGATATAGATAGGGAACAAAGTTAAAATATTTAATCAGTGTCACCACATCTTTAAAGCAAAATATTGAAACATAGCAAGTCCCTGCACATTATTTAAATTAGTACTGAAATTGTATTAATCATATTACACTTGTTTATAATACGCGTTGATTCACCAGGATATTGATGGTCAGTGTAATTTCTTCCTTTTTTGGGGTTTTTCATAAATAAATAAATAAATTACAGATTTTTGAGAAAATTGTATATTAAGTTATAGTTCCATTCTAGATCTACCTTCGGTCTAATTTTTAGATCTAAATCCCTAAAACTTTGCTTGAATAAGTGAATTAAAGAAAATATTTCTGTTCCTTCTAATCTATGATTTTTTTTTAGTTTATCAATGTTTATTGGTGGTACTATGTTTAAAAAATATTCCATACAAATTTGGAACTATTCGACTATATTTAAAAAAGTTATAAAGCATCGTAGTTATGTTAAAAAACATGTTAATTTTTTATTTTTGGCCCTTTAAATTACCTTTCATGTACGATTTCTGATCTATTGAGTTACTCTACTACACGAAGAAAACGGTTCAGGGGTTTAAAAAATATTGTGGGTCTAAATACAAAAAATAAAATAAAAACACATCATTGTAAATACAATATCCATTCAGCTCCGCATAAAAGTTAAAAATTGTTATTTTAAAATGGCACTCTTTGTCCAGAAAGTCTGCCCACACATTCTAAAACTATCGAGTATTATTCTTGGGTATATAATAGTATAATTGAAGAACAGTGGACAAATTGTAAGCTTTTAAAATAATTACAGTATATTAATATTGAATAAATATATAAGTAAAACAATATGTTGTGAGTTGTAACGTATTATTAAATATATAGAGATATACATACGTTAGTAAAATATTTAATATAAACAATTACACAGTCTTATTTAATATTACATAAAGTGCTGATGTCAGTTCCATTTTAAATATAAAAGGAAATGTAATTTATTGGTAGTAAGGTTGATCAATTTCATTATAATTACAATTACACATTACACAAGAAAAAAATGGTAGGTCTATCTTTTAACAATGGCAGACAGTGCTCTACTATTAGTTAAATTTTTTTTCGATACCTTTTTGAGTAATTTACGTTGTTTAGCATCATCCAATAGATTACACCAAACCCGGTCTCCCTAAAATATAACAAAACAGCTCGGTAATATTAGATTTAAGCAAAACAATTTGAGTGTAGGTGGTTGTGAAATATTTAGACTGTATCACTTAAGTATAAGAACTTACTTTTAAGGACATAAAATTTCCACAGACTAATAACGATTGTTTCGCTCGAGTTAATGCAACATTTAAACGAGAGGTATCGTCCAAAAAGCCTATTCCAGTAGTGCGTACTGTTGATATTAAAAGTATGTCACATTCGCTACCTTGGAATGAATCTATAGTATTAACGTTCAGGGAGATTTGTCTAAAATACAAAACTAGTAAATTTCACAAAAAAAATAAATGGTCAAAATATTTAAATATTTAAAAAAAAATACTTTATTTCTAATAATGTGTTAATTTGTTCTCTTTGTTTGTGATATGGTGTTAGAACGGCAATTGACAATCTTTGGCATCCATCTATGTTGAGTAAAATTTCTACTAAGCTCACAATTAAATTTGCTTCACCCATATTTGCTTCACTGAAATTTTTTTTTTTTTTACTAACTATAGACTTAATATAACAAAAATATGTTTTACCCAGTATTATCTTGTTGACTATCATGTTCTATTATTAAATATGGATGAATCGGTAACATTTTTCTATCGTGTACCGAAGATGCGGTTTTAATAACACCTTTATAAAAGTATTTTGACGGAAATGAACAAATTTCTTTATGCATTCTATATTGAGTGTCCAGTAGATTAACAGGGATTGAATCCTGTTGATGTTCAGTATTATTATGTTCTAACCAAGACTTAAGTCGCTTGAACAATGAAATTCCAAAACCATGATCCTTAGCTGCCTAAAAATAAAAATAAAAGTGCACATAAATATCTGAATTTATGCATAACTTATAAGGCTTGTAACTTACTTTACTCTTTACTATTGGCTGAAGTTGTTTATCATCCCCAACTAATATGAGTTTATTGATTCCAAGTAAAATGGGTACATAATTAAGAGGTTCAACACTCTGACCTGCTTCATCTACTATACACACTGTAAATGGACACTTGCTCAGCATGCCTCTTAAAATACAAACCAATTTTGTAAACATCACAATTTTACAGAAAACAACATTTTAAAATATAATTATATAAATTAACAGTTACTTATTTGAAGACGACAGGAAAGCATCTTCCATTGCTTTAGAATAGCACGAGTTTAAAGTTGTAACAATAACATCAATATTCTGAAGTATATCTTTTTCAACATCTTTTCTATTGGAATACATGGTTAACGTACTTGGTCTTCCTTTATTCTGATAAATACAATAAAACAGTTATTAAATGTAAAATTATAGAACGATCATTGATATGTTTATGCTAGTAAAATATAATTTAAAATGTTTACAGTGTATTTAATCTAAAAGAAGAAAAAAAATCTAAATGAGGAGAACAGATAATTGAGTGGATAAGGCAGCAATGTGCTGTGCTCATTTAAAACTTGGCCACTACCTAAAGTTTGTTGGTTGGCAACAGACAACATTTTTTAGCTTGGATAGCGAATAGTGTTAAGGGTATTGCTACGGTCTGTTTTTAAGGAGTGCTGTATAAGCAATATTTAAGAGAAATATGAATTTTCACAAATAAATAATATAAAAATGTAGGAACCATTAATAAATTGTATAACTAAATTTATGCTAAATTGTGTAACAGTTATGTAATTTCTAACAGGTTTTTAAAATATATTTTTAGGCTTACATCATTTTCATTAAAAGATCCATCCATTTTTTTTTTAACTAAATTATCTAGAGTCACATTAGAAATAAGTGGATCCATTTTCTGGCCTCCTCCAACTCTTACTACACTGAATTCTATTGGAACTAAAAAACATAATTATAAATTACATTAAAACACAGTACAAATTTAAATATAACCAATAATTACTTGTGTTATTATTTTTTATTTCAACTAGACGTCTAACTAAAACATCAACAGCTTCATTGGAAGGAGCACACACAAGTATTTTATGTTTAGCATTAATCTTGGGTTGAGAATTTAACTTGAGCAGCGTAGTTACTATACTACATATCACACTCGATTTTCCTGTACCAGGCGGTCCAATAATAAGACCAATATTTGGATTTGTGGACAAACAAATTGATACAGCCATAATAACCGCTTTTTTCTGGCTATTGTTTAATCCATCCTTAATATATAGTATAAAATATAAATTAATAATTAAAATTAGAATTATAAATAACTAAAACTTGCATTCAATACATTACATTTATACTTATGTTGTAATTCTTCAAATTGATAGTTGGATACGAATAATTATGCAATTGTGGTGTTATGAGCGCATTGCAAAGAGATGACACAGCAACACAGTTGATCGCTTGAAATAAACGCAACTCTGATCGAATGTAATGAATTCCCTTAAAAACAACAACATAAATTCAAAGACTGGTGAGTGGAGTAGTTTTAATTTTAGTTTGATGGAGGGTGGGCCCAGAAAGTGCCATGCACTCAGACCTGTTGTAAGTCATTGTTTCTTAATGGGTGAAGTACAACGGTCACAAAAACTGTTAAGGGGATTCGATACCGGCCGTTTTTTCAGTCAAAACACATCATTTTTTGTCCATTGCACAGGCCAAACCAGTAATTTGAAAACAGATTTGAATTTGATATGAAGTTTACTCAATATCCTACTAGGCACTTTTTTCAATTTTGAATTTTAACTTTTTACAAATTTGATTTTAAAATTTTTAATTTTATAAAATGTTCAAACGTTTCTTATTCATAGTAAGAAAAAAATATCAAAAAAGTACTTCGTAGGATCCCAAGTAATTTTCATAACAAATTCAAATTTGTTTTCAGATTACTAATCGATTACTAGTTCGGCCTGTGTGATAGACAAAAAATGTACAAATATATTAACTAAAATGGCTTCAACTCATAGACAAAATTATTTAAATTAAAATAATACCATGAAGCTTAAAAAAATTAACCGGTAAATTAATTGGCATGGTCGAAATTTATTTAAACCACTTTTTTTTTTAAACATTGCCTATACAAAACTCCATATAAATGTTCGGTATCAAATCCCCTTAACTTGTATATTTAGGTCAACCTGGTATCGAGTTGAGTAGAGGAAATAATGCAAAATAGCAATATGGATGAAGTAAGAAGATAATGCAAAATACATAGAGAAGAGATGTTATTAACTTTTTAAGGACGACCAAATTATATATCCATCAAGCAATAGTTGTGCCTACTAGCCAGTTGACCTATTATTCCGTTTTCTTTAATTTTCAAGGCTAGCCGGTCTGTCTACTACTCTCCGCATTTTGGTACAAAAAGGTTAATAATACGTAGAAACAGAATATATATACATATAAAAGGGAATTACTAGGATTTAAAAATGGATCATCATGCTTGTGTTGGATAAGGCGAACAATAAAATCTCTTTAACTAATAAAAAAAAGTTTTCTGGTATATACATACTAGTAATTGAATAGGTGTTTCACTAGGAATATTTACAGTCTTTCTAGTAACTATTAATTCTACACACCACTGTGGGTTGTTGTTATAAATTCCTAAAGGACAATGCAAAACGTATAAATTTAGGTACGTATATTTTTATCAGAAATGGGTACCAAATAACTCTCAAAACAAAACAAAATTTATTTTTTTATTTAATTGTATAAAAAAATATTTCAAGTTATTATATTAATAAATATTGAATATATTAGAAATTATTTGATAAAAATAAATACATATATTTGAACCTTAATAATTTTGCCAATTAATATCTTTCAAAGTTAAACTTTACTTGGTCATATTTTGAAAGTTATTTCATTGCCATGCTTAAATTCTATTAGAACTTAGATAAACAAAATTACCTGTTTTTTTAGCAGAAAGAACGTAAGCAAAAAATATATTTCTAGATTTTGTAGGTTTTTTTATTTGAGTTGCATTTAGTTCAAAATTATCTGATTGGATAACAGCTATACATAAAAATCCACTTTGCGGATAGCCTGCTGAATTAGTTGTATGTTGGTTTGTTCCTATAATATTATTTTAGTATGTAATAAGGCATAATAAAATACACACTAATAAACATCTATGGTCACGTAAAATAACAGTAATATAAAAAATGTATTAAAAATAAAACTATTAATGAATTACACTTAAGAGAAAAACAGAAATATTGAAACATTTAAATAGATAAATCACTCACCTAAGCATTTTAAACACCAAAGAGGTTCACTAATTGGTTTTAACATTGGGTTCGCCGTAGAAAATTGTTTATTAACAGAATTAATAGAGAAAGTAAAAAGTGGAGAGTTCCTGTAAAATAAAAAAATATATTAAATCTATATAAAAGGATTTATGTTATAAGTGAACAAATAAAATAATTTTAAAATTTAATAAAAATAAAAATAAATTAAATTTTTAACTAAATAAAAAATATTTTATGATATTATTTAAATAATCATACTTGGTTGATCGTTTTCCAAAAATTGATTGTTCCAAACTAGGATTTTTGTTTGTCATCATATTGTACATTTCGGTTATTTTAGACCAGTTTTCGTACATCAACAATGGTTTTATTACAGTAGAATAGTCTGATGGATCATCAAATTGTCCTTTCATTTTATATAAATGGCTCGTTAACGGTGGGGTCTCGTCCATTAATTTCTGTTCCTAAGTATTAAAATAAATTTAACAGTTATTTAATATTATAAATTAAAAGGAAAGTTTTATCTATGACATATGAAGTATCTTCTCTTTTTTTTATCTTTGCCTTACACTCCCAACTACATGGCGTCGGCCACCTTAGTCTTACACCTCCATAGAGCTCCGATTTACTACATCTTGTTCAATCAACCCAGCTATCCTCATATGACTCTCTATTTCGTCTATTTATCTTTTCTTCGGTCTTCCTCTTCCTCTCTTTCCCTCTACATTCATTTTCATAACACCTCTCGCTGCCTCTGCATCATCTCTTCTCATAACATGACCGAAACATCTCTACTTATTCTCTTTCATTTTCCCCACAACTGATGCAACACCTAAACTCCCCTTTATGTATTAATTTCTAATTCTATCTTCCCTAGTCACTCTATTCATCCATCTTAGCATTCTTAAATTCGCTAAACTCATTTTCTGTTCAGTTTTCTTGTCATGACATATGAAGTATATAAGAGCGTCATTGTAAAAACTGAATTGACTCACCCTACAAAAACTAATTAATTTCAGTTCACCAGATAAAAAGAAACACATTTCATTTTGATTTACAAATATTATGAAATTTTATAATTTTAACGCATACATTTCATTAACATACATTACATTTCATTGAGACTAATGTACTAAAAAATGTTGACTAGTCGATAACCCGCTTTGGATAACTATTTTTAAAGTTATATGAGTTTAAAAGTTAGTATGGGAGGGGAAGTGCAGTTGAATAAAGCGCGCAGATAAAAATAATACTACACTCCACCTTTCCCCCTGCCTTGAACTCGATTTAAAAATAAAATAAAATGTATTGAGATCACAATGTATTATAAAAACACTGTAAAGAAAAAAGTAAATTTCTTCCAGTGAGATATTGAGTGGTTCACGATAAGTTGATCACCCTGTATATATATTTTGATATAAAACAAAAAAGCTTTTTTTTTTTGCCAACTAGGATGTTTTTTTTTACGGCAAAACAAACAAATGTAATAGTTACAATTAATACATACGTAAAGCCATACTGCATTCCATTTGCATATTTTGCTAATTATGTCAAATAAGGCAAAATATTTTGAACTTGTTACTTTGTCAACCGAATTATTGATATTTAAGACACGTGTTTCCAGATTTTTGAAAGTTACTTTTCTTTTAGAACGGGTTAATTCAGATTCCGTTTTTTTATCATGAGTAATCTGATTACACTTAGATGTAGACGGGATGTTCCTATAATCATCGTCAATCAGGCATGGTTGCACTCTAGAAACTCTCGTCTTCTTCTTTAATATATCTGTTGTTGATGGTTTATCTATAAATTTATCGTTAGTAATTAAATCAGTTTCATTATCGACTGATGCAGAACTATCTTTAATTTTAATTAATTTCTGCAGTTTAATTTTTCTTTCTTGAGCAATTTTTTTATTTTGCTCTGCTATTTCGAGTTCAGTTTTTTTTTTAATTTTAGTTTTTCTTTGGCACTTAGCTCGAGTTTTCATTATATTTTCATTTTCGACTAATGCTTTAGGAGGTCTTCCTTTTGTTCTCAGTTTCATTGGAAGAGGATCAATGATTTGAGGACATTTATAATGATCACCGTTATCATCACAATCATTATCAGTATCATGTTCATCTGAACTAATTAAGATACTCGAATTTTTTGATTTATTCGGCAACTCTAATAATAAATCTTCTTCATCATCACTTGTCAACATTTGATTTGCATTATGCCAATCACTTAAAACTGGTTTTATTTCATTATCCAGTTGAGGTAAATTAATGGTATTCACATTTTTTATATCAGTGATATTATAATGGTTCAAAGATATATTTTGCTCACCCTCTTTGATATTATCTTCTTCGTCAGAAGAAGCCAATATTACAATACTGTCTTCCTCTTTACTATATGTACCTTGACTGGATGTCATAAAGTTTACAGTCTCTGGTTCTGCCTTTATATTTTTAATTAAAGTATACATATTTTTATCTTGTGCAAATATTTCATTAGGAGGGTTTGTATCATTAGACATTTGTAGTGTAGTATTAATAGTTGAAATTGAAGTAGTCGCCTTATAAATATCAGCACATTCTAGTTTATTAAAAATAACTCTTGAACATTTTTCATCATTTGAATCAGGAACGACTCCATTTGAGCTTGGTATTTTAAATACATTCTGACTTTGACAATCTGTATCCATAAAATAAAAAAATTAAAAATTAATATATCAGATTATAAAATATTATGCCACCAGACAAAGAAGCTCCTACATTGATACCAAATGACAAATATCTTAATCTGTTAGCATAATATTCAACTACTGTTAATTTATATCTATTATAAATTGTATTACATGTTATCTCATTACATTACTCTATAATATATATTACATGTAACGACAAATCATACAAATAAGTAAATAATATCGAACAGAAATACAAAATTTAAGTGTAATAAATATAGAAAAATAGTTTCATCAAGCTTTATTATTTAATAAAAATTGGAATTCAAGTTAAAATAAATAATAATAATTTACGTTACCGTTTGTGATTGGTCCGGATACAATTTCATTTTTAGAAAAATGTTTTTCCTCTGAATGCACAAAATGTACAGCATTTACCGGCTCTAAAAAATGTATATAATAAAACAAATGTAAAAAAGTAATAATAATAAAAATAAAAAAATCTTTAAAACAAGTAGTATAATTTTTTTTTTATTGCTCTCGATTCTGAAGGCTAATATGTTGCAATAGCCGACGAACGATCCTACGGTCTTAAGCAGCACTTTTCACTTGGTTTTTGGTAGTAGTGTACTACCAATCTCCGTTAAGTAAGGAAACATGTATGTGGATGTCACTTCCAGTGGAGTGACTTCCCTAGTGGGGAACACGGTGTAGTACAATTAGAAAACAAGATTTGTAGTCTTGGAGTATATGAGGATCTTATATACAGGAATTGAACAGCTGACCGTATGTATGATAGCTGTATGACCACTGCTACACCGACACCATATAATGTAAATTAGTATGTACAAACTTGTTGTATAAATATGGATGATAAAATAAACTTAACATTTTCAAGTTTAAAAATATTAATGTAGTTTACCAAGTTTGGGCATTTTAAGTAACGTAGCAGTTGGTTCTTCATTTTCCGTACATAAAACTTTTCTTTTATTGCTTAATTGAACATTTTCCTAAAAAAAAAAAAAACTAATTTTTTTATATGCTTGTATATTTTAGGGAAGTTAATTTATAATTACATTTAAAGGTGGCAAAATAGTGGTTCGATCTATTTTAATGAACTGTAGGACAACTCCTTGATCGCCACTTGCTAAAGCAATCATGTCTAAATCGTTTAGCTTGTGTTTTTTATCTTTTACTAAATCTGTGTTTCCAACAATAGTGCCATTTGATGTCTAAACATATTAAATTTTATTTTTTTATTTTTAGTTAAACAATAGTATTACTATTAATAATACACTTGTCAAGAAAAAAACTTCAAACAACACATTTTTTTAAAAATAACTATACTAACAATTATTAGTTACATGATAATCCGCAAACAGCAACATAATACTTACACCTAAATCTATAATGAAGGCAACATCAATTGAATCATTTTTTTCAACATATAAATGACAGTGAGTTCTTGACACATTTAAATTTTTAAGCACAATGTCATTATTTAATCCTCTTCCAATGGTATTCTAGGAAAAATAAATAAAATCGTCCCATTATAGAATTAAAATATCATACACATATTGAGTCATCTTGAGAAAACCAGCACGTTTTACTTTACTTATTAAGAACAACATTTTTAAGAAAGAAAAGAAGCAAATTTTAATTTGAACATAAGAGTAAAGGTAATTTGATAACAGTGGAGGAAACTAAACGGAGATTAACACATTTTTTTTATTGAACAATAACAATAGTAGAATTATTAAACTTTTCATTGTAATAACTAAATTATGTCAGTGTTGTGAGTGAAAAATTGTAAAATTTGTTAGTTTTTTTGGAGGTTACTAGAAACGTAGGACTTTTCAACATTACTAAAGCTAATGAATAATTTTTTGTAAGAAAAATAAGATGTTTTGAACTAGCGCATTTTGTGTTACAAGTATTTTGCTTAACAAGATAATTGACAAAATGTTTTGTACAAATTCAAATTATGGAAAATCAATATTGAGAAATCTAGTACTAAATTACTTAAAAAACTACAACTTCATCCAATAACACAAACTCCACTAGATAATTATTTAAGAATATATAATATAATATTTGTTGTTGGTAAACTAATACATACACAAGTTTAAATACAAGATGACCCTGTATCTGTATATTCAAATTATAACAAATGAAATTGATACATTATTATTATACAATATATTTAACTAAAAATCATACCATTCCATATTTTAAAGGATGTACTCGCTGTGTAGCATCTTCAATATTACGAAGGCATTTAAGAGCACAATTTGGTTTATCTTCTATAGTATCCATTATGATTTAACTATTACCTAGACAGAGAAGAAAACATATTGTAAATATCTACGTCTTACTATAAGCGGTATACATTTAAATGGTATAAACAGTCTGAAAAATAAATAAAAACCTACTCTTATGTCACTTAAATAAAATAAAAATTAATGCATACAGCATTGGGCTGTACAGCTATGAACTGTAGTATTATTCGTTAACATTATTTTAAATAAATTGTAATTTAATTTTATAATTTATATTAGAGGGTCGATGGAAGTTCTTTCAAAAACAATACAACTACTTTAACTGTTAAAACGAATAACGATGGTAACTGATAAGCAGTACAGGCATAGCATGCTTAGATAAGGACATACGAAACTCGGTTTTTATTATGGGTACCGGGTAGGCGATAGGTGTAATACTCTAGTCGGCAGCCGACTGTAATACTAATAACTGTTGTATTAATTTAATTGGCAGTTAAACCACGAAATAAATTATAATGGCCGATTAATCCGTGGTTTTACGAGGTAAATGACCAATGTGCCGTTGATTATGGTACAAATTTTCTCGACTATGATCGGTGGAATTCGTCGTCTCCGGTCTCAGTGATTACTGATTAGCGTTAAGCGGTGTGTATTTTATATAGTTTAAATGAAAACATTAAAATAATTCTGTCTAAAGTTTGTAAAATGAAAATAGTATTTGAACAAAATTATTTGACCACAGATGTTTCGAGGATACTATATGTTATTGTACCATTCTAGATCTACCCTTAGACTAATTTTTTAGACCTTAATCCTCGAAACTTCAAACCTGAAATTCAAAAATACAGGAAAAAGTTTCACCTCTTCTAAGGTAAAGAGTTTACAATACTTTTTTGGTCTGTCAACGTTTATCGATAGTACTATATTTAAAGAATATTCTTTTCAAATTTAAAACCAGTTTGACTATTTTTGAAAAAAATTACAGTGTGTCGCAATTTTCAATTTAAAAATATGTACATTTATTAGTTTTTTTTCACAGATCAATAGAGTGGCTAATTGAGTGATTCGATCGTTCCTCAGGAGAAAAAGTTATATAGACTTTAGAAACAAAAAAAAAATACATCATTGCAAAACTAATACCATTAGTATATATCACAGTATGTATAAACAATGTTCTTACTGTCTAGGCTAACGCATTGAACCTTTAAAAACGTACAAAAACTAAATGAGATCACTCTAAATAGGTGTCCATAAAAATATTACCATAACTTTTTATTTTTTGTCGAAGTTATTAAGTGTTTGTTAATAATTTTATTGAGTTGTAATGCTTGTTAAATACCATACGATAATAATAATAATAATAATGTGTTTGTAATAAAATTTACAAAATCTGCTAAAAGACAGTTTTTCCAGCAATTAAAAAAAAACTACTCTTGCTTTTTTTCTCTGTTCAATATGTTACTATTTATTAAATAAAAGGTCTAATTTTGCATTAAGCTATATTAACAGAAGGCCATTAAGAACTCTGCTAATATACCTATGTATACTTATTCTTCTTTTCGTTTTTATGCTATCCTGACAAATGTTGCCTTAAGTTTTTTGGGTTCTGAGGTACAGGTATTTAAAGTATCAATATTGACAAAAGTATTTAAAGCACTCAAATACTTTACAACATTGCTATTACTATAAACGAAATATTAACAGGCCACTAAATGAAGGGGGAAAGCGCCTAATATAGTTTTTAGCTTTGATGCAAAACTAAAAAGGAATTGATTATAAAAACTAATTTATTTAAGTAGCATCTTTTAATATGCTTAGAATATTTTCAACTGAGTTTTCAATACAAATATTTTATATTAATATTACAAATTTATTAACAGAAAATAACAATTTATAGAATAATATTATACTCTCTAAGTAGACATTATCAAAAAAGTTAAAGTTTTATTACATTATGTAAGTCATCCAAGTTATACATAGTTTTTTCATAAATACGTCTTACTAAGTTTCGCTCTTGAGCATCTGCTACTAAATGTTTCCAAAACGGATTTGTCTATAAAATAAAAAAAATTAATATTTAAACATAATTAAAAATTAAATAATCTTATAAACTACCTGAAAATGTTTAAAATTTCCACATATAAATAAAGAATGACGTGCTCGTGTTAAAGCAGTGCACGAAATAGCTTCATCAATGAACAGTTTATAATTGCATGCAGTAGACATAATTAGTACATCACACTCGGTGTCATACAGACAATTAGTAGATAAAATCTGAAACGTCATTCTTTCATTTAAACTGCTTGGCAAACTATAATTTACAAAGTAAATTACTTATTAAACAGTTATAAAAGCTTAGATAGTTCTATTTTATTAACAGTACTTGAAGTATTAATATTATACAATTTTATTGTGATATACACATTAGATAGGCCGAGAAAATATATTCTCGGAACATCTACATAAATAACAGTTATCACCAAAAAAATTTCAAAATAACTAAAAACTATTAATAAATTATGAAAAAATATAATTACATTTTTTTAAATATAATTTTTGTAGTTTTATGTTGGTTCTCACTCAATACTGCAATTGTTATACTTAAATTCTGAATTCTTGTAATTAATACTTTTACTATATTTGCAATAAGTTTTGCTTCATTCTCGTTTATATCACTGTGTTCAAATTAAATTGTAATGAATTAATTTTTTTTTTATAAAAACTAATTAATTATTGCCCCAGTAGATACTTAGACCACTAATAGACATCTATTAGATTAAATCAATAACACCAGCTATTAACTAAATGTCTTACTGAGGAAAATGAATATTACATGCCATTATATATGCATTATACACATATACCTTCAATAGATGTCTACTAGATTATAAATGTTTACTTGGTTGTTCTGTGCTTACTCTGCAATGTTATGTGAAAATGTGTGATCTAATAACAGGTAAGGTTGTAAAGGTGGTCGATTGGATTTTAGTACAGTCGCAGAGTTCTTGATTGCATTGTTATAAAAGTACCGAGATGGAAAATTACTAATTTCCTTATGCATTCTATACTGCATATCCAACGTAATTACTGGTATTTTCGAAATATCTGACTCAATATTTTTATTATGCCATGAAATTAAACGTTTTATTAGTGAATGATTCAAGCCATTTTCATTAGTAGTCTAAATAAAAAAAAAAATTCAAATTAGTTGATGAACATGTTATAGAACACATTACACCCTCAGCCAAATCCTCTCATTCCACAAATATCTCAATCCATTATTATTTCCTTGTTTACTCATCACATTCCCATGACTTTATTTATAACTTTCCTCAATAAAAATATAAAAATATTGGTACTCAATTGTTGACCTTCCTAGCAACTAGCAAGTAGCATACATCTAAATTTATTTTTCAATACCTTGGTTCTATTTCTCAATTTTTTTGTACTTCATTTTTAAACAACCAATTTATTACACTATAAAAATTAACATTAAGAAAATTAACAATTTAAAATTATAAAACTATACTTGCTTCACTTCGTTCTATTGGATTTTGAAGTTTACAATTTCCGACTAAAATTATCTTATTGATTCCAAATAATACAGGTAATAAACTTAATGGTTCAAAACTCAGCTCAGTCTCTTCCACAATGCATGTAAAATAATCATGATTTTTATTTTGTCTAAATATAAATATCATAAAAAAAAAATTATGCTTTTAAGACGGTATTAAGATATTTCTTGGATATTAATCGGTATTAAGATATTTCATTTAATATATTGGTTAATGTCTCTTACAGTAAATATGAAGGCATAAATAAATTTTCCATTGGTTTTGTTAAACATGAATTTAAAGTTGCAATAATGACATTCGCAGAGCTAAGGATTTCAGTTTCAAGATATTTTTTTATAAGCATCTTCTTCAATGGGTGTTTTTCCTAAAAAAAACATAGTAAAAAGTATTAAATACAACTTTGCAAAAATAATACCACTGACTTTAAAACATACAGATAAGCAAAGCTATATACAAGAACAGCCACCAATTTTATGTAAGATTCCCACAATCAACAGAGGTTTGCTCATCATAGTTTATAGACGGGCAGATGATAAACTACATACTTACTACTCTCTGTGTATTTTTTAATCAATGGTAGTATTTTTTTTTTTTTAATGTGTATATACATATAAATGTATTAGAAATAAAATAAAAACCAAAACTATCCAAAATCACTGTGATTTGTAAATATGATTATACTTTATACTTACAGAAGATAAGCATTGTATGTAAGATTCTGTTTTTTTAATTTCGTTTTCTAATAAGCTATCCACTATTGATTCATTTTGACATTTTATTATGTTCATTTCTCTTAAAGTATTATTCAAATTTTCAAGTAACTTTTTGACCTGGGAAAAAACATTTGAAAGTTTTCAAATAATGAATCGTAACTAAAATACAGTTTTTATTTATTTTATGGTGTTTTCTCTGTAATAGGACACTTGAAGTATTAATATATTATTTGTAAAATAAAAATTAAGCAAAATAACAAACATAAACTTTTTCATCCAATTTGTCCATTTTTTGTTTAACTAACGCACTCAAGGATATCGAAGAATGTTTTTGTCCAATTTTAACAAAGTTTAAATCTGTAACATTAAAAAACACGCATATACATTACAACAAAACATTTTCAAGAAAAGCCAAATCATTTTAAATTTAAATGTACCGGGATTTTTTTCTTTAATGTCTAAAAGTCGTTGAGCCAATTCGTCAACAGCACTGTTTGAATAAGTACATAGAAGTAGTTTTGTATATTTACTGCATTGTTTTGTTGTCATGATACATCGTATTATATTTATGATTACATGAGTTTTTCCAGTTCCTTAAAATTTCTAATTTTTATAAAAAAAATATACAGAATTTTTATGTACTTAGCTATCTATGTATTTCCTTACCAGGATATCCGTTGATTAAACAAATATTTGGATTATCTGATAACGCTAGCCTAGTACATAGTGATACTGCTCCTTTTTGATTGAAATCCAAATTATTCTAAAAAACAAAATACATCTAATATGTTCATTTTACAGATATTTCGGACTTGATGAATACAGTTATTTAAATATGCATGCATATAATATTTTGACTTATACTGTATGGGATAAAAGAAAAAAGTGTATATCTATATATAATAATTATTAATAATAAAACATACTGGGTTATTTAATAAACTAGATACGGGGAAATTGTTTATTGAATTTTTGTATAAAGCTGGCATAACAATTGCATCACATAACGGTGATGTCTTCATACTACATATTGCTTGAAACAGGCGAAGTTCAGGACACACATGAAATAAACACTAAACAGAGAAAATTATTAATAATGTATTTTTTAAATTCATTGATTTTGTAAGTGACATTATAGCAAGGCAGTAGTTAATAATGTAAATATATTTTAGGTAATATGCCATAGTTATACTTCACAGCTTAAAAAATTTGAAAATAATTTTTTTTTTTATATATATAATGTATCAACAACCCCTTTAAAAAATATTGCATTTCATTGACTGCCCCAAAACCAACATTTTTCACAAGTGCCCTAGGTAAAATAACACTTTTTGCAGTTCCCATATTATATAATTAAAAATTAAGTATATAATTGTTTAGTATGCAGAATATTTTATAATAAAATGCAATTTTAATATGCAACAATAACTTACCAAAAAATTTATAAATGTATTATTAGGGATAGAATGTGACTTCTCAGTAATTAGTAATTTAAATAAAATCTGAGTTTTTTTTGCTTCTGTAAAAAAAATCACAAATATGTACTATATTATAAATAAATAAAAATGAATAAAAAAAATACCTTTATTTTGAAATGTATTTGAAATAACTGCATCCGTGTAAGCAAAAAATACAGTTTTTTTTCTTTTATCTGAAGTTTTTGAATCATTTGTATTTATAATTAGTTTGTCATCAGATGTCATTGTAAGTAAAAGTAAATCGCCGACATCAGGAAGTCTTAAGTTGTTTGGGCCATGTCGTATATTTTTTTTATCAAATTCTCCTAAAATAAATTGTAAATTTATAAAGATAATTATGTAATACTAACTTATGATACAATTCACTTCAACACACCAACACATGATAAACACCATAATGGTGCATTGTTTGAATCCAAAAGATTGCTTGAAGTTGTAAATTCTTTATCCAAACATTTAACTTTTATTGAAAACAATGGCGTGTTACTACAACATATATTATTATACTCATAAAACATAATTTTTATAATTGTATTTTCCCCATGTATGATTTATAAACATTTTTAACTAAAAACAGCTTTTTATTGTTATTTTATTAATATTTGAAAGTAGGAAAGTAACGTAAACTAATTTAATTACAATGATGAATCAGACTAAAACTATGGATACATTTTGTTCTTAAAATTAAAAAAATTGAATAAAAATGCCTTAACAAACATAAAATAATAAGAATATTTACCTAGATGATTCATAAAAGATGCAAGAGCTTAAATTTGAAATTTGGCTTTTATATATATTGTAGGACTGAGTTATTTTTATCCAAATTTCATACAGAAATAATGGTTTAAAAGTTGACAGATAATCTTGAACACTATCAAAGTGATCTTTAACTTTTGGCAATGGTTTTGTCAGTCTATCTTTATCTTTAAAATCTGTACTCTCCTGATAAAATAAAAGTCTTGATATAAGTTATGAATTATAATAAGGTATTATTGTTATTTTGTTTATAGATGGAGTATCACACTTAAACTAATTCACCATTTTGACTTTTGAATTTCGCTAAATTTGTTTACTCTTAGTGCGGTTACTAAAACTAATTTCCTCAATTTTTACAATTTAATCTATAAGTGGTATGGTGCGGATTCACAGACCGGCTTATCAATGTATATCTTAAAAATAAGGTTTTTGTAAACGAGTAAATATGTAAAATATATTGAAAAGGAGGACAACCGGTCAACACATTGGTTTTGTCAAGTTTATTGTTTTGACTAAGAGTAAACAAAATGTAACAGTCAAATGGTGAATGATTAAGGAATACTCCACATATATATATAAATATATAATTATAATGCTATTTTACATGTAACCAATTGGTATTCCATTCACAAATACTGCTAATAGCTTCAAGAAAATACTTGTAGTTTACAGTGTATAATGAATCAGGACCATACATTTTATGAGCGCATTGAACATTTTCCTTTAGTAAAAAATCTTTTTTCATTGTAGAATTGATTTCATAAGTATCTTCAGCCTCTTGATCTTCGGTTATAATACCTGTAGTATTTTTAATTGTTTCGGAGAATGGTGCTGAAGTCTCTAAACAGATATTCAGTTTATTAGTTAAATGTTTTAAAGTATTTTATCACTATTTAAGATTTTTACTAATTAACTTATAATGAAAAAAATAAATGTTAGTAAAATTATACCTCTACTACTATAGTGTAAGCCTTGACTTCAACCTCTATCAATTACCTAACCTACTTAATTTAAATATATACGTTGATTGATTACGTAAGCATTACTAGAGTTTTTGATAATACCTATAATATATAAAGTAATAATAATAGTTTTAATGCCATTTTCAAATTTTTTATGCTTAGTTGTGGATTGATTAAATTTTTTTTTTATGTTTTAATTTTAGTTACTAGCTCATACACGCGTGATTTAACACAATTTAAAAAAAATACATAACTGAATATTAAGAGCTGACAGCAGCTATTTCCAAGGATAGGTAAAACTAGTAGTCTATTCCAACGCTTCCTTCCAACTTAAAAATTCAAACTATTGACTAACTTTAAACTAAGCAAATAGCATAGTAATATTATAGTATACTGAATATTCAATATTTTTACAAAAATGAATTAATGTACTAGACCCTAGTACGTCAAAAAAGTTTATCAAGCTTAAGCAGATTTTATATTACAACAATATGATTTCGTTAAATTTTTAAAATAAAATAAGTTTTTTTTTTAATAGTAAACTTTATTATTATTTTATTATTTATTTCTTTAATCTGAAAAATATCATTTCATACCATATTCTGTTTTAACATTTAAAATTTTTAATTATAATTTCTATAAAGTATAGTACAGGTTGTTAGACTTGCTACATGAACCAATTATATCAGCGGTTTAAGAGATATTGTGGATCCAGTAAAAAAAAAAAAACAAATCTGAAAACTAGGGATTACTCAAATTAATTTAATCTAATTTTCCAATTAATCCCAGATTACGAGTAATCGGTAATCCTATTGTAATCCATTTTACCATCTCTAAATTTAATATTATTATAAAGTTTCATTCAAAATAACTTTTATAATACTGAATATATGAATATACTGACTAATGTGTGCATCTAACAATTCAATATTTTGTAAATTGAGGAAAAATAAAAGAACTGCCTTATCTTCCTTAAGAAAAATTAATAAAGTAATAATGGTAAATACTGACTACTTACCCATTACAACTGCTTCGTCCTGAACTATTTTAGGAGTTAGTACCTGAAACACAAAATATTTATGTGTAAATCAGAATTGAGTTACTATACTAGAAACATAAAAGAAAAATAAACATGTTGCTAGTTATTTGTTTCTAAATTAAATATTTAGTACCAATTTTTTCTCTTCTTGTACGTTACAACTTTCTTCTATACTATCAGCCACAGAGCTGTTTTCTAATACAATATCGCTGTCGGAATCAGGAGTATTTAAAATTTCCATAAATTTTAGAGCCCATTCAGTTGCCAAACGTTCTCTATCTTTATAGTATTGTTCATCTTTAATGTTGTTGCGTTTGTTTTCCTTAGTAATTATATGGGCAGAACTTAAGTCGGTACAAAATTCTTCATTATTTCTTGAAACTATTAAATTGTTTTTTGAGGAAGATTCTAAAAAAACAAAAAAACTAAATAAATAAATAACAATATTATTGTTTACTGACCACTAATATAAATTATATATATTTTATAAGAAACTTTTAATGAGAGCTATACATTTATATAGTAACAAAAAAGACTAGATTATTCAGATTTTACTACTATTTAAATTTGAAAATCCATATATTATACCTAATTACGATTAAAAGTTTGACCTTTATTCAAGAACTTTCTTTATGATAATACAGAAATTAAAACAATCAAATGTAATAAATAAATGATATCAGTTACAACAATTTGTTATGTTATGTTATGTTTGTTATGCTGATATTAATTTTAGTTAAATTTACATACCGGCCACTAACTTTGGCTTCTTTGATACAGTATTATTCATTTCTGACAATAGGTGCACAGGTTTAACTTCTTCCTAAAAATCATAATACATTTAAGATTATTAAAGATACTAATTAATATTTTTTTTAAATAATTTAAAATACTTCTTCAATTGAACAAATTTCAAGAGTCACGCCTCTTTGAATATTTGAAAGAATTATATGGTCTGAGTCTTTTAATTTATATTCTTCAAGTCTTTCTAATCTTGTATTTTGTATAAAAGTTCCATTTGGAGACTAAAAAATGACATTGGTATTTGGTATTAAATATGTCGTTAAAAAATAAGTTTTAATTTGATTCTACAAGCTTTTAAAAAAAGGTAAGCCAATAATCAAAAATGTTGCTATATATATATAACTAATTTTTGAAGATTTATACTTTATAAAAGCTCGTAGAATTGAAATTTCACTTAAGACCCCACACAATCTAACCACTTGTCAAGCACTGATGTTTACACAAAAAATTTTAATCCAACCAATATTTGTTTTAAACCATTGTGCACTACTCAAACTTAAACTATCAAAATGTTTGCATAAACAGTCGTTGCGCTGCAATTGCTGGATTGTGTATTGGAGGCTTAAGAGTCTATACTTAATAAGACAGTTTATTTTATTGTCTATAATGTTTGGTATTCAGTGTACATAATTGTTGGACGTCAAATTCAAGAATTTATAGCAATTGGAATCATTTTGGGTAATCAAAGAAAATTATTATAATTTGTAAAACATAATTTTTAACTAACACCCAAATCTTTTATAACTGGCATTTCATTATTCTCTATCCATATCTGACAATGGTTCCTAGATATATTCTCATTTGCTATCACAATATCACTGGTTAAAGATCTGCCTATTATATTCTGAAAATATAAACATACAATTCAAAATTTAGAATTTGTTGTGTTCACACATCTTTTTTTTTTAAATGATATTCTATATTAATGTGCTTTAAAACACATCTAGTATATTAAAAAACTAAATACATACCGGGCCAGATTTTAAATTATATGTAATTAAAGTTACATTTTTGCAATTTTTAAGACATTTTAATACCCATGATGTTGGCTTTCCAATTTCCATTTTAATTTGTTGAAAGTACACATTTAAAATAACTTAAATTAAATAAAAATATTGTATGAAAAATCAGGAACCAATTCTTGAGATTAAAAAAACGTGTTTTTAAACATAAATCAGAGAAGAGCGTTCATAGTATATTTTGTTACTATTCTAAAATTTATCAAAAACTTGGATAGAACGTAAATTAAGTAATAGTAAATACTTAGTTAATAAAATATTAAATAAATCATGATACCGTATGATGTGGACTAATTTAGTTTATCAGATGTAGATACATTTAGATTTTAGTTTTGCCTCAATGTTTATTGTTTATCTAATTCATAATAATAAACAGTTTATAAACTAAAGACAGATGAATTTTAATCTGTTATTGTTATTTGTTGGAGTGATAACACAAGATTACAAAAAAAAAATTCAAAATAATATCACATTGTATCACAGATTATCTTATCTGTGATAATATCACAATAACACTATAGTATTGCCTCGTAACAATCACATTTTTATTACCCGTTTTACGTTACATACGGTCATACTGATCAACTAAATTTTCTATTTACAAAATAGACAACTTGCTTTTAATGTATAACGCGTATTGCACCCATTACGGTCGAGGCATGAGACCGCGCTATTTTCGTCTCTCCGACCAATCCAGTGTAATACAGTATAATAGCAATTGTTTTTCTCCTACGTAAAATTGTTTATAAATTATAATATTCAATACAAATAGTTTTATTGTTATTGACATGCAATGTGAGCAATGTGTTCAATATCTAATTGACTAGAACCAACTCCAATAGCTGTGCATGAACCGCGGCTAAACTCATCAGCTTTCCATCGAGTGCTATTGAAAAATAAGCGAATGAGTAACTTCGTATTAAGCATAAATTTAAATCATGGTCAATCTGAACTCAAGAGTCAAGACTACTTTCCACAAACATTTTGCCGGAAACGGTACGCAAGAATCTTTTAAGAATATTCATACGATTTCTGTGCATTTATCTCCAATAGTCTTGTCGTCCTAACTTCCCAGCTCGATGAGGTCAATATCTAGCATGCTATGGCATCCGGTAATACACGACTTTCTTTACAATTAACAGTTGAAAATCAATCGCTGTAGTTTACGAGTGTTGGCATTTTGTACTTTGTCCAAGTAAATTGCGATTTCTAGTTCAACATGCTCGCCGACACTATAAATACCAGGAGGTAGATGAAGGCACCAGTAAAGTAATCTTCACATCGTTGTAAAAAACACGTAATATATGCTCCATAAGTTTCCTAAAAAAAAAAAAAAAATATGTTAATACGGGGCGTACGCAAAAACATGAAAAATACTAAAATATTATAATAACATTTCACATCTATGCTTATGAACCATATGAAATGCGATGGTGTGAAATATGCCTAAATTAATCAATCAAAAGACATACTTGTAATAACGAAAATGGAATCCTTGATCCATTTGTTGTTGACGCAATAATACTTGGCATTTTAGGACGATGAGTAATATCCACTAGTCTGTTGGCCATAGCATAGTGAATCCAATTAGCGCCGAATTCGACTTGTTGATCATTTACATATAAAGTAAAAAAAAAAATTGCTTAGGTTAATCAACTATATACAATTAAGAAATGGTATTTTTAAAGAAATTACAAAATTAAATTATTTTAAATCAATCTATCCAGTCAGACTATAGTTAGTAATTTATTTTGGTAATTTATTAAGTGATATAAAACTATAATTTCTAAAGAATAAATTACAATTTTTTTCCCATCAAAACAGTTTACGCGGATTCATTTTTCTCAGGCTTCATACATAGTAAAGGAAAAAAATTCATAATTATTATATATGACAACAGACAAAATTATCTTTAACCGAATGCCTCAAGTACGAACAAGACAGACAAAGGATAGGAATCGACGCGACACTTGACACTTCACTAGGACCAGAACCCGAGGACAATGCCAAGATGATCGACTTCCTAAAATCAACTAACTTATATAACTCAATTTAAAAATTACACATACTCTTCCTTTGTTCTTAATTATTAGAATTCGCAAACATAATGTATACCTATTGTAAATGACTTTTGTTACACCTCATCTGAAACTAATGGCCATAGATGCCGGGTTGTATGTTATTACTAGATCAATAAAAAAAAAAATAAAAAAATAATCTATGCTCCACCGTCCGTATTTTTTCGATGTACCTAATACTATAATACTGTTGTTATAAAACAACCGACGCTATATTCTTTTTTTAAAAAGTAAAAAAAAGTTCATTCTTAATTAAATAATTATTCATTAACTGGATGAAATATTTAAATAATGGTCTGGCCATGGTAGAGCACAGACAACGTTGTTGTCAATATAATATGAACATTTGGTTTCTCAGTTTTGATTACAGCCTTTGTAAAATGAATATGCGCAAGGCGGGTTTTTTGAAGAAAATAACGGGTCACGGGTGTGTGTCGTGTGACGTCCTCACAAAATATTTTTAGTAGGTATGTACATTTTAACATAACAGCTGACTCTATCCAACAGCTGACAACAACAATAATACGTATAATACGGAGAAACACTGAAATCGACAATATTTGGCTTCCGCCCATCGGCCTTGAACGTTCACTTTCGTAAGCCACTTTTTTTTATAGTAGGTAATAGCCCATCGCAACGATAATAATAAAAAAGGGACAAGATGTAATGAAGTAGTAGCAAGGAACTCTCATAGGCCTTTAAAATCCGGCTTTATGATTTATTCTAAATATGTATCTATCTCGTACCTTTTGTTCAAAATTTATTCGAGCAGACTCAAAAGGATTGTTAGCAGCTCCTTGGTGTTTCCAGTTTCACCTTCATTCTCTGACCATTATGCACCCGTTGTTCGTGTTTACGGCGATAAACATCAAATGAAAGGTACAGGGAATAAACCAGCATAGTCACTTTTTTTTAATCTAAGAAAAACATGTTTAATTAATGCTAAAAAATGTTTTAAAATGTTAAAAAAATACTTATAAACTTTTAGAAAAATTTTTGTTTATAATCGTGCTTAAAAATTAAGAACAGATACGAATTTTATAACAAAAAAATTAGCTGCGTACCTTTTAAACCATATTCTATCTATGATAATATGAATATCGCATGAAAGAAAAAAAGAAACGGCATTAAATAAGACGCGTTGGATTTTTTCACGGCTTGCCGGTATTTATTTTTAAGCTTCGCCTTGGAGCAAGCAGTACAGTGAACATTTATAATGTATATAATACTGTATGATACAATTGTATACTGCTGACAACAGTAATGGGCTTGATTATATCAAGAGTATAAAAAACGAGTGAATACGGATAAAAGCATAGCACAGTGATCCCGGCAGAGTTGACGTACCATTTCGCGTCATCTTACTACTTTTTAGTAATAACTAATAATAATAATAATTCTATTTCATTATTACACCTTCTGTGTTATTACTAATTAATCATAAAATAAATAATAAAATACAGTTTGTTTTTATTATTCGTTCGTTATCTAATATGTGCGGCGAACGTGTTGGAGCGGTTGGAGGGGAAAACTGGCTGCGGCGGCGCGGCGGTTTTAAGTACCTGTTAAGTGTGTTTACTATATTCGTGTGACATGGGCCATGTCATGGGTCATTTCGTTCAGCAATCAGTGTTCAATTAACACGCTATGTGTACTGACATATAATTGGCTTTAACATGTTACGTCGACGGTAAAATGTACGGCTGATTGGATGGTCATAATTGAATCAAATTCATATTTATCATTGAACAAAATACAGAAATTGTGGTTGTATTCGTTATTGTACGAGGTAAGAAAAATATTTTTTGATCATAAATAGATAATAAAAACACCATAGAAAATGCACACAAATTAAAATATTTTAATGGATTTTTGTTTCAAGTTAACACGTACAAAATAAGTTGGCGGGCTTGTTCTCTTATCATTTTCGCTATTTTATTTTATTAGCACTCATGTTTGGGCTCTGCGTTATACGATTAGATAATATGGAAATGTACAATAATAATATATTTCCTTAAAATTATAAATTATAATATTTGATTACAGACAATTTTGTAATTAAATACGTATTTTCACGATTACATTTTTATCAAGTGCAGTTATTATGTACTATAATGTATTATGCGTTTATCTATTATTTTAACACTCGAGCTGTCTTATGTAGATATAGATAAGAGCCGTCCGAAGTGTTTTTAGTATGAACAAATACTTATTTGTCAAAAGGTATACAGCTGGAGGTCTATTTTCAACGCCCTACGAACGATTCCGTACCTATAAGTACCTCATATAAATGCGTAATGCATTTGATTGTTCGTACGATGTTCAAATTTAGCCTCCCCCCGGGATGTCTGTTTTGTACAGCAACTGTCTAAACTTTAATTCTGGTATTATTTTGAAAACGTTATGTATTTAGTATTATTAAAACTAATAACGAGGTATAAAAAAAATTGGTTTTCTACCACGACTACCTCAAGTAACGTTAAATTCATTAGGTGTAAAAAACAACTTGTAATTTAAAATGTAACTGTACAATGTATTAAGTATATTATGCTCACGATGGTGAATGAATAGTTTATCTGAAGGGCATATCACTTAAATACTGGTATGATACTATAATGCATTAAAATTAACTCAATGTACCAAGTGCTAGAAAATTGTGTAACAAAATTATTTTGTAATATAATATATAACCTATATGAAGTTATGAAATATTATTAAATTATAATGTAAAAGTTTTCTTTATTATGGTGTGTAGATATTTATATCTTTAACTCATGACACGTGTGGGTATAAACGCTTAATAATAATAGACTCATGAAATGTTCACCGCATTTAAATTATATATTAATATAACGCGCATGGAACTCAATTTTTTGGACGATCCACATATTCTAAAAGCGAACTTAAGTTCCGAATTCTAAAAAAAGAATTACATTGCGAACAAAGCAAACTACTCGAATGAATAACTAATATGGAATAGAGTAATTTTGTTAGCAGAAAAAAAAACAGTTTTACAGCCAATTTTGTGTTATTGAAAAGATACAATTATGTACAAAAAAAATAGTGAATCTAATATAAATACTTATTAAATACTGTTTTTTTACAAAATAAATAATATATAATAAAATATTTTATTAACATGCATGAGTTATATCATACAATTTTATTGTATGTTTGCAATATAAGATAAGTTACGGCGTTTTACTCGGCATTCATATTTTATGTCACATCTTTTAATACTGTTCAAACACTTCTATTTTTTTCTTATTGACACAAATTTGACATAGTGTTTTTGTTGGTGTATGTTCTTAAAAATACAGTTCTGACCACGAGATTTGACAATTTTGTAAACAAATGTGGAATCGATGTAAATACGTCGAATTCATGTCACTCGCACTATCTTTTTTTTTATATTACATTTTTTATGAGTAGAAAATGGACATTTATTACTATTTGGAGGTTTCCAGCGTTTTTCAAGCAGTTGTTAACCAACTCATTAGTTTGAGATTTTGAATTTTAAAAAAAATGTTATTCTATTGGTTTATTTCAATAATTAAATTCACTATTCAGACGATTTTTGGCGAGAGCTTAAAATATTTAATTCATTATCAATATTTTTTCTTTAAATATTGAAACTTGTGCTTGGTTTATCGTGGCCAATAGCTTCTTAATTTTGCTTCTCTAACTACAAAACAAACTGCACTAAAACTAAAATAGGTAAATAGTAAAAACAAAGATACAGCCAATGAGGGCGGCTATCCTTACAGCCTGAGGGTTTAATTATTCCGGCGAGGATCCAGGGAGGGCCCAAGATAGAATTAAAGCCAAAAAGTTGGCAATTTAACTTTAAGGTAGTTATAAAATATGATGTATACATTTTGCGACTATCTGCTTCTTTACCGATAATTTTTTTTTAATTGTATTATTAGGCTATTTAAAATAACTATAAATATTTATATAATATATTGTAACAAAGGGAAAATTGAATTGAATTGAATTTAACTAAAATAAAGCTTATACATCCTGGTAATACGGAATACCGCATTAAAGGTGCGGATGCTGTCGTTTAAACCAAATAGCTGCAATTCTATAGTGTCTGGCTGTACACAGTAGGGTCGAGCACATTTACTACACATAGGATTTTAAGTGTTTGATTGATAAGTTCGGAGGTCATTAACATAGATCTATTTGAGTTTTAACATGAAAATTCAATTTGAACAGAAACAATCTACATCATACCTATACAATTTTTATTTTACACAATGTGTAAAACCATACTGGTAGTAGAAAGGTTATTTTATTTATTATATTAGGGGCAAATTATTATGTATTAACGATTTAAAAAAAAAATACAGTGTAAGCCAGCACAGTTCAAACCAAGCTAAGTTTAAAACCAGCACATAAGAAGTTAGTAAAATTTGTTTGTAGCTATTATTAAATCTGAATGTAATTTTATCACAATCGTTGCGAATCTGGAAATAATGAGAATCCAGCACAGTTTAACCAAGTATAGTCTAAACCAGCACAGCCTGATTAATACTCTACTGGTTAATACGATGTTTGGTTTTAATGTACACAGTTTCAATGGTAATGTTTTCTACTGCACTATTGTCCTTAACTAGTTCTTTTACTGGGCTAGTTTCTTAATATACCTACACAGATTCGCATTAAAAAGTTTGATCGGATTAAATTACTTTCAGGTTAATAATTTTATTTACTCTTCTTACCTTACTTCATACTGTACCTGTTTATGCTTTCGATCTATACTGATTTGTATTGAACTGTGCTAGTTTTTTAACTGATCTAATTGTCTACTTTTATTTAGCTATTTAATTTTTACTTTACAGGATTTATATAATAACGATAACATTGTATTCTTTTTTTTTGCATTATAAAAATTAATAAAAATATTGTAACAATAAGTTACTTTAGTTTAGCATTAAACTTTAAATTCATACAGATTACATTATTCTCACTAAAATAGACCTAATAAAAACAATTTTGAAAACAAATTTAATACATAACATTGTTAAGTATTGACAATACACAATAAACGTTAATACGTTTGATTTAATTCCGTTTGAACTAGAATCGGTGAGTTTTTATAAAATTATATGGTAATCGCGTTTTGTGTTCGGTCGGTGGTTCGTGTTATTCACATTAAATTTTTTCTTGTTGCCGTGGAAAATTTATTTTTTGACCACCAAGACAGACAAGACATTGGCTTTTACTCGATTTTATAATTATTGTTTGTCGATTCCGGTCTAATAGTGGTGCTACACGAGTAATTCGGTCAACGGGAAAGTTATCGTGTTTACAGACACAAAAAACATCTTTATAAAACCAATAGATTCTTGCTATCGCATCGAAGCTCAAACGATTACGGAAATTTCTTGACCGGTGGAACTTACATTTTACGTGTTTACAGTATACACCTATAATACTATGTAATACGTACGTCGAACTTACATAATATTATCCTTTAAATACCCATGCAGCGGTGTCAATGTTCACTAAAATAGAATGGGCAAAAAACAAAAATTTAATTTAACATGGATATGTTGTTAAGCTGGCGTATACACGACCGGTCTACGGTGCAATTCCCGGCCATGAATCTAAACATTTTGCATTTTATTTGACCTGTTATTATTGAATTATAAACTATGATAATGATTTCTTATAAATTCTAACAACATTGAACGTGGATTGCGAATCATTGATTACGTGGCGTTTATTTAGAAAGGTAGCTACATCAAAGTAGTAACCAAAAACACATACATAATTCAATGTTTTCTGTGTAGCGGAGAAAAGGAGCGATTTTTTTTGAGAATGGCGTACATTTTATAGGATGAAAAAATTGAAATATAATAGTTAATATTTATATTACTGATTCGAGTAGATTTACTTCCGAAGTGTGGCTGATACGATGTACACATATGTTTATCAGTTTTTAGGTTGAAATATACTTAACATATAGATAAAGCTGGTATATAAAACACTATTTTTATGTACCTAATGATTAATACAAGTTATCGAGTCATTATTAGGAAATTAAAAAGATAAAGGTAAAAACGATCACAGTCAAATTTTCAAAATTAAATTTTATAAATTTCAACCTTTAATTAAAAATAATTGGATTTGTTTTTTTAAAATTTAAACTCAGCAATTTATAGTTTAATCACAATTATATATTCAATTTTTGTGGTTGAATATCTGCTGTTACACAGTGCGTTGTCTAAAAGAAGGTAAGTAACAATTAAGTTTAAGCGAATTGGAGAAATTCTGGGACTCGAGTCACTCAGTAATAGGTACAAATAGAACTTTGACCGTATTTTATAAGTACCTACTACGATAACATTATTTATTACTGTGTTGTATGCAAAAAACTAAAACACGTGGTAATTTTAAAAAAGTGTTGTGGTTTATATTATTCTTACAAAAGTAATAATTTACACTTATTGTGATTATAAACTGTATGATACGATATTAAAAGTATGTTTTTAAAATTGATATTTCAACATTCATGCAATTATAATTCGACCATTATGCAGGTCCGATTTGATTTGGACTTCGAATGCATGGTTCATTCATGGTGATCAGTAATGACCCATCCAAGAACAAACTGCGGGCTATGTTATAATTATCAGACATTTTTGTCAAAGCGTTTATTACTTTTGCTCTTTGCCTTACCTCCAGACATTGACCTTGCTAGTCGATAATAATATGTATTCAATATTTCAATGTAGGTACTATTGAAATTAAAAACGTTTAGTCTACACTCTATATTCATTTAATAATGATGCTGATGTCAAAAACTATATTATCGTTACCCAATTAAAATGTTTCGTATATAAAAATATGTTATTTTTATTTACTGAAGACTACTCTGACTACATTGTATACCTTTGTCGATTCTAATGTAGAATTTTCAAGTAACAAATATTGAATTCAGTGATCTGGTTCTTGAGGTTATAACTTGTAAACAATATATTATATATCAAAGAATAAATATATCACTCGGAACTTGTAGATACAAATATACAATTGTAGCTATTGATTCAAGTATATTAATTTATATATTTATAGAAAATAACCTTTAAATACAGAAATTCTAAAGCTAAAGTAAATCATCTTATTGCCATTACAGTTGTATTTAATTTAGTGAAAGATAGCTGCGTTTTATTTAATTTTAATCCGCTATAATCGATTTCCAAAAGTATACTGACACATGAGAGAAAATATGTTGAGGTGGTTTGGTCATGGTATGAGAAGAGATGAGACAGAGGCAGTGAGAGGTATTATGAAGATGAATGTAGAGAGAAAAAGAGGAAGAGGTAGGCCAAATAAAAGATGGATGGACGGAATACAGTGATATGATGATAGCAGGGGTGATTGAACGAGATGTAGAAGACCGAGCTCTATGGAGGTGTAGGACATGGGTGTCCGACACCATGTAGTTGGGAGTGTAAGGCGAAGAAGAAGAAGATACTGACACATACGTCTCGTCATCGCCTATATATACCCTTCTGAGCTGGAACGTATCCCCATCACAACAGGATTATGGACCATTCGAGAATGTTCCAGAAGATTCTGGACTTCCGTTTCCGGTTTTACTATAACATTCTGTCACTCTTTTAACACCCATATCTCCGAACTCAACCCCTGCAGTTCCAAACCGAAACCATCTTTGTCGATGGAGGACTACCATACCATACAGGGTAGAATACGTTGCTTTTCGGCGGTACCTTTTTCATAACCGGATTCCGTACGTTATTTTTGTGCAACGTTGCCACGCTGGAAAACCACACTATATACGGGTAGAATATGATTAGAATAAAGGATAATTGTCTTCTTTTTTTTATTAAAATAAGACAATATTTACAATCTGCGTACAAAATAATACAATAGGTAAATGAGCTGAGTATAGAACTAGACAAAACGACGTGTAGGAAGGGAACGTCCATTAACACTACTTCCAAATAGGAATTAAAATTTTTTGTTTAAGAGATAAGAACTTTTTTTTTTTTTTTGTTAAGTGTTAAGTAGATCACGTGGCCAGTTCCGTTTTAGTCGACGAGGAGGATTGTCGGAAATTGTGAGAGAAGCTAGCTTAGATATGAGAGGATTAGTGGTTGAGAGCGTTCGTATGGGATTTTTTATAGTGATAGGAAGCAAGGGTTGTCTTAAGTTTAAAAATGAAAAATTTGTCCATGCGCCAGACAATTTGAATTTTTTTTTGCATTACAACGAAGACAAATATTAATATATTGATACAGCGTGAAGACATATTTGTAGATGGTACATTTGAATACGCACCCAAACACTTTATTCAACTTTATACGATACACTGATTAAAAAACGGTTATTATTGACCTTTGGCCTTTTTATTTTTTTAAGTGATAAATGAAAAGAAACTTATACTCAAATGTGGACATATTTAATTTAATTATGCTCAAAATATTCATCAGAATTACTAAATCCAAAAAAAATTGTAATTGAAGCTGCATAAAACGATGTTTTCTAAAATAAAGATTATTATTTTTTTTAATTTTATGTACTTTTTACAATTACCTACCTATTATACAAAAAAAAAATTATTTTTAATTCATTAACTAAATTATATTTATTAAGTAATATTTAAAAATTATTTTAATGTTAATTTTTAACTTTAAAATAGATTTTTTTTGGAAAATTGTATAATTCGAAATTTGACAATGTTTCGTTCGCAATCGTGACGTTTTACGGGTTTTCATTGTTAAACAACCAACATACGCAATCGTGTTTCCAAAAAGGTAAATCGTACGGAATCGGGTTCTACCCACCATATAACCCCCATGAAGCTGCAGGGGTGGGTTGCGGAGTTATAGCGGCACATACGGACAAACATGCTTACATTTATTTTATATAAAAAAATGATAAAAATCAGTTTCTTATGTAAAATAATCTGTTTTTTAAAAAAAAAAATTTTTTCGACTAACAGAAAATCATTAAAAGTGAGTTTATAATCTAAAAAGTTGATTTTTTTGTATTGCACAAAATTTGAGAATTTTTCTAATACTTTTTTCAGAAAGCTTTCAAATTTTCAAAAATTTTTAAAACTCAATTTAAATTCAAAAGTCGAATTACAAAGCACCCTGTTCGAAGTCTTCCTCTTTCAAAAAAAAAAAATATATATATATATATTGTAATCACACTACTCTAAGAGGTGTAAGAGTTATCTGGGAAGAATGTTTTCACCACCAAAATAATTATTATTCATGTAAAAATAAAAAAAATTCGTTAAAAATGTACCTAGTTGACCGTTGGTAATTAAACTGTGTTATATTGCGTCTTTCAATTTTAATGAGCAGGACACTTAATTAAAACCAATTAATTTTTAAAAAAATGTATTATTATTACTAAATTCTGTTAACAGAAATGTATTTTTATGTTTCAGAGTTGTCATCATGTCGGCTAAACAAATTTTACGTTCATTTAATCCCATTCAAGTATACTTAGTCATCTTTCTCACTCTAAGTTATTTTTTGATTCAATTAATATTCAGTCATATCACTCACGCTTTAACATTACTCGTCGATTCGTATCATGTGCTCTGCAAGTTAATTTATTTATTTGGATCCATCATATGTGTCAAGGTATATATTTTGTTTATTTAGTAATGCGGGGACATATAGCGTCTCGCAATACAAAAAAAATATTCCCGGTATCGATTCCACAATTTGGTAGAATCGTAAACTTAAATATCGTTTTGAGGAGTTCTGTTTTAGAAGAGTATTTACGAATGCTATCCTAATAAATTTTAATTATATTCTGTAAATGTGCCATGCCATTTGTTGATTTAAAAAACCCTTTTTATGAAAAGTTCCATCGAATCGCTGTTTCGTGTTATACTTGATATAACAACGTTGCATCACACCTACAATAATAGTTATAGGTACAGAATTCCCTAGTTATGGAGTTAAAATTTGAAAAATTAATGTGAAATGCTTCGCTAAATAAGGATTTTCAAGGTCCACAATAATTTTGTGGTAAGTTTGATTTTAAATTTTAAGACCCAAGGTTAAAATTCAGTAGTATATAACTTACCTTCGTCGGAGTCTGATTTAATGAAATTTGGGCTTCATTTATAGTTTGATGAACGCTACACCTATATCATAATGGTTATAGTTTACTCTTTCGTTCGACATGTCAATATGTGTGTTGTTGCAGCATAACGACGACGACGAAATATGTTTGAACGAAGAGTGCCAAGAGAAAGCGGTTAGCGGGGAAGAAGTTCAAATGCTGGAGTTGGAATTTAATAAAGCATCTTCTACGGTAGGTGTACAATAATAATAATTATTTTCTTCTACGCGGTATTTGACCGTTAAGACCATCCTGAGGCAAATCAAATTCCTTCCCCTACTTTTTATCCATTGGAACTGTTCTCCAAACAACTTCTGATTACATTGTCTTAATATATTTTTTAACTCTATCCTCTTACAAAATTCATGGTCAACCTAGATGCCGCTTTCTTTGAGGTGAATCATAGTTGCACCAATCGTATTAATGTTTCTTAACTGCATTCCGTGTTTCCATTGGGCGCATTCCAACGCATTTCATCATTGATTTTTTCTTCGTCATTTCTTCCGCGATACTTGGGCTTAAGTAGTTATTTGAGAACTCGCCCGTTCTCTCATCGAAACGTGGTCCGAATATTTTAAGCTTTTACATTTTTGGTTAAAAATTAGTTGATGGCCATAAATGTTATGGCTTTATATATTAAAGTACATTTAACAGGAAGACGGAAGTCCCTATGAATGAAGGCATAGGCTTTCTTAAAGTCGATTAATAACGACTAAATTATATAACAATAAAAATTTACCTTGTAGTTTTAACCTACAAGCGCTCGTGTACGCGGCTTTCACTTTGCGATTTTTTGGTACTTTTAATAAAATATAGAAATTTAATGGCAGTATAAACAACGCCAACGAGATTTTTTAAGATGGCCGCTTGAAGGACGAAGGTTAGAGCAAAAGTGAACCAATTCCATCACAGCCGATTTCCAGTAATTGGCTTTAAATTGTTTTTCGCATAGTCTACTCTGTGGCAATACATGTTGCCATTTTGCGGCATTGAGATGAACTATGGACTTGGTTCACTTTGCACTGAGCCCTCCAACAACAAAATAGAATGTTGTGGATTGCAGTGTACACATCCCCATCTCGAGAGGAAACTGAAAAATACCTTTGGCTGGGCCAGGATCGAGGTTGTCGTTATGCTTTGCGGGTGCGTTTTTCTAGCCTCGCTAAGTTTCTCATTAGTCGTAGAAGCCGTCCAGACACTTATACACATCGACCACCAAGATCCAATCCATCAACCCTTTTCGGTGTTTATCATCGGCATGGCCGGCTTTGTGATACACGGGTTGTGTTATTTACTATTGGGAGGAAACCAAACAAGTAATATGCCACATGCCGTTTTGTTCTATTAACTAAGTTGTAATTTTTTTTCTTTGCAGACATAACACCACAAAACGGCATTGGGGTGGTCGACAAAGGCGAGGCTGTGCCTTTGAGTTCTAGTCAACTAATGAAACAGAAAATTCAAACAAGGAATTGTAGCTTTCGAGAAATTTCTCGAGACATAGTTGGTAGAAAATATTTCCTTTAGTCTTAGAGACCTAACCTAGTAAGGTTTTATATGTTTGCCATAACAATTTTGCAGGTTGTACGATGGTGATGATTTGTTCGGTAATCGTCAATTTCACAGACCCTCAAATAGGCAAGTACGTTGATCCAGGTCTATCGATCGTGTCGGCGGTATTGTTGCTCTACCTCAAGTTCCCAAGCAGTAAGCTTCACAACTTTACTTTGTTTAGTGTGGTCATTCGTTCTATATTAAAAGACAAGGGGGATGGTGAAAATAGTTCATATATTATGTATAGAATACAGAGAAGATATTTAGATTATGCATGTTTTAAGAAAATAAAAAATAATGGTAAAATGGTGTGGAAAAAGTTTTGTTAAAATCTGGGCGACTAGGTGCAAACACATTTTGAAGGCATATTTTGTTTTAACTAAAAACTAACATTTGGGGTAACTGTGAGTTGTATAAAGACTAAAGAGGCCCTGCATCTCACCACCCAGTTAAATGTTATACTATTCAATTAAAAGGTACCTACTACTAATTTTAAATTTCAAGTGTATGTATGAGAAAAAAATATAATTCTTAGGTTTGAATTATAATAATAACACGGTACAACAATACTTTAGAACAAAACGAGAAATATGTACATCGTAATTCGTATAGGATTTTGGTTTTAATCCGAATCTAGGCTCAGACTTGTGCTAGTAATTCGTTTTGACAAACCTACTTCCCTATTGTAAACATTAAAATAATTTTTCTTTTGTGTATAACAAAACTAAAAAATCTACATTAACTTTAATATCAATTCTGAATTCAGTAAAGATAATATTAATACCAAATGTATTTGAAATAAATGTTTAAAAAGACATCCAAACATACAAAATACCTCAAAACCGTTATTTTGGCAACTCTGTAGTCATTTTAAAATTAACTTGATGTACTTGAATAATTTTGAAGCCAGATAAGAACTCAACGAAAATATAAAAAAAAAAATTAATTCTAAAATAGTGTTGTACAGTGATAATTAATATAATTAACTATACATATTACTTCTTTACATGACTTAATCTATAAAACAATTATTACTTTCTATTGATATATTAGTAAATTATTCAGTAATAAATAAGTATTGTACATATTTTATATTTAATATATATGTGTTCCCTATCAATACTTTTTACATGCTTTTCTTTCACTCGTCGTACACAGGGTCATATGTGGGGGTCATTTCACTTCAATTTCATGTTTTTTCAAATCTTCCAAAATTAATTTATCGTAGAAGGCTGAAATTTAAGCCAGACACTCAATTTGGATGACAATACAATGGTCCGGCATAATATTGGGATCCGGACATCCAGGTCGCAAATGCCGGGGAGTCATTTCAATAAAATTTCACGTTTTTACAAATCTTCCAAAATGAGTTTTTTTTTTAAAGTCAATTAATTTGAAAACAACCGAAAATTAACTACAATTTTAAATAATGTAAAACATCTTAAATTTTTGACTAAAAAGAAAAGCGTTGGCCCTATTCAACAAAGTCCCTAATAAATTTATCATATAAAATTTCAGACAATGTTTTATATTGTAAGGTTATAGTTTTTATTTGCACCAACTGGTTATTAAAGTGAACAAATTAATTATTATCGCATATAATTACAATTTTTAGTGAAAGAATCGTGTTTAATTCTTCTACAAACAATACCAGATCACATGAATATTGACATGATTTGTAAAGAACTAATGCTGTCATTCCCAGACATTGTAAACGTACACGAACTTCATATATGGCAACTTACAGAACATAAAATTATATCTACAGCACATATAATATTTTTAAACCCTAAAGTAAGTACAAAAACAATACAGGACACCAGTATACCTTAGTAAAGGTTAAATATGTGTAAATACTTCATTATAGTACGGATGAACAACACCCTTTTTTAGTATTTCATAACAGTTATAAACAATGGTAAGTATCCAAAAATGTGGGTAAAATAGTGCTGACAGTTCCTTAAATAGCAGTGCTTTAATTTTTGGCTCCACTTAAATTTTTATTTTGAATATCTACCATTTTTTTAGGACTATTTGAGAATTAACAAGGCAGTAATTAACTTCTTCCGCGATAATGGCATTGGAGAAGTAACGATACAGCCAGAATTTTTCAAAGACGATCAAAACATACAAATGATACCCGAATATGGTATGGGTCAATGTTTGGTGCAGTGTAATCAAGTTGAATGCTTAGAACGAAATTGCTGTGAACCAAATGAATTAAATGTGAGTAGATAGAATATAAAAACCTTATTGTACTCTAAATAATATTCTTTGATGTTATGCACTCAAAAATTGTGCGGGATCTCATTAAAACAAACAATAAAAAATATTATATAAATTGAGTCCATTAAAAGTAAAATATTGTAACACACTTTTTTTTAAATGTTTATTTAACTAAATATTTATTAAGATATTTTAGTTATCGTTTTCATTTGTATTCAACTATTTTTTACACAATTATTTAGTTATGATTGAAAATCCAAATCATTATTTTTATTCATTAATGAATTATAATTAATTAATTAATTTTAATTAGTTCAATTAAACAATTATTTAAAATCATTACTTGGATATTTAAATAAAAACAAAATTGTGTTTATTATTTAAATAAGTTTTAATTATTAATATTTTATGTGCTTTTGACCACTTGTTCGGTTATAGTTTTTTTGGAGGAATATTAAGTTGTGTAACAATTTAAACCTATATAAGATACATGACGACACTTCCCAGAATTTTTTTAGTGCACATACTCAATTAGTGTGAAAATCCATCAAACTCATTAATACAATTTTGTTTTGTTTAATACTATAAATTGTATAGATTGGTTTTGACATGTTATTCAGACCAAACCTTCCAATTGATTTTATAATATGAAAGTTTGTACAAACACAAAACTAAAGTGGTTTTAATACATTTTTTTTCTTTCTAGGAATTCCCAACAAATGTTACAACCTCTAATCTACGAGATGTTTGTTGTAAACATTCGGGAACTAATATCTCCCAGATGTCTGATACAAATGTAATGGTTTAATGTAAAACAAATGTATAACTAATTAATGTTGACTATGTGTTCCTAAATACTCATAACTGTATCAAAGTAAATGTGATTTTTTACTTATTTATTGTTATTTTAATTTAAGCTTAAATTTTTGTTTTTAGTTATAATTTTATTCAAATAATACAAAATTGTGTGACAAATGTTTAACCCATAAATACAAGTATAAACCAATTATGAATTCATTTTTCTTATGAATACTTTATTACACATTTAAAATATAATAAAAATATATGTAATAGTATTTTTAATAATATCAACAATAATGGTGTTATGGTTTTTGAAGGTCACATTTAGCATACATAACTAATACGCGATTATGTTCATTATTAGCTATCGAGTATGGAAATGAATCAAAGCCATAGCAAGCAGCTCCATGTTGTCCCAATTTATTAACTACAACAATAGCACCTTTAAACTCCGGATAGTACTCTGCAATTGTGTGCATGGCTAGAATAGCTGCTCCTCCTGGACTATAGCCGTATTTCATGGCTTGCACGGCAAGAAAACTTGAAAAAAATAATTGTATTAATTATTTTTCTAGTCATATTGTTAACACGTTTACTGCAGATGTATGTATCATACGATCATATATACGTGAGAGCCTTATTTTTTATTGAAGCCAATTCTTCCCCCAATAGATAAAATATATTATAAAAATAATAGTATCCATGTATGACATGCTTATGTTAAATAATATTTATAGATAACGCTGACAAAAAACAATTTATTTAATTGTAACTGAGTTATAGTACATAAAAAACGAGGTTATCAATGATGCCTTTGGCGTCATCCGCAAATATAAGCTATGCTAATAGATGCCAATTGGCGTTATCCGCATATATAAGCTATATTAAATATTTAAATGATACAAAATGGCGTTATCAGCAGTGAACGTGTTAAAAAGGAAATCAATGAAGTATATAAAAATTACTATTATTTTTTACTAAAGGTAAATTTTGTTTACTGTTTAGTTTTACTAAAATCAGTGTAGCATGCGTACATCTAAATCCAGTTCCTAGTGACTAGTCTGTTGAGCCAACATTGGCCCCTAGTGGTACTACACTAGTCGTATAGGTTTTACTTGTACAATTGTTGGTCACTGAATTGTACTAGTCGATAAACTTATCACAAGTTTAATGAACCTTAATGGTAGCCAAATAGACTAGTCATGTGGAACTGACTCTAGACAAAAATCTTTAAAACTATTTTTTTTTAGTTACCTCGGTAAGAATCGCATTAGTATATCTCCATCTCCTGTAGCTGCAGCAGCACCTATAGTATTCATAGCATAAGCCCCGGAACCAGGAATAGGAGAATCGCCTACTCTCCTACACATAAAGAGTTCTAATTAAATAATGGTGAAAAAATATATAAACATACAAATTTTAAATTACCCTGGAATTTTGAATTTTGCTCCATTTGTAGATGTGCCAGCAGCTATATTACCTTCTTTGTCTATTGCTACTACTCCAATGGTATCATGGTTATACTGGTTTGCAAAACTAGCTCGAGGTTTTGATTGGGATTTCTTAGTAGATGGTTTGTATGGCCCACAACTCATTCCAGGATCTGGACTAACATTCTGTAAAAAAAAAAGGGGGAATCATTATACTCAAAAATATATTACCAAAAAATGTTATTTTTACTGTTAAAAAAAAATTATGTTTGTCTAAATGATTTAACATTTGTTCAACAAATGAAAAAATATATAATTTTTTTTACCCAAATAGCACTTTTTGACTTCATCAGGATACACAGTTAAAAATTGTCCATTTAAATATTTTTTTTATTAACCAAAAGATCAAAAGATGTTTAAACATTTAGACGGACATATTAAATAAATAGTAGCGTATACAATTTTTTTGGTTATAGTAAAAAAAATAAATGTCGGAAAAAATGCTTTCCAAACACCTTATTTTGTTTTTTATATTTTTAAATGTTGTTTAGCTATAAAATCTTATTTTAAAAATGTTTTTCAGCTATTTACGAGGGCTAATGCCATCATGATCTATAAATTTAGGGTCATTGTTCCCTTCTTCTAAGGAGAAAAAATGTTTTCTAAACAATTCGCTTCTGACTGCTTGTCAGACTGTTACTAGAGAAGAGGACGGCTGTTATTTTTTACTAGACGTATTGTGACAAGTTTCATACCTGTAACAGTGAGCGCTAACACACTGCCACCTTACCAACTTGTCCTCGAAAATAAAAATAAAGCTGAATTATTTTTTTCACCATAATAATATAATATATCTATTATTCATAATATATTAATGGTTTTTAGTCAGAATTTTTCTAGAAGGGAATTACAAATGTCCTTCCACTATAATTTTTCCTGATTATTAAAAAAAAAAACTACTTTTTATAAGTAAAAGTAAAAAAAAATTGTTTATAGAATAGTTTACAAACAGTCCAAAAATTTGGTTGACACGCTCTGGTTTTCCAATCTTTCCACATGTATGCAGAAGAATTTGTACCAAGATCTGTTTGTTTAAAGCCCATTTCAACTGCAAACTGTGTAGCTCCATCACCAACCAATAAAGTGTGTTTAGTATTTTCCATAACATGCCGTGCGACTTTAGACGCTTGTTTGATACGCTTCATACTGCCTACTGCACCCATATTCATTGTTGCTCTATAAATAAAGCAGTATATTTTAGTTTGCTTATTTTGATTTAATAAATACTAAATAACTAACCCATCAATTATAAGAGCATCTAGTGTGGTTTCTCCATTCTCATCAGGACTACCGCCATAACCAACTGTACCATCACATTGAGCTATTTCACATACACTGCATCCGGCAACAACAGCATCAACAGCTGTACCATTTGTATTTAATATTTCCCAACCTAATTGAACAAATATAAAACCATTTTAGAATGTCAATAAAATATATTCAGATACATCTTATGTCAAAATTATTTTGTTATAAATGACTAAAGTTGATATACAGCCTAATTTATTACTTCTTAAAGTAGAAGCCGTGAACGCCCAAGTGTTGATGACTATTGGAGTGCCAGGTTTGGTAGAAAATATTTCAAATATATGGTAACCGACTATAATTGCTACGAGAGTCAAAAAGACCAAAAAAATATAGGATAGACATCTTGAAATATTTATTAAACAAGCACAGAGATTTGCTGCGCAGGACATATTGACAACAACAGACAATCAATATAGATGCAGAGCATTTGATTAATTAATTTGAATACTGACAAAGTAAGAATAATATTGTTAATTTCCATAAAATAAGTAATCAGTTAACTGATAATTGTCAACTCCGGATCATAGGGTCGTCGACATAACACAGTACACTACTATCAGTTTACCATAAATCTTATAATATAATATTAAGCCACAATGTCACACACTAATCAGTAATTACTGAACATCAATCAATAACCAAAACCCGAACGGCCGGAAATTTCCAAATGGTAAATATCCATCATCAATATCACAGAATAAAATATAAATAAAATTTAATACGGTTGACGGTTCATATCAGTTTTTTTATCAGTTATTCTGTGTTATCACTCTACGGTCGACTGCCCGTTGCCGTTACCAACATGATGTCAACAATGTCCTCCTCACCACTCCCTCCAAAAACGAGCTCGTATATAAAGGATGTTTCATAAAGATTATATTATATTATTATTATTATTATATACATGCGTCATGCATGTCCTTACTCCTTGCTGAATTACTATTTCATCTTCATAGGTAGTTCGTACCTACCTAGTCAGGATAACGTTTTTTGCTTGACCTGAACGACTGTTACATTTTGTTTCATAATATAATTTCACGTATTATACAAGGTTGTAACTTGTATTTAATACTGGAAAACAACTGTTAGAATTAAAATACTTTATTTCAGTCATCGTCCATCGACCATTCGTTTCGCGGTAAAAACGTTGAAATGTCTGCTACGACCAGAAGCGTTCGCCATCAAACACTCGAACAACAGGTTTTACAGATTTCATTTCCTCCTCTATATGTTTTTAATATTTACTTGATCGTTTATGTTTTCAGAAACAACTGTTGGAAATGAAAATGAGGCAAGTAAGACACTCTCCTCAGATAATTAAAACGTCTGACAACGTTATACCTAGTGCGAGGATACGGCCAAAATCTGGAAGACCGATAGAAGTCAACTGTAAGTGTGACAATTTTTTAAACGTTAAGTATAAAACTATATTGGTAGAATTATACAAAAATAAATTTGTGTCACCTAAAAGTCTACTTTGTATCCACGAGAAGATCTATGATATTCTGTATTCAAGACTTCTTCTGGTATTCAACCCCAAGATTGGTTTTGTAATTTCCAATATTCTTTCCACTCTTCTCTTATTATTTTCACCTCTTCGTCACCTTGATATGTACTGCTTTACTAAGAATTTAATGTGGTGGTGTCCTGCTCCCACATCACAGTTGTTGAGCGCATTTGGAGTATGTCCAGTCTATCATCAAATCTTTCCATCACTATTAGTTGTGCTACTGAAATCGTCAATGGTCGGTAGTATCGGTTATTGCTGCCCTCCGCTACCTCCTTTTACGATAAGCATGAGTAACTGTAGGTCTACTCTAATTCCCAGCTCATAAGGGCTATATTCAAGACAGTAGACTACAAATACAGATGATAAACTTTACATAACATTTCGCAACCTTGCAGTTTTTCTTTTTCAAGTCATTTTTAGAAGAACATGAAAATTATTTTGAAAAGTATTATTAAAATACTTTTATTTTATACATATAAATATTTTTAACAATTGATAGAGTAATTATTTGTCTGCTATGTTGAATTAGTACATCATTCTTAACACATCATTTTAATGTTTATTATGAAACTATATTGTATCATTTCTCTTTGTTTTTTTGCCACGAAAAGTTGTATGTTTGCGAACATAATGGTGTAACCTAATACGTTTTTGTCTTAAAATGTAGTACTTACTTTTTGCGCATTTTAAAAACTTATGTGAAGCTTAAGTCTAAACATATTACTTTTCGGGTAAAAAATAGAACATATTAGTTTTTGATATTTGAGGTGCAAACGTTTTAGTATTCAATATAATTTTTGGAATATATTACTAGTTTTCATAATGAAACTAATACTTTTGGTAATAAGCGTAGATATAGACATTCATTTTGGATACATTTTTGTTAATTTTATAACAATTTAACTTAAAATATATACTATAGTTTAAATACCAATATCCATTGCATTAATGTATCATCAATTGCATCATAACCTGTTTGATCATTATTCCTCTACAATATGATTTTAATTTAGATTCAAAATAAAAGTTACTTGTTTCATGAAAAGAACAAATGACAATATATATATATATATTATAATACGTTTTAATCTGATTCAATATTAATGTTATTAGGTTATGATGGACCGTTAGCATACGCTATGGTGAATAGTAGTCCTGATTCCAGTGATATATTAGGTGTATCAAGAAATTCCACTAACCGGGATATCATTGAAGGTTTGTTAATGCTATATGAATAAATGTATTATTTAAATTCAAAAAAAAATGTATTGAATTTTTATTTAACTATTTTAGATATGAGAAAAGAAGTAGCAGAAATGACTGTTGATGAACGAAGGATATCTATAGATACGGAAGACGAAGAATCTAGTTCAATTTCTCCTGTTAAAAATATTAGCTCTATACATATTAAAGAAAGTAGTCCATTCATTTATCCTTCTTCTACTATAACCGATGTAAGTTGATCTAATTTTAAATAACTCTAAAAATACTTACATTTAAGACATAACCACTGGTGTAGTCAAGGGTTACACACAGCATATACCGTTACTACACAATTAGTCGTATCACTGAATTAAATTGTTTTCTACATTTGTTTGCAGACTAACGAGTTGGAAGGAGATGTATTTGGTAATTTAGAATCGTTTGTTTTGGAGCCTGCCTCACAGGGAGTTCATTTTAAATGTCGTATTACTAGAGACAAAAAAGGCATGGATCGAGGGTTGTATCCTACGTATTACTTACACTTGGATAAAGGCAACGGATCAAAAGTAAAAAAAAAAAAATGCATTATATGAATGGCGATTTTTTTTAACAATTTATTTTCTAGGTTTTTTTATTAGCGGCTCGTAAACGAAAAAAAAGTAGAACATCAAATTATCTAATTTCAACTGACCCTACAGATTTGTCAAGAGGAGGAGATTCTTTTATAGGGAAGTTGAGATCAAACTTGATCGGAACACAATTTACAGTGTACGATAACGGAACTTCCCCATATAAACCAACTATTGATGGAATTCGAGAAAGACAAGAACTGGCTGCTATTGTATATGTACGTCAAGTGTGCTATATTATGTTGATTTTGAAATTTCTTCAAAACATAACATTCAGCTTACATTTTATACTTTTATCTGTCATAAACATCAGTGCTTTTTGTTAAAGGAAACCAACGTACTTGGATTTAAAGGACCACGAAAAATGACTGTAGTTATACCAGGCATGAACAAAAATCATCAACGTGTTAAAATAGCAACTACAGATAATAATACATCACTCTTAGGTATTGATTGGTAATCTTTAGCCTATGTCTAACATTTTATGAGCTTACCTAAAATATTAATAGAATTTTACTAATAAATGTGTAAGTTTACAGTTTTCTTGAGGCATTAAAATTAAATTTATTATTTTTCGTGACAAAATTGTAACATATATGCAAAAATTGATTAACTAGCTTTAATAATTTCTCTAATAATCTAAGCTAAAATATATTTTTGTAAGAATATATAGTGGTACAGTTGAAGAATTTACAGTGTGTAACCCTTACAACGACACTACTGAATATATGCTTTTATTTACTTTGATCTGTAGAATCATACCGGACTAAGAATATGGATGACCTGATAGAACTCCATAATAAAACTCCTCAATGGAATGAAGAGACGCAATCGTACGTGCTTAATTTCCACGGAAGAGTAACACAAGCTTCAGTTAAAAATTTTCAAATAGTTCACGATAACGATAGTGAGTCATGGTTATTTTGTTGTTTTTAACATATTGAAAATAAAAATAAAAATACTATTCATAATTAAATACATTTTTCTTTGTTTTTAGTTGATTATATTGTTCTTCAATTTGGACGTATTTCCGATGATCTCTTTACGATGGATTATAGATACCCGTTGTGTGCGATGCAGGCATTTGCTGTTGCTCTTAGTAGTTTTGATAGCAAATTAGCTTGTGAATAGCAAAGGTGATTTTTTCACAATTGATATTAAATATTTATTATATCTCATTACACTGAGTTAGGTGTGAGCATAACTAATAATTATTATTTTATATATTTTGCACCAAATATGTATATTTATTCTAGTCTTTTTTTTATATATACAACTTTCCTATGTTAAATTTAAATGTTTTCACTTGAACAAGTATTACTATTTTTAACTCATTTAGCGTTTTTGCTATGTGGAACTTCATTATTTCATTTAAAATTATTTGTAGAACACTGCCACTATTTAACTGCCTTTATTTTTTAATGCTGTCTGTTAAAAAATAAAAATACATATGACAAAAATATAACTTCTTGAAAAAGAAAAATATGATGTGTTGTAACATGTTTTTGTTGTATAATTTCTAACAAAAAACTATAACATTGTTTTATATTTTCTTTTAAATGTTAAATTGTTACATTTGACAATGACAAATGTATACACATTTATTAGTTAAAGAATTATTATCATTTTTTGATAATATAATTAGTAATCTCTGTGTATAACAGTTAAATATTTGATTCATGTTTTTCTTGTTGACATTTTTTTACAGTCAAAATATCTAAAACAAATAATGTAATATATAAGTATATTTTTTGATCACAAGAGACTAAGCACACTTAAATATGTTGCACCAACTATGTTGTAAGTTAAAATTCAAATCCTAAGTGCCTTACACATGTGCCTTATATTTATAAATATATATTTTATGTTTATTAACAATGTGTTGAATTTATTTCTTAAAGTTAAAACGGATTTTAATAGTTGTTATGTGCAGATTTTACAGTTGGCATTTGTGGTGGAAACCATTTGGAAGCGACCAGTAAAAACTAAGTATATTTTAATGTTATAATGAATAAAACATATTTTTATAATATTTTGCAAAATAAAAGAAATCGGGGGGAGGGGGTGGCTATGGTATGGCTCAGTAGTCACTCCGTACCTGAAGTTAGGCTTTGTTGTCAGTTATTACTTGAATCAACTGATCGGGTGGGTGACCATCTGGGGTTTTAGTGGTAGCCCATGCCATCTCCCTACTGCTAATGTTATATACCTACACAAACTCAATCAACACAAGCTATAATGGCTATAGATGCCGATAGATTTTAACAAGGCACCTCTAAATTCAAATTATATACAATTAATTATTTGAAAACCAAATGAGAGTTTTATTCCTAATATATTTACTTAATGGTTGATTAATTTAGGATGTTTTTATTTGCGGGAGAACCATAGATATATGCAGACCTATATTAAACAATTATCAGGCCAGCGAGTAACCCACAAAATTAAAAAAAAACTGTTATTTTGTTTAGAATGGAACGCTAAACATACCAGACTTAAAAGATGAATACAAAAGCTGCCCTGTAGACATTTAATTGCTAGCCTCTCACACAGTCTGCTATTTGATACGTATAGGTGGTACCCAAACACATAGAAATCTCTCTACTCGCCCACTTAGATAGACATGTCAAAAATAAACTTAATAGTTATGCTGGTTACTATATACAAATGCTTATTATTATAATTTAATGTGTAGTTATTTGACACATAGTAGTTTATTAGCCTATCGTAAGAAGTGTGCGTTATTCGTTAAGGGGATTGCATGCGCGCTGTTATTTTGACGTTTTAGACCAAAAAGCCAGACAAAATTTCGACTACTTAAGATGGTCTGATTTAAATTCTGTAAAAAACGTAAGAGTTTTTGGCAACTTTACTAGGTTATGTAGGAAACTGAATTTTTACTTTTTTTTATGTAAAAAAATTTGGGTTTTAAATTGAAAAAATTTCAAATTAAATTTATTTTATTACAAGAAACTGAAATTTTAAAACGAAAATCGACTTCCTACATAACATAGTAAAGTAACCAAAGAACACGAATCCTTTACAGATTTGAAATTGGACCATCCTATGTAGTGGACATTTTGTCTGGCTTTTTGGTCTAAAATAATTGTTTTAATTATGTGTTGTTTTCACAACTAACAAACTTGAATGAATGTTTTGCCAATAAATCGATTGAGGCCAATTATTAAAAAACTTTTGGCCACAACATAAAATGAATCATCACCTACCATTCGACTACCGTGGTTACCATTGTTACAAACCAAGTGTTTATTTTGGATTAGCAACAAAAATATTTCGAATGATATCAAGGCGGGAAAAAAGGAGAGCACGACGACATTTTTATGTGGGCGGACGTACGCGGAACGAGACATAAAAATGAATTATGTGGTTGCGGACTCGTACGCAAGCTGTTAAAATATAATAATATGTAATACCCATGTGAAAACCGTTTTTTTTTATTATTAGATAAATTGAGCGTGACGACAGATTTTGCTAATTATTATAACAATTACCAATATAACTTTTCTTAAATATTTTGCCTATACAAAACTCCTTAAAAACAAACCGCATGTAATTCCCTTAACAAATAAAATATATAAGCTACTATTACTGCGAGTACAAACTATACGGCACTGCACTGGCATAGACAATAATAGTATACTTCAGGCACTGTTATAGGAGGTTTGGAAACATAAATCAACCATCCTAATAACTATCATTTTTATTTTTCGCTTACTGGCATCTACTCCGTAGCCTAGGGGCACAATGGATACATATGCCTTACCCTCCGAAGCACGCTAAAAAACTAATGAATTAATGTATTGTAGAACTATAAAAAAAATAGAAGTTAGAACCTATGTGAACATGGCCGCGTTGTGACCTATCTATACTTCCACTTTTCCCCTCAAGCCGAAATATGTTTCATATAACGGTACTGAATAACCACTCTAGATTAGCCGACAAAGTCCCTCGACTCGATTTCTATATACGTCATGGAGAAATGGTATTATTGTACGTGTAATTAATTTACCTCGTTACTTGGATCTTTAAGAAGTTCTACTATTTCTCGAGTAAAATTCTCCATTTCAATGCCGTTGGCGGCATACGGTGGTATAGAACGTTGTAATAATGCTTCAGTAACGGATTCTACTACCTGTGCCAGAATTTTTTCGCCTTTCGGATCTTGGGACAATCCACGTGCGCTGGTACTCATCCTAAAGTTAGGTAAATTCGAATTTCTTGAACCGCCCGTGAAGCGGTTGACTAACTGATTATTACCGTACATTCCGTTGTTCGACATGGTGTTGGTTGGCAACCGACCACCATTCCCTAACGATACTCCATTCGTCATTCCCTGCTGTCCCTAAGCAAAATAAAAGTATTACAAAGTAAAATATGTCTTAAAACCCACATCAGCCTAATCGGGAAGTTGAAAAACTAATGGGTAGTTCCCATCATGAGATAGTAATCCAATAGTACTACCCCACGTATGTCGAACGTCTATGTTTGGACAATGCCCAAGTATGGACATTTGGCACGTGTATGGAAACCTATCGATCAGCTTCCTATATAACAATGGGAACTTCCCGTTAGCTTCCTAACTTCCCGATACTATATTATCCCGGTGTACTTACATTTACCGAGTACGAACTCTTCATCGCATTCTGGAGACCTGTACTTATGGATTGTCCGACAGTTAATAACAAATTCATTTGATCGGACAACTGAGAATTGGGGAAATTCGTGGTTATCACATTGAATATTCTCTGAAGACCATTCAAGTTGCAGTTAACCATGCGCGAAATTCTAGATAAAACGCAGTTCATCATTTTGGGGTTAATGTTATTCTGTAAATTACCCAAGAACGGTGGTAACAGTGCAGAAGATGGGGTCGGCGGTCGCTCTATTTGTGTTTCCATATTATAATTGTTGGGTATTTGTTGAGACCAGCTGGGAGCGTAATTTGGATATTGGTTGGTTTGTTGTGGATACCGATTAAAACCGTTGTTAGTGTTTTGTCCGGCTTGTTGATACGAACCAGACCCGTAAATTGGGTTTTTTCCGGGTGGTTGTTGCTGATTTAACCCGTAGTTTGGGGTTTGAACGGCTTGATAATTTTGGTTTCCATCGAGACCGAAATTCGTTTCGGATGGCAATGAATACGAGGTACCACCTTTAGGAGACTTGTTCAGGTCGACTATAACATTAGATGATTCCAATATCCCATTTTTATCGGCGTACTCGGTTATTAGGACATCGTTGGGATTAGCCATCATTAAGCCATCCGAATTTATTTTATGTCCTTTCAGCTGTCCGTTTGGCATATCTTGGCGATAATGGTTTTCCGGTTGTCCATTGATATCCGAAAGAACATTGAACCGATTTTGGGGCATTTGGATTTTGTTTTGTTTTTGTCCGGTATTAGTTGACATTTGGTGATTACTACCCGGTTGCTCATTCGTATCCCAAAGATCACTGAACTGATTTTGGAGGATTGGGATTTTATCGATTTGTCCAATATTAGTTGACATTTGTTGATTATTACCCGATTGCACTCCAGGTACCAATGTTTCGTAAAATTGGTCTAAGGGTCTTTGGGCTTGATCGGCATTGGTTGAAAGTTGAACTCCGTCAGTTAGGAATCCTTGTTCGCCGTTTACCGAAGGTAATAGTTTTCTAGGCATATCTGATAAATCAAATTCAGATTGTACAACCTGTTGTAATCCTATTCCTTCCAATTTATTTGGATATTTCGACTGATATTCTACTTCTTGGAGTTTATTTGGATAATTTTGTTGAATTTCTACTCCTTGAAGTCCAGCCTGATTCTGTTTCGCGTATTTACCGGAACCATCCAGTTGCATAGAAAATTGTTGGGTATCGAATAAATTTACTTTTTCCTGTTGGTTGGACTGTTGATTAGGGTTAATTTTAGAGTTCAATGATGGATTTTCATTAAGCCGCCATTGTGACGACGGTTGTAAATTAATACCAGATTGTGATTGAAATTTATTATAATTGGTATCCAATGCATTCATATCTGATTGCGTTTGTTGCATTAGCTGTAAATCTACGGAAGGGATTTGTTGACCGATATTTGATTGAAATTGAGAATTCTGTTGTTCTTGAATATTATTATCAGATGCTAATTGTGCTTGTTTCTTTTGTTGCATTTGAAGGTCTGGATACTGTCCTCCCACTGCATTCATTAGTGAAGAAACTTGTGGGTTCATCTGTCCCGATTGATAAGAAAGAGACGAACCGGCATTTAGATTTGCTGCACTTGGTAACATTTGTTGTAACGAGTTCGTGGCTTCTGCTGGATATCTTTGAGTACCCGAGAACCCAAATTGTTCATTAATACCATTTAACAATCGATTAGGATATAGTTGGTTAGTTATACCGCCGGATAGACCATTATTGGGAAACAATTGACTATTGACTCCAACAGCTAATAGCTAAAAAAATAATTGTCGATTACATATTTGCAACTTCTATGTAATGTATCACTTGTTTTAAACAAGAATTGTCTTTTGGGATTTAAATATAAATTAAAAATGACTACATTAAATTTGAGGCCAGTTCTAAATTTAGCTAAGAAAATAGAATAAAAAAGTATATTTAAAGTACATTTTATAAAATTATTCATGTACAATGTACAAAACACTCTGAAAAATGAAAATATCATGTTTTTTTTAAATATTGGAGGTGTTTTAAAAAATGACTAGTCGTGTTACAGAAAATCTGTGGTCAGATTATAAAAAAAAAAGATGTGTAAATAGTGTAGTTATTGTTTTTGTTCTAAATAAGTCATAATTAGTTCTTTTTAAAATCTAAAAACTATAGTTTACTTTAGTGATGTGACATAAATCCGGATTTCGGATTCTGAATTTCAAAATTCAAAAACCCGAATTCCGGATTTCAGAATGCGAAAATCCGAATTCTGGATTTCAAAATCCAAATTTCGAATTTCAAAATTCAAACAACCAAATTTTGTTTTTCACAAAGCTAATTTATATTTTTTGTATCTATAAATAAGATTTTTAAGTTTTTATCTAAATTGAAATGTATATATCAAATATTTTTTTCATGTAAATTTTAAGATATTTTATTTTTAATTTAAAATGTGTTTGTATAATTTATTTTCCCAGTATACATTTTTGGTATCGATAAGCTGTAGTTTGATATAGGGGAATTTATTAGAAATAAACTCTCATTTTCTCTCGAAAATTATAATTGCAATATTCTTGTTTTTCTTTATGGACACTTACAACACCTAAGATTATGATTTTTAGAATATTAGAAAACATTCAAAAGATTATCTTTTATCGTAATTCCCAGAGCTCTGCCAACTTTAGAAATTCAAATAGAAACATATATATTTAATTAATTTTTTTTAATTGCGAATAATTTGCTGAATATATTGCTTATTAACTGGTTGATAACTGTTTTTGGATGTATTCTTTTAAAGTTATTAAAGTTTATTACTTAGAATGGGAGATGAAGTGCAATAACTTGTCGTTAATAACATCGTTCCTCTATCGATAATTTTAAACTTTAATAACTAAAAATAATTATCAAAAACTGTTTATCGACCGGTCAAAAGTTTCAGAAAATTATTCTTAATTTATAAAATGTATTAAATATTTATGTTACCATTTGAGTTTCTAAAGTTAGTAAAGTTAAAGAAAAATTAAAAAATGTAAATTATATAATGTTGTACAAAAACATAAATCAAAGTGTTTTTAAAAAGAAAATCCTAAAAATTGTATCTAATTATTTGCCGAAAACGTGTGACATACATTATATTGACCACCCTGTAAAAAAAATATTTTTATACCTACAACTATCTGATAATAAGAAAACCGGCTTATTTGTAAGGCATGTGGACTTTGCTAGATTGTTCCTAACTTTAACTTTTGCGATAACATAGAACTTACAGTTACACAACATCTAGCCTACTACGTAACAAATATATTAAATATAATACAAACAAGTTTTAGTTATAATAATTTTTATTATAAGAAATTTTTAAACACAACGAAAAGCAGTTTTAAAATCTGATTTCCGGAATTACAATAAATGTCTGATATTGGATTCCAAAACCCAGTAGTCTACATGCATAATTTACTAATAAGCTGGTTTTCATACTATCCTTGATAGTCAAGTAATTACCGATATCGGATACAGCTAAACTGGTTTATCAATTATACAAATACATTTTAAGATAAAAATTAATTAATGGTCTAAACAACAGAAATCAGCATTACGAAACATTAAATTAAAATTTTTAGATTTCGGATTCCAAAATCCGGATTTCGAATTTCAAAATCCGGATTCTCGAACTTCGGTAAAACTCTGTAGACTGTAGCGCTTTGAGATGTTAAACTTTATTTTTTTTTTTTTTAATATTTAATATTCTTTATTTTTAATTGATATTTCTTTATTTAAAACCAATGGCTTATAGTCACCCTACTCCCGCCTTAGAAAATTATCAATACATAGATATTCTCAAACTGAGATGTAACCGTTCTGTTTCATTATACATTAAAAAAATGTAAAACATTTATTTTTTTTTACTTTAGGAATCTAGAATGATTTATTCCAAATAAATAAATTAGTAACAATTGTAAATTATTACTAAAAAATATTTAAACATTTTTTTTTATATGTTAATGATATGACAACTGCCTTCATTGTCAGTATTTTAGGATACAATTATACCTAATACATCAACAAAGTATAAAGGAACCGTTATGATTTTTTAACAAATGGTTTGATTTAATTACTACAAAATGACTAAATATTTTTCGTTCAAAAACGTTAACGTTATCCGTTATTGTTATTTAAACTATATTTTTTTAAAACATGGTAGTAGGAAAGTGGTAATTTATACCTTAAAAATGAACACTTTATAAAAAAATAGAAAGCAAAAATGTATTCCAATTATGTTATGTTACATATATTATTAAAGGTAAAATTGTTCTCAAAGCGATCCGGAGTTATTTATATGGGAATTACACATAAGAATTAAAATGTTTTAAAAAGAATAGGTATATTTTTCATTTTAATATAAAATTCGTACCGAGTACGAATATGACTTCATTATAATAAACGTGTTTATAAGTACTACTCAATATAAAATGATCTACTTACTTTTTTAAATATAAACCCTATTTAGGTAAGATACAGTCTTAACATGATATAATACATCATTAAATTCATAAGCATGTCTACGGTCATGCGGTTGCATGACGTGCAATCTGTAATTTCTAAGTTAAAACTCAAAAGTATCCTGTTTTTTATGTTTGGAGCTATAATATCAATATAGCAAAGGTAAAATAAATTGTAGAAAATACTATAATATTAAACAGTCTGTTGCTATCTGTAATATTGATTAGCTAATATACCTTAAAACCCTAAAAGTACGGGACTGGGGAATATTCGTTTATAATAAATGTTTATAAAATGTATCTAGTTTGTGTAAGTTCTTTGATAAAGTATCGGTTATCTTTAATAACATAATAATGATTTGAATGTTTTTCAACGACAGATTTCGTTATACTATATTTTTAAATGTAAATTCGATGGTCTCCTGGTTAAAGGGATTAAGTCAAAAGTGTTTATAGTATCTCTTTTTACCCATTTGTAAATTGTAAAGAATTAAAATTCTACTTTTATTGTGAAATAATAGCACCGACAAAAATGGAAATAACCGCTATCACCAGGAGATCCTTGAATTATAAGTTGGTATTTATCATTTTTAATTAATAATAATTGTAACTATTACCTGCGATAGAAAAAATATAAGTCCATATTTAATAGCCGCCATTCTTCGTACGTATTATGTTTTTGTGAACTAAGTTATACTTACGCGCTAATAATAATGAACGTTGACATTGTGCCTCTTTATAATATATGTAGTTTTTTTTTAATACTATTTACACATGTGTTTTTAACTGCAGTATATTATGTACTACGTAATCCATAATAGAAAATGATTAATATAAAAGAAACGTAGTTAGTATTTGTTCGTGAACATGTTAAATAATATTTAAATGTGCGCACTCCATTTGATTCAATGTAGATAGGTACCTGTTCAATTATATTAATGCCATTTTATTATTTTAATGATTCTTTCACATATATATGTGTACAGTTTTTTTTATAAGTTGGCAGATAATAACTTTTTTTTAAACTAAAACATATAAACATATTTGTACTTTATAAAACAAACAAGTACTTAGGCAACTTTGGTACAATGTTTCTAATGAGAAAAACAAAAACATTAATTATTTGAATTATACTCATGTTATTAAATATATCGAAATGTTTTTTAATGTTACAATTTTTTTTTTGTAAATATAAGTAACCTATTTAAATTATGTTTATTTGCATATAAGTAATTGTATAATTTTACTCTCTACTTCAAATGTCAACTTTACACAGTGGAAATTGACATAGCCCTATATTTTGCGATCTCATGACCTAAATCATAGGGATCTTATAATTAAATAATTAATCCTATGTTTAAAAGACTCCAAGCTTTAAAACCATTAAACTTCAGCTCTAATTTAGGAGTAGGAAAAAAGTTATGCATTGATTTGTGCACAAGTGTCGAAATCCTATGTTAAATCCCATTTAAACTTCAACCCTCGTGGAGCACGGGTTAAATTAATATTTTTCAAATTTTTTTTTAATCTTATTTTTATTGTATTTAGAAACTTCTTAGGTGGCGTCTAGGTTAAAATTCGAGAATCTACTTTCTTAGGATCACCCTAATATTCACTGTATTTTATGATATTTCTATCTTGCCCTTAATGCGTATAAATAATTAATAACTAAATCTAAGCTAATAATAAATTTACCATCCAGTGAGCTTTACTCAGAATCGTTTTTTCTAAATGCAATGATTTTTCATTACATTCAAATTTTAAAATACCATACAACTAAATGGTCGTAAGCCAGGTAATCCCATCATAGAAATATACTACCTAAAGTACTACAACTCCACCCATCACATTTATCTTGTCGAAGGATCAAAGCGACGAAGGACAAACTTCCATCATCATTATCTTATCGGCTTTTTTAAAGTTTCATTTCAGTATTTTCGCTATACCGTTTCAAACCGGTATTGAAATCAATACTGTACTACCGGCATTCATTTTCAATGCCATATGCCGTCAGCCCTAGGGATATCTACTAGACTTCTTTTGGACTCGGGGCTCCAGTGCGCTATCTGGATTGTGTGCTCTGTGGAAAATAATATTAAAATCAGTGACGCACTTAAAGGCTAAGCCCTTTAAAAATGCTAATTTTGTATTAGTTCTATACTCTATAGTATAGGGATTAAGCTAATTCCCCTAAGGGGATATTGACATTTTTTTTGAAGGCCTTTAAGACCATCTTGTCATATTACAGAACCTCTTCCATTCTTCTTTATTCTCCGCTGTCAGCTTTCAGTCCCGGTCTTCATAATTTTCTCCTCTGGTATTAAGGAAATCTTTACCATCCACTCAACGTAATCTTGGCCTACCCAACAGCCTTTTATTCCTTGGATTTTCTTGGAGCACTCTTTGTATCATAGAATTTTATTTTCTACACACGGCCTGCCCATTTTAACTTACTCCGTTTAATCTCGTTCAAAATACTTGGTCTATAGAATATATCCACCAGTTCTTGGTTGTGTCTTTTCCTTAACACTCTAATGCCTTGATCCTTGATAGGTCCATATATTTTTTGTAGTACCTTCCTCTCGAACACGTGTAGTATGTCTTCCTCTGTTTTTCGTAACGTCCAACAATGTGATCCAATTTGTTAGGTCAGGTAGTCAAATTTGTCAATTTGTTAGGTTAGGTTTTAGTACAAACAATTTTTTTATATAAATAAATACTACCTAATGATACCTATGTTTGAATATATTTGTTTAATGTGTTTCAAATAGTTATTTTTATATTATACGATTATATTAGTAGCTACCATTTGTTGAAAGTGCAAATTTTTTATTATTATTACAAATGTATATTAAACATACAGCTGATCAGACATAAATACGGCTTTAAATAACTAAATAAATTAAAAATTGGGATTTGGGAATTATTTTTTATTTTATTAATGATATATTACAACATACATTGGATGTGTACGCCGTACGGTGAAAGCAAATAATGGCTGTTGCCTGTTTCCCAGTTGTCAGTGTCGTATTTGTGAATTTTGTACGTATCCGGTTTCATACTTTCGTGAAAACTATAACAATAATATACCATACTATTTGTTTAACTGGTAAATTCTGTTATAAACAATTAGTTTTATTTGATATATTATGTTAAAACGCCTATTTTGTGTGTACGTGATTCGCATAATTCAATTATAAGACGCATATAATAATTAATAAATTACTATGGACTATGTGTAAATATTTTTCATGGAGTGATCGTGAACGTAATTTAACTTTGTCGAGTGACAAGGACAAAAATTACTCAAAAATAAAATGACTATGGCGTATAAATATATATATATATATATATATATATTAATGTATATACTATATAAGGCTTAAATCTAGTGAGAGAGAGGGAGCTGAAGAAGTGGGGGAACTCGTACTATATCGTATACGAAGATCCGCACAACAGAGAATCAAAGAAAGCCAGGCGTTACTGTATATCTATATTATATATCTGCGTTCCCTCGTTTTCTCGTTTCACGGGTTAACTACCCATACGACGCGCCTAAAGAAGTTTCACTTCAAAAAGTTGCGGAAACGCTTAGTTTTTAAGTAACAGCTACTTGAACTTAGAGAATTATCATGCAGCAGTCGACGACGTGAATCCGTAGTTTGTTACAAATTCGTTATCAGTTAACTACTAGGGTTGGTTAGGTTAGGTCGCTGCCGCTTCCAGGGAAGTATCAGGTTAGGTTTTTTTATTCCCTTTAGGTGAGCTATTTTTACCTCTGGCGGTTTGGGGGCGTGAGCCCTTAGGGGCTCGAAGTCGGCTCCTAGAGCCGGCAGGCGTAGAGAGTCGCTTTATATTATAGTTGTACGTTTTTTTTTTAAATTAACTAAATTAAAGATATCAATTGCATTAGCCCACGAAAAAGGGGTTTTCACGACAAATGTAGTGGTTATCAACGCAACTAGGCCCCGCCCTTAGTGTTTTTTTTTGTCGGGTACGTGACACGGCTTTGAGAGCCTGCATCCACGGCGGCCGCGTCGTCTCCCGCAACGATAATTTTCTAAGTTCAAGTAGCTGTAACTTAAAAACTAAGTGTTTCCTCAACTTTTGCATCATCGTTTTCAGCGTTCAAAAACAAATCGATTGAAAAAAAAAAATTGAAATTCGGGTCTGGGGTGGTAAAGTCGATTTGTTCCATAAAATATGTTTGTAATACACAATGTGTACTACAGAAATACATAAATAACCTATAAATGTAGTATAATTTATATATTACATACCTATTAGCAAACATTGAAGGGCTATTGCAGTTTGGTTGCTAACTTCCTTATTGGGATAAACAACTGTTTATTAAAAAAATAGCTCTATACGAGTGACATAGGTAGTATACTACTCAGTGTAAATATAAAAAAATCAAAGTAACAATTATATAAAATTTAAATAATTATATAAATTAAATAAAATTGTATAAAATAATAAATAAATAAAGAATAATAATAATAACGGTAAAAATAAAAACATAATATTATAATATAGTTGGCATCAACTATTGGAAAAATATTTATATCAACAAAATAATTTACATACAAATTAACAAATAAAGATTTACTTTTTTTAGTAATTTTTAATGTAATGACTAATGAGTTACTTTTGAAAACAACATATTACTCCAAAAATGAATTCAAAGAAATTTTAGAATAATCTTTTTAACTGTTAACTTAACATCAGTTAATTCATTTTCAAGTAACTTTTAACTTTACTAAGTTTAAATTAACAAACTAGTTTAAAACGTTCAGCGCCAGTTGATATCAAAATCTGTTTTAGTTTAATCCTGTCTGCCTGAAATCTGATAAGTGATACCTAAGTAAAAATTTAAGGCTAAATCTACCCTGATAGTATTATAAAATTATGAGCATAGCATCAAAAAAACATTTTTGTCTGCTGTAGCGCTGAACCTGTCAATAAAAAATAATGTTTTGCCAGATTTGCTAATTTAATTATAATTTTGTTTTATGATATATTAAATAAATCTATTTCAAACAACAGTATTAATAACTTTTATTAAAAAAATTCGGATAATTTACACTAAAACGTAAACAATTTAAAAACTCTAAAGCTATCAAGTCTTTTAAATTACCTATTTGTTGACCAAGATTGATATGAAACACTCAACTAGTATTAAATACTTCATAGCTATATAGCACGTGTTGATCACATAATATGACCCAAATGCTTATTTTCGTTGGCACACTACACATTGCACAACGTTCGTTTGATGTCGTATACAGACTGTATGAAACGAATGTCCACATTTGAATAGCACTAAACCATTATTTTTCCCTCGTATTAAGGGGTCCGAGTTCAACGGCAATGAACACCAAATACAAAAATCATTTTTCAAGTCTATCCTTGCGCCCCAATGCGATTTTTTAGTACATAAATCTTCATATTTCAAATTTGCACCTTTATCTTCTTCCAAAGCTGCCATAACAATTTTACAATTCTAATAAAACAGATTGGGCAACATTAATATACTTTAGTAAATTCTCAATATTATTTTACAAAATAACTAACAACCTTTGTTCCAATGGCTGAAATGTTATTATTGCTTTTCACTGTCTCAACCACTGAAGTTTTTAAACGGGCGTCCACTAATGACATTAAAACATAGCTTTGATAAAACCTATAAAATAGAATTGTTCAGCTGTAAATTATAATTTAAAAATTAAACTTATTAATAATTACCAAGTATCAATATCTCCAAGTGGTATTTTCTTTTTGTGTTTCGTAAGTAAATTTCTTACTATTTCCATGTCTAAATGTTTCAAAGCCAAGCCGGCTAAGTCAGTCCAAGAAATTCCTTTATTTTTTTCTCCCACAGAACCACAACTTAAACACACTCCATTTTTAAAGTAATAATTCAATGTGAACATTTTATCAAATAATTCTTCACTCTTATTGTTAAGATGCAACTCTAGTTGATCAATTGAGTTTAAATGAATCGACAAAATAACCTTTGAATACTTTGGGCTATGCAGCCTAAAATCCGACTCTAATACTATTGGCCATAGGTGTGGTACTTCTTTACAAAAACATTTTATCACATCTTCTAAACAGTTCATGGTTAAATTTTCATTTACTAACTTGGCAAATATTTTATTTAATTGATCAAAATCAATATTTGCTGTCGATAAATATTCAACAATCATTTTGCCAAGTTTTTTAAATTTACCATTTTCATTACTTAATGGAAAACCACATTTACACAACGGGCTTTTGTTATTACTCGTAACAATAAAACTATAAATAGTATAATATAGTATGTTACAATCATCAAATACATTCTTGTCCAGATCAGATAAATAATATAAAAATATTGTATTGCATTTGTTTAATATATCCGACTTCAGATGTGCAGAAAATTTCATTAGTAAATAAAATACAAATAGTGGTTTGATGTTTTTCTCATACCCAAGCGTACAGAAAGATTCAATTTGATCTAGTTTCAAAAACACGTACATAGAGTTCAAGTACATTAGAAGTGGTATTTCTATTTTGCAGGCGTTATTAGAATTCAGCTTCAGGATCTTACTGAATATAGTGTAAGAGCATTTCAATTTGTTTTTTAGTAAAAACTCTAACAGATTATCGACTTCCAAAATGCCTGCAAACAGTGTGATGAATGTACTAAGCTTAATATCTATTTTGAAATCTTCTTCCGTCATATAGTGAGTTAAAAATTCAGGATAGTCATATAAATCAACACTCAGAGTATCTTTGACATAGGTATTGGCCCATTTGGCTACTAATTGTTTTTCGAAACTATCATTCACCGCTTTTTTAAGAGTGTTAAAATGTTTTTCTTTTAAATATTGTTTAAATGGGAAATTTAATTGTTTCGCTTGTAAAACATTTTCCAAACTTGTTTTTACCTCCAGCACCCCGTCGACCAGACTTTGTAAGCATTCTATGTCTAGTTCTTGACCGGTCTGCAATTTTTTGCACACGCTCAGAATAGGAAATATATTTAGTTTTTCCCTATGCTCAAGATCTAATTTATAACTAGTAACGTCCACTTCATTCTCATTCATTGGTATAGGTTCGGAATAAATTGTAGCATCATTTACTTCGTACGGTACCAAATTATTTTTATTAGAAGTGGTTAAACTATTTATAGTGTCTTTAAGTGTCTTACTACTCTGAACAATTTTATTGGTTACATTTGATCCAAGTTCCATGAGCGTATCGTGGAAGACGTCGGACGTAGCCAGTGAAACAAAAGGCATTCCTGGAACATTCATTTCCATGTACATTTGATTTATGCTAAACCTTTCCTCGGTACTAGAATAGTTAACAGGTTGAGATTGTTGACACTTTGTTATTTTTTCTAAATTGAATGATATATTTGGTAATGACTTGGAACGCGGCAAGGTTTTTGATGTCTTTGATTTGATTGTCATTATTAAACTATTACTTTTCAATAACTTATAAGGTTTTTTGACGTAAACATTTTTTTTCAATGTGTAAATACCTGAAGGTGATATCGAGAACTTCTGTTTCAGATAATTAATTCGCTTTATTTTTGATATCACAGTTTTCGTATTGCTTGGTAAATTTATTTTCTGATCAATTTCAACGAGTGGGTATAAATTATCAATTATACGGTTGGTTTTTAATATTCTAGGATAATAATGTTCTATTAAATCTATACATGTATTATAACATTCAGATTCATAACAACTGATTAAAAAATCTTCAAGACGAATAATCTTATCAACAATCAGTTCACCGTTAGAAGATAAAACGTATATGCAATTATCAACACACTTTAAATTTTGTATATTACTGTAACCGTCATACCATAAAACAATGTTAATGGTTAACATGTTAATTATAAATATACTATTTGATGTAAACGTAAGAATACAATTGTTCCAAATATCACAGAGTTTCTTGAAATTTAATGATTGAGGTGGCCAATTTTCACTAGAAACCCTCGAAAAATCAATTGTCATAGAGTCATGAACGTTAAGAGTTGGTGGTATAGCTAAACAATATTTAAGTTGATGAGTACTTTGTACAGTACCGTTTATTTCCACTTCCCAAATTCTTGAGCCCGGCCTCGCTGAAAATATTTTTTTCTCCTTCCATTCGACTATACAACAGCCGTAATCGCCGTCTCTGGGTTTTTGTCCAATTTGTTTATACTGTTCCTTAACAATGTCACAAACATAACACCGTGTTAACGTGGATACTACCAACAAGTCATCCGAACTGTTCATTTGTACTACTTTTGAATCTAATTGTATCATGGTGTACGGAGGAGTTTGGAATATAGCTTTACGCTGTAAATACGTTAACAAAACTCCAATTTATTATCTTTGAACAAGTAACTTTTTGGTTAGCATACAATTTTATAGTACTCACGACAAACAGAGAAACACAAATCGACGTAACTTTGCCACTGTTGTCCCCAAAATATAATTGATTTTTCGAAGTCCATTCCATAGCAGTAATTTCATGTCCTAAATGCTCAGTTGACTTATTTAACATCTTTGCGCCTATTCCGTTATCATTCCTTTGTAAAATGCACACAATGCCTTTTTGAGTTCCAAAACCTATTAGTTCTTCGTCTTTCGATAATAATACTTGAGTAACTGAACCTTCCTAAAAAAATTAAAAACAAGTATTTATTTGATTAACAAAGACTTCTTTAATTTGTTTACCCGACTAAAAGACGAAGAGTAAAGTATTTAAGTTTAATTAATAGTTTTAATACATTACTTTGTTGGGCAGTAATTGAATGAATTCGCATGGTTGTCTTTGAAATACGTATAAACCTCCACTTGAAGCACCAAATATTATAAAGTTTTGTGAAACGTCAAAACTTGTATACTGAAAGTAAAGAACAAATTATTTTATTTTGGCTTTTTAGACTTCAGCTTGATCAACACATTTAACGATTCTTTTTTAAGCAATATACCTACATGTATTTTATATCTTCTTTATGTTTTGCTCAATCAAAATCTGATCATAAATTTTTTATATCAAATACTATACATTTTTTTGCTTCTTAAAAGAATGCTTTTAAATGAATTTAAATTAAATACTGTAGTCAAAACTGGCTGACAAAACTATAACTAAACGATAAATAACTTCATACAAAATTCAGTGGACAACTCGAATAGACGAGGAAGTGAGGTTTTTATTTCAGTTCCGTTTCCAAATATAATACTCACAGCCAGACTTGACTCGTTGTTTATGTCATAATGCTTTTGCGTTATGTTACAAATTTACAAATAAATTCATTTGATAATAATCAAATGAATCGTTTCAATCATCAAATCAATAATTTTGAATTAGTTAAAATCAGCTAGCTTAGTTCCCAATAAGTTTAAACGTATTTATATAAATAAATGACTTACCCTTATTCTTTGGGTAGCCTTTAAAGGAGATTTGAAAACATTTGCACAATCGATTCTATTCAGTATCAATATATGATCCGACGACTTATCTCCATCCATTTTAGAAAATCGTAATAAATTAATAATATGACATCAAAGGTAACAAAATAATATCATAATGATTTTCAGATTAAAACTTATAATAATTATTATAAAAAATGTATTGATCACATTTCTATTTTCTGTGGTCTTAGATTTTAATGTTTTCAATTTTACAAAACTGGTCCTCTCTTTTACTAACTACAGATGATAACTGCAATCAGCAATGTCTTTAATTGGCGGTTGGTCTATGAGACCCATAAAGATCTTATAGATAGGTCTATGGTTTGTCTGTTTTGGAATATTATCAGCTCTTATTAGTTATCACTCTTGTATTGATATCACAATTCACAAAAAATTGTATTACATAATAGCATCAAATACATTTTTATTTAATCTGTGATAATAGCATAACAAAATAATAATAATATTAATATGTCTATGCATAATAATATACAAATTGGATTGATCCTTTTGAAATCTTGATAGTAGCAATTAGCAATACAATTCTGTTAAATGTCGACTAATGATGGGAATCATTATCATTTTTATATTTTCATCAAAAATATTTTACTTGGGTACACGTTTTATATTGCAATAATATTATAATATAATACCTATTCAATAAAGTAGCTTAATTAGGGTTTTTTTTGGGAAAATCCAGATACAAATTGTAATATAAGAAATAATAAAGAAATACATCTTAACTTTCATTTATACTAAATATTTATTACAGAAAATTGTTGATTATTAAATATTAACGATATATTACTCATCATTCTGTATACGCCATAATTATATTCATACAATATTATGAAAAGATAATTTCTAAGTACATTAATATGATCACTGTACATCACCCTTTAGTCTTTAGAAAAGGAACTAAAATCCACCTTTTTGTTTACTGAATCGAAATCTGGTCTCAGAATTATTCTAGCACATCTATAGTTATTCTTGAAAACGTCTCCAGTCGCTAAAAAAAACGTTCGTCATATTTTGTTGTAAAAGGTTTTTAAATTAAATGATCTATTTATTATTGGGCAAAGAGTTGGGAATATTCCATTTAACTTTTGCTACAATTTGTATAACATGTAAAGAAAATGCTATATTTTAAAAATGTATTTACAAGTGCCACAACGCGGTCTAGAGACACTTTTTAGAATATAAAAGCTTTAGAATGCTGAATTTTAGGTAATACTGCATAAAATTATAACAAATATTAAAAAAAAAATAAACACATTTTAAAATAATTTTTAAATTACAGTTCAATCGAAAAAATTTCTTTGATATTTTCAAATAGGTACTCAAGATTATTAGTACTTAATATGTGCATGTTGTAATTTTTATAAATTTAAAAAATACGACTCGAGAGATTAATTTTTCTGATCAACATTTTTAACATATAAATTGTTTATTTCATTTAGTAAAAAAATTTTTTATAGGACATGGCATTTAAAAAAAATGTCATTGATTTATAATTTTTATTTTGAAAATCTGCTGAAATTTTGAATTTTGTACAACACACGCAGTAAATAGTTTCTTACAAAGCTGACATTACTTAGGTTGTGGTTTTATTCAATTGTTTTAACCATACTTAAACCGTATTTCAAAACAAAATAGCTATTCTTCACAGAGCAAATATAAGTTTTAGTACTCATTAAAATAAGTAACAAATTATAATTCGGGTTTTATAGTAAATAAACTATTTTAATTAGAAAAATCAATAGGGTAAAATAATAATTTTAACATTAAGCTGGCTTTGTTTTTCCAAATCAAATGCCATAAACCATATTATGTTATAATTAAATTGGGAAATTAAATATCTACAAAATTTTTCTTGGCTATTCAATAAGCAATTGAGTTGATGCACACAGCGAATTACTTAAACAAAATTATTTAACCCAAATTTTAAATTAAAATTACGCTAAAATAACAGTAATTTAGTAGTCCACAATAAAAATAATGGCAACTTTGTAATATTGGATAAGTTACATTCATTCATACCATGCTAATATTTTTAATACTTTTTAAATAAAATAAAATACTTTTAAGTAAGCCTAACGTGGTAACGTTTACAAAATCTGTGGTAGGTTGGCAGAAGTTGATATTTTACTTTTTTCAACTCCAAAGAAAATAATCTACTCTACGTATTAATTTCCACATTAGCAGCAATCTACAATACTGAAAGCACCCACCCATACAATACAATATTCTTTTACTTTACCCATTAAAAAACATATCAGTGTAATTATCCCAAAATACACAAGTGCTATATCAGCTTGTCATCCTACCAAAAAAATGTAGGTCAGATATTTCAACAATTATTTTCAGTCTACTATCATTAAAGATAAATATATATTATTTTGATAGAAATCGAGTTTAGTAGGTAGTTTTTTATCATTTTGTGCTATACTTAACAAAATAGAAACAAGACAAATATACATAACAAGTCACCAATTCTTCTTGTTCCATTACACATATTTTAATGAAACAACATATTAGCTCAATAATGATTCAATTATCACTGAAAAACTAAATACCTAAAATTAAAATAAATAAAAAAATTATTTACAATACATTATGTACAAACGGACAAAGTTTGACAAATAACTGTAACATTTCCACGACAAAAAAAAAGTAAAAAAGTAAAAAAAAAAACAATTATTTTGTTTTAATTTATATATTTTTAACTTTTAAGTTTTGATATATATTTTATTCGTTTTTTTTTCTTTAAAAAAGCACACATTTGTATTTGATGTTTGCGCACTCAGATGAAAATAATTGAAATTAAACTTATTTCTCTTATAACCTAATGAACAGACACATAGCAATCGGGGCCACATTTCAATATAAGGTTTTATTTCAATAAAAGGTTCAACCTATATTATTTTTTTCTCTTTGTACTTCTATTCTAAGGAATATAATACCTAAAATGTGGTAACATTGAAAAAATCCCTTTCTCAAATTATATTTCTATATTAAATATTATACATGTATATAATATTTAATATAAAAATGTATTAATTATATATAAATATGTGCGTGTGTGTATTTATATAAAACGTTTTAATTAGCCATTTAAAATATTTTAAGATCTCTTTACTAAAAAAGAGGGGTAATTTTAAAATATTTTCTCGATTACTATGATAAGTCATCTAATTACTAGATTAATCTAAAATAAATAAAATAGCAATCTCTTGAGGTCTGAACAATTTAAGTAGAAACCAGTAAGATATAAATAATAATTTAGGACAAAAAAATAATAATAATCTCAATTCTTTTAAAGTATGTAAAAAAAACTGAAAAACTTACTGAAAATGCCATAGGCATTACCAATGTAGGGATTAAGTTCTAAACATAGACCTTACGATAACTAATTGTATAAAAGTCCTTAACAAGATACAAATATGATATACAAAAAGAATATAAGCATGTATTTACATTATTATAGACCTCAATATTAGACCTGCTCATTTAGGCTTGTTGTTTTGTTACAAATTATAACAAACTATTGTATAATAATAATAATATATATATATATATAACATATAATATTGTTATGTTTTTTTTCCGGTAGTAAATATTTTAATATACAGATGTGCAATGAAAAATGAATAATAACAACACAGTCTTTATGTGTCCGCCATGATTATTCGTCAAACGTTATACTTGCGTCTCATTATCAGTAAGGCGCGTGTCGAGGATATGTAGTTTCTCGATATTTGCCACCTCCATAAGCTTGTGCTGAATAGCCACCTCCATAACCAATTGTGGAATAATCATATCCTCCATATGCACCATAGGCATCATAAGCATTAGCTGCATAACCGTAGTCAGCGGCTGCACCATAAGGTGCGGCGGCCGCTGGGGCCATGTAACCAGGATAAGCTGGTCTCATACCAAAAGTAGTGGCAGCTCTAGCACCAGTCGGACCTCTTGCACCAGGAGCGGTCATTGTTTCAGGGTTGAATTTCACTTTTTTCACATCAACTTCTTTGCCATTAATTACTTGTTTTGGGTTCTTCAACACCTGGTTAACTACTTCAGAATCTTCAAATGTTATAAAGCAAAAACCTTTCTTTTGGTTTTTCATTTTATCAAATGGCTGTTGATATTCAGCTATTTGCCCAAACTGAACAAAGTAATTTCGTACATCCTGTTCAGTCATTTCTGACGTAAGGCCACCGACAAAAATTTTACAACGCAATGGGTTCACTTTCTTCGTCACCTAAAAATAAAAACATGTATTATTTCATAATATCCAATGCCTTGAACATGTGTTAATGTATTTATCTGGTTAAATAACCAAAAACTTAATTCATAGGAAAGGCTATTAAAGTTCTTAATATCAAAGTATGAGAATTTTTTCTTATTTTTTTAATAGCCTTTAGTATTATTTCAGTACTCAATTAAATAATTCATATTTTAAATATGACTTAATATGTTATATAATATAGAAAACGTTTTTTAGTAGCATAATGCTACAATTCCATAATTTCAAATTAGTCATAACATTAGCCGACTCTACCATTACTATCCCTCACAATTTGTGATTGAATAGAAAGCTAAAAACCTTTAAGAATTGATCAAATGAAAACTTATAATACAGTGAGGAAAATTATTTTTTAAAATAATATAAAATTAAGTTCAATAATTTTTTCCAATATATATATATATTTTTTTTTTTTGATAAATTGATTTGTCGAATATAAAAAAAAAAACTTAGTTAGTTAGTTAGTTAGTTTTAATATCAGTTTCACCAATTTATGAGAGTTATATTACTCTTATATTAGAAACCTGTCATTATTTGTTTCAGTGGTTATAGTTTTAAAGCGTGTTATGACTTAAATGTTTGAACATTTTATTGCTAATACAAATATTAACTAACTAAATATTAAACTTTTTAAAAATATACAGATTTGTTGCTTTTTTTGTTGAACTAATGAAAAAAATATATTTTAAACCTACACTCAAATTGTATTTTTAAATAAGAAACAATATTTAAAAAAAAAAAAGTAAAATTGCCTGTAACAATCCAGCGCTTAAATATCAGTCTTCGTCTACTTCTTCATCTTCACCTTACACTCCCAACTACATAGGGGTCGGCCTCCTAGTCCTACACCTCCATAGAGTTTGATCTTTTACATCTCGTTCAATCATCCAAGATATCCTCATATCACTCTCTATTCCATCTATCCATCTTTTCTTTCTCTATTCCTCTTTTCCCCTCTACATCCATCTTCATAACACTTTAGACCATAAACAGTAAAACAAAAATTCATGTATTTTGGTTTTTATATAAAGTAGTCCTGTTGTTACAAAAATATTTATGCCATACATATAAATTAATTTAGGTATAAATTTACTTTAGCAGACACCCTTTTTCCCTTCATATTTAAGTGTTTTTTTACACTGATTACGAATCTGTAGTCAGAATTAGGCGGACTCATCTAGTTCAAAAGTTATAGCTAATTAAAATTTGGATATTTTTTCGTGTATAATAATAGGCAGAGGTGGTTAGCAGCAGCAGCGGATGTTTCCAGAGCGGTATTAGGTATTTTTTCCACTGAGGGTTTGGGGGCGTGAGCGCCATTCAACAAAGAATCCCGATGGGGATTCGAGTTTTATATAGTTTATGATTTACCAAAGATTTACTAACTTAAAGCTTTAATACTTAAGAAAATTATATTGATGTTCAATAATAATATTATTATAATAATAATATTGATATTATTATAACGATCAACTATAAAAATAAAAATAAATAATTAATAATACTGTAGCAGCGCGCTCGTGTCGTCGACAAATGTATGATGTAGCGCCGGGCGCCCACCGCCTGTTATTATACATGCGGAAATATGAAAATTTCAAGTAGCTATAACTTTTGAACTACAAAAGTGACATTTTTGTTATTTAGTTGAATTACATTACGACTTAGATTCGTAATCAGCGTAAAAAACACTATAATATGGCAAAAAAATCTTAAAAAAAAGTGTCCTATATAATAAATTTGTTCCTAAATTTAAATAATAATGATGACATATTTAAGTGACAACTTAATATAGTAATGTAGTAGGTAATGTAGGTAGTTAATGTAGTAGGTAAAACAAACATGATAACCCTAATATTAAAACTGCTAAAACAATGCAACACAAATAAACTATGTAACACAATTAGAGGTATACAAAAGTTATATTTTATCAACTCACCCTTTTGGGGTCTACTTTTTTGTTAGCGATAAAGTGATCTCCGGCCGCCAGCAGATCGTCAACAGTTTTGGCACTTACGAACTGCACAAATGCAAACCCTCTAGACTGTCCAGAAAACGGGTCTGTTTTAATGTTAACGTTTTCGATTTCACCGTATTGACTGAAGTACTCCCGTATCTCTTTTTCGCTGATCGTCCTGCCCAGACCACCAACGAATAGTTTCTTGTCATCATCGCGGCCAGGACCCGTGGCTCGACCATTAGCGTTCGGTTGCTGAGCCATGTCCTAAATAGTGAAAATACCGTAACGGATTAACGAACTGAAATTTGTAAAAAGCTGACAACAGCGTAAACCACGCTCTCTGCTCTTAACACTAATAGATGTTGACTAACGGTGGCGGCATGAGGCAGTAAGGTGAACTTTGCCGGCAATCGGTCACTTACCATTAAAACAACGACGTGAGCCTGGATGGCGTGGAAACAGTTGTAACGACTGGACCTCGTGAATTAAAGTCCGTGTTTCGTAGACTAGGCAAAGCAATGAAAAATTAAAAACTGCTACTATTTACACACAAAACAAGACACACACACATACAAACGGCAGCCGACGCTTAGTGGTAAACGCTATTTATCTCTCTCTCTACCGGGTTTGTTGTCTGCCAACAACGGGTGAAACGAGTGTGGAGGAATAAAACAAAATGGAGGGAACCTTACGGCAGTGTTACCAATATGATAATCGTTACAGATATATTTGGCGGCAAAACGTTTTCAAATCTTAATTTTTAACATTTACAAATTATTTACTTACAAAATGCGGAATTGCATTGTTATGCATCTAATAAAACTATAATTTTTTGTTATAATAAAATACCTATGTTAAAAAAAACCCTATCTAATTTCTTCGCTCCACGGAAAAACTGTAAATTATGGATATTGCTTTATCCTTGCGCCAGACGTTTCGATGTTCATCTGCACATTGCACATTTTACGCATAGGACCCTAGTACTGTTAGTGGCTCACTTTTAGGTTTAAGACACTATAGAAGTTACAGTGCTGTCTGTGTCCGTCCGTCCGTCCTCTCCATCTCCATCACCATCACACATAAACATATTGACCGACAGTCTATGATGCGAAATTTCCACGCAAATTTTGAAATGACAATGATGAGTTTTACCGCTGGGGTAAAACAATTTCGAGTTTCCATTAAAATGATTTCTGTTATCATATTATATTTGTGTGACTACAAACTACGAACTAATCTTAGTTCGTGCTACAGACTAATAATACCATAGAGTGGGATAAATATTACTCTATGGACTACAGTATATCCACTGAACTATTCGTCATTATCGATTTCAGATTTGTTTTATATAATGCTATAATAAACTAATAGACTTATCTAACACTAGATTTAAAGTATGAAGGCTGTATATAATTTTAAAAACGTTTTATTTAGCATTTAGGTAATTCCTACTAAATGTAACTTAATTATTACAGCAGCTACAGGAAAAAAATGTTTTATACGTACTTAAGAATATATTCGGCAGGTATGTTGTTGGACAATAACATTGGTATTCAATGTAAAAAACGGAGATTATAATAATATTTACTATATTAATTTATTTTGTTTGTATTAAGGAGGAGATAACAGATAAATGACAATAATAAGCGACTAAGGGCAAGTACCTAAATAAGAATACAATTTTGAATATTGGTAGTATAATACCAGAGAATACTGGACTGTCTGTAGATTATAAAACTTTAATCTCTTATTTAAGATCACTTGTTGTGCCGTGAGATAGTTGTACGGATATGTTTCGAAAACCATGAAAGGTTTAACATTCAATAATTCAATTTTGTTTGTAGATAACTGCTATATTTGCTAATATTGAAAAAATATAATTGCGTAACACAATAATTACAAAGTTCAATAATGAATGTGTCTAATTGTAAATACATGTCTCGCCGTAAAATTACTTTGTTAGTATAGATATTAGATATAGTTCGTATTTGATTAACGGTCGAATCTAAATATTATTTTAATATAAACATTGTACAGATTTGTGCAATTATATGTTTGACATTATAGCAAATTTTTAAAACACGTAATATTTAAGTAAAATAAACAACAATTATACTTATTCTAAGGCCTAAGGGCCGTGCTAAAGAGAGGTAAAACAAAAGGAGTAATTTACGTAGGCCGGCAGGCAGCGTTAATTAGTTTATTATAAGTTGTATATAATTGACGGAGAATAAGTAATTAAAAAATTCTGCTTACAGCTCTCCAATTCTTTTAAACATTTTTCTGGTAGCATTAAAGTTTAATTTTTAAAAAGACAATAGACAACAGCTATAATAGTAATACTATATAAGAGCACCTATTTAATATTTTAAGTGATGCCTATCAACAATTCTGAAGTTGAAGTAAACTATTTACTATAAAAATTACGTAATAATAATAACATGCATACCTAACCATTACATGTTTAATGTTAATAATAGTAATAGCATATAATAGTACTTATGGAACTACCTATCCAGATCTTAAATCCAAATTATCTTGGAATACATTTTTCGCTTTTCCCTAATGGTGTTAGTTAAGCATTTACAATTTCTATATACGTCTATACTATTAATATATGATTTCTAATCGATTTGCTATATTTTGTTATTATGATACTGGAAATTGCATACAAATTATTATAGATAATAAATTTACGATGGCTAAAATATATATTTTATGAATTTAGATCTATTTATAAGTAGGACCTTGGTCACTGAAAGTTCAATATTGTACTACGATAATGACAAGTAGTATATTGCTTAGTTTATAATATTCATTTAATTTATTAATATTTTATGGACAATTATTGTTAACCTTTAGCTCCGTGGTAGGTGCCCCATTAGCTAGATACGTCTTATTGATAATGTCCAAAAGGTAGAATATCGGAGTTCCTTGTTTTAGTGATAGGTAGAATTATGAATAAACCCTAACCACAATAAAAAATATACTGAGCGTATATGTATTACGATTTACGGCGACTATGTTGCCATCATCAGCGCTAATCGCAGATAATGTCTAAGAGTAATTGTCATAAGCAAAGTTAATAGTTGTAGGTATTAAAATCATTGTTCTACTGAATTACTTAACATATTCGCATAATATTATTTAGTATCAAGCGATATTAATGGTTTACAAACGATTTTAAGTTTACGGTTTACCTCTAAATACATAGTAGTATCTATAGTTAGTACCTTCTTTAGGTAATAACATACCCGTTATTAAAAATTAAATATATTATATATATATATATATATATGTATATATACATAAATGTCAACGTATAGTGTGGGTAATATGTACGGAAAGCCGATTGTAGATTATTATCTTCTAATTTTTTAAATACAACAAACAAATGCAACCGAAGCGATAAAGAAAATATATTTATTAATACCTTATACACTAACATATTATTTCAAGTACGAAAATTTAAAATATTTTAATTACAAAATTATTAGCCTACTAATTGAAGTTCGAATTTTAAGTACTATATAACTAGCCTACTACAGTACTACCATAAATTATCTATTGTTCATTTATCATTTGACCTTGTGGTTAAAGAAAACATATGATAATATTGGGAAACAAACACCGAACACGAAATGTGTTGATAAGGCTAAAACACTCATCACTGATCACAAATCACAATAATGATGTCATACCTTCATAGCAGGACGAAGGAGTAAATATAATAGTTTTATTCAAGTTTTTATAATTATAATTTTAGTGAACATCTTCAATCATGAAGTGGCTAAGATGTGGGAAGAAATAATATATAAATGATAGCATAGATAACTGTAGAGTTAGTTGATTTTATTAAAACTTTTATCAAGATGTCCAATCCAAATGAGAGTTCTGGATCGAATCTGGCAAACAATGGTAATGTTAATGCGTACAAATTAGACAGGTGTTGTTTACTTGGTCTTAATTAAATTGGTATCTATATTTAAATTTACTGTAGACTCTAGAGTCGCCGCAACTGTGCCAAGTCGTCGAATGAGTCTCGCAGCTGATCTTATGATGCACATAGAACGTAGAGCGGCTGAAAGTTCTGCAATGTTTCGCAGTAACGTCCATAATGTGGTTGAAGAATTAAGACCAATTATAACAGTAGCACGCCATCCTGACCCCGGTTCACCATTACCCCTAGGACCTGGATCTTCAGTACGTTTAAGCTTACCTACGTGGCTGAACCTTAATTCAAACAATGTACACGCACCGCTTTCGCCCCCTAGTTCATCAGAAACTGATGATAGAAACCCCATTGCTCAAGGTATTTATTTTGGTCGTATTACTTTATGATTATTTTCAATGATAATTTTTTAATTATTGACTTTATAGGTGACAACGGTGTATCTGAAACATCACCAGTTGCACTGAGACTTCCTTTATCTGATATTAGGCCACCTACAAATGAGCAGCCAAATAATGATGTTTCAATAAATATGAATTTGCCTAATTTGGAAGAAAATCCTGAACACGGACCTCAAAGTTCAGGTGCAACATCTCCAAACGGATCTAATAACAATAATGAGAATCGTAAGTGTTATGATAGCAATTATTGAATATTTAATGGTCTAGTATGGCAAATCTTGGAAACAAAATATATTTCATCATTCCTATTATAATAAAAAAATACCATAATTGATTTGTCATGGATTCGTGGATTAGGCTACATACTATATAAATAATATACAACTCGTAATGTTCCATTTAACTGTTTTAATTTTTATATAAATCTCTTATCTATAATTTGACAAAACAATAAAATAGGACTTAGAGAAAGATTTTAAAACTATGAACGAGATGTTGAACCTCTTAAAAGAAAATCCTGCCTTATTAATTTAGACGAACATAAACTGAGAATGTAAAATTATTACATAACGAATAATCACAATGAGATTAATTAACTAAAAAATAAATTTATGAGCAATAATAATTATTTTATAATATTATAGTTATTTTTGTATAATAATTATTATATTATTTGAATTTAATAAAAAGGAAATAAGTTCAGCTTATGTCATGTTGTTTCGACATATTTTTTAAAATTCATTAAGAGTTGTATAGAAATGCAAACCTAGCTATTAAAAATTATAATTAATTTGAAAATAGTAAGGTATGGGAAGTTTAGTTTTATGTAGCACACCAAACATTTTTGTTTTAAATAAATTTGTATTTATGATTATTTCCAATAATCATACAAAAACATTTTTATTAACAGTTTTAAATTGACGCCCCGTACAAAAAGTAGCACCGTTCAAGTTCTTACAAAGACTAGCACCATTCGTGCTATTGGTGCCAACGGTTTTCGGAATAAATTTCGCAAACGGTGCTACTTTTCGTAAGGTCATCGCCAACGGTGCTAGTTTTCATAAGAAGCTTCGAACGGTGTTAGTTTTCGCTAGAACTTGAACAGTGTTACTTTTCGTACGACGCGTCGAAATAACCTGTTAAAAAATTGTATTTTATTATCAAAACTTTAATTTGTATACATTTTCAATTTGAATTATTATTTACACTTTTATTTAAATACAAGATTATTTAGTGTTAAGATTGAAAATTAATTTTAAAAACATTATTTTGGTTTAATATAAGCCATTTAGGTTCTTTGCCACAACCACAACATTCTTTAATTTATCTATATCAGCAGCTACCTCATCTCCAATGTGCATTCCTAAAATGTCCATATAGTTCTTGACTCTGTCCACCCATCTTTGCCTTTGACTGCCAAGCGGTCTTTTGCACACTGTGCTCTCCAAACATGACCTACCCAACTCAGCCTTTTACTTTACAGTGTCATAATTATTACAGCATCTTCTAGTAAATTTCTTATATCTTGATTAGTCCTCCGTTCCAATTCTTTTAAAAAAAAATTTCAACTTGGAATAAAGTTTTATTTAAAAATATAACTGGAAATAATAACATATTTGCCAGATTTGAAGAAAAAAATGTGACTTCAATTTCTTTCTATAAAATTGTAGAAATAATATTAATGTAATAAAATGTATATATAAAAATAACATTATTTATAACTTATATTTTAATTTTTTCTAGAAAGCGAAGAAGATGTTCTTCGGCATAATCCAGAAATAGCTCAAGTTTTTGGTATTGCTCTAAAATACATTCCATTTATTCTGATATTGCTTTCAAAAGCCATTTTCGATCATATTCCAGGTAAAGTTTCTTATTTTAAAATATTTTGAAAGCATAACTAAAAGACAATTTTGGCCTCAAGGTTCGACTAACGAACGTGCTTGTATATATTTTGTGTTTTTAGCTATACTACTCTTCTTGGTGCTCTTTGTGTCTTTCCGGTACTTCAATAACGTTGTAAAGCGCGAAGTAGCCAAGCAATCTCAACGTAGCATTGGATTTCTACTTTTTGCTATATGTCATATGATTATGTCGGTGTTTTTGTTCTACTATTTCTACAGTGACATGAATTTACATTTTGGGTAAGAACATATTTTTTAACATTATAAACAAGCTGAGGTAGCTAAGTGGGTAAGACAGGTGGCTCCGTTTACTGGGCGATGAGCCATGTAGTGAAAAGGTTCCACCATACACCTTTTCTTTCGAAGATTGACTAGAAACAACTCTTAGAAACCTTCTTGGAGAAAGGAGTTGTAGCAGTTAATGAGCTGTTAAATTACAACTACCTCAAAATACTAAAATAGAGAAACGTTATTATCATCTCTTTAGTTAGGCTGTTTTAAACCTTAGTGTTATATCCAAAGATTTCTTTAAACCAATTAGACTATTTTTTTTTTTTTTTAATTTTTGCGTGGTGTTAATATAATTGTATTATAATTTCAAAATGAACACGGCAGCAGTCCACAGTATTTTTATAAATTGTTAAGTATAATAAATATGGAACATAATAATTAATAAATTATACTTCTCATCTAAACATTATGTATTTGTATTATATAAAGCCAGCACTTTTGTTAGACTAGAGATGACCTATATTACATTCACAGATTATAAAGAAAAGGCGAAGTTAAATATTTATTAAATTAAACAATTAATATTGTGTTTTTTGACCTAGGTAGTTTTTTTATCAACCAAGTGCACATATTTCTTTTTGTTCACAGTCAAAATCCAAAATATAACCCATTATTGTATTTAAAAATAATTATATTTTAATTTTAAAATATGTTTTGAAAACATTTTTTTTAGTATTTAAAATTTATGCGGTTTGCCAAAAATAGGTTTATATCCTAAACTTAACATACAGTTTGTAATATCATGTACATTTTTTAAAAAAATACGGCCTGTTCCTTCAATCATCACCTACCATTCGTTCGAGTACCATGGTTACAAACAAAGTGTTTATTTTGGGTTAGCAACAAAAAATATTTCTTATTTAAAATACAAAATTCGTGTTTGAGTCCACCCTTAGGGGTGGAATTTTCAAAAAGTTCTATGCCAGTTATCTTCACGGGAGTGTACTCAACAACTTCCCAAAGTTTCATAGCGATCGGATGAATGGTGTACTAATGTATAAAGGACAAACAAACATACATTAATTTTTATACATAAAGAAGATTATAGAATCTATTATAATATAATATATAATATTACAAGGTATATTCCTTAATATAAAATATCAAATCAAATATATTCCACCATCGCACAAAGCAATAGAATGCTTTGTGGAAAAAAGCAATAGAAAGACTGCTTATAATGAAACAAAGCTATTACATATTAAACTAATTCAAATAATGTATTTTTTTTTTTTAGGTTAATATTCATTCCTCCTTACATACAACCTTTAACGATAAGTAATTTGCTATGGTCTATAGCCGTAGATGATTACATCTTAAAACTAATTACAATAATCTTCAAAATAATCATAATCATGTTACCTATAAAGTTTTTGCCAATTATAAAAAGAGTGAGTATATTTATTAATCCAAATATACTTTATAATAATTACAGTAATTTTCATTACATAATTAATAATGATATAATTGATGATTTAGGGAAAAGTTTACTTGTTTATCGAAGCTACATCTCAGTTATATCGATGCTGTGTGCCGATTCAGCCTTGGCTGTATTATTTATTAGAATCGTATCAGGGTCCAAAAAAAGTTGTCGGAGTTTTTTTATCAGCTGCTTACATGGTATCAAAAGGAACTGATTTAATGGGTTGTGTGAAATTATGGTGGACGGCTTCATATAAATTACTTCAGAACGTCGTAAGTAAACTAAAATAAATTCTGTCTGCTTCATTTGTCCAGTTTGTTCTGAATGGTTTCACTGTGCATAGATAAAAAACAAGTTATAATAGGTTATATATTAATTTAAACCTGTGTTTGGAAAGAACAAATTTTTTTTTAATAAATGAATGTGTAAGAACCTATGTTCAGATACTTGGCTCGTTCATTTAACATTCATTCTCATGGTGAAAAAACAGTTTAACTTTGTCAAAACATTTTTTAAAAATATTTTTGTAAATTGAGAATGTTTCGAAATGTTGTTGTATAGTTGGAAATATTGTAACAACATTTTTAAACCTTAACCAAATTTGCATATTTCTATTTCTTTTTATTATTGATATTAATGTAAGATATTTCTTTATTATCAATAATATTATTTTGTTACCATTTAAGCCTAACAATTACAAGTATAAAAGTGTACTTAATAATTTACTTAATCAATTTTTCTAAATAAAAAAAATGAACTAAACAATTTCAAAAATTTTTACGAATAAATGTGGAGCAACACTTGTTAGTTTATTTTGACATTGGTTAAGAATGCAAAAAAGTTTTTCCTATTAGTGAATTTTCTAAACTCTGCTTAAAACTAAGTGGCTAAATGTAATTTATGTAAAATCTTAACATGACATTTTTATATTCAGTGTATGATAATTAAGTAATATTAATTTTTTGTATTTTTGTTTTAATTTATATTTGAATATATGTGTAAACAATTAATAACAAAATAAAAACAAATTTTTAGGCTCTAGGAACGGTTCCTAGCAAGGATCAACTAACCACTGCAGGCAAGAACTGTCCAATTTGTCACGATGAGTACGCAACACCTGTGTTGTTACAGTGCCACCATATATTTTGCGAAGGTTGTGTCGCTAAATGGTTTGACCGTGAACAAACATGCCCTTTGTGTCGAGCTAAACTCGTCGATGATCCAGCCTGGCGAGATGGATCGACCACTAACTTTATACAGCTTTTTTAATACTCTCTAATATATTATTTTAAGCTTACTTACCTTTTTTTTTCTTTATTGATGTATTTTTACTATCAATAATATTTTTACATGTGTTACATGTTATGTGTTGATTACTATTACATTTTTTTTTTTTAATTTTATTGTTAATAATTCTTTGTGGACCTCGAGATCGTAGAAGTGATGTTAGTCATTCAATTTTTTTGTATTTTATTTTATTGTTAACACATACAAATATTTGTCTGTGATAGATATTTATTATAATCATTATAATTTGAGGATATAAACGCAAATTCTTTTGTTAAGCCTTAAATGTATGCAAGTAAGTTCTTATTTATAAAAGTATCCATATTTTAACTTAATTAGGCAAAAAAAAAAGGTTCAATAATCTTTATCTGACTTGCCATTGTTATACTGTATGATTTTCTATTGATATCTTATTCATATTAATTATAAAAGTTACCCGAGAAATAAAATGTATAAATGAGCTATCGTGTTAGTTTAATGATAGAAATTTTAAACGATTGTTTGCTAATTATTGTCTCAATTTAATAACAGCTTATTGTTATAATTTGGTGTTACATTACATAGTATGACAAAAAATAGTTTTGTAATCTGTTTTCCAGTGTTGTACATTCATGTTTGATGACTGCCTAGAGGTGTCAAACCACTATATTTTAAAATAATTTTAGATATATACACACCCACTACATGGTTCTATACATTTTCTTGGAAAATAATTAACTTTTTGTTGGTTTTCTTTTTGAAAACATTTTTGTTTATACTGTTTTACAATATTATAAATTTAATAAGTACTGTCAACTTAAGTAACTTAGATGGTAACATATATATTTATTGATTGACTTTATGAAATAATAATAATTTGCTAACTTTTTAACTGAAAGTTAATGCTGTTCAAAATACCTACATTTTTAGATTTTATTTTTTTAATGACAGATTTGTTAAGTACGACCAATTTAACAACCCTAATTGAAGCTTACAGTATTTTGAATATAGTTTATAATTAACTTCCCCCCCCCTTAAATTTTCACTAATCACACTCATCCACAAACAATAGACTAAAGATGACAATAAGTCCAATTTAATGCTGCAATAGGGTTTTTCGAGTGCTAGTATCTAAGTATAAATCTGATGGTACTATACTTAAGTCTTTTATTGTATGAACTCTGCACTATTTTGTCATGGTTGTTCGCAATAGCTAAACATAATTTTTTAATTTATCACACGTTCTTGAGTAGCAAAATTAACGACATACGCAGGTATTTCACATTTCATTATACATAAAGTCGTTTTTTTATGGCTTCTGTGAGATAAAATGTGTTTTTTTTTTTTGGTTACAAAGAACAGTTAGATGTTTTGTATGTCCAAGTGAGAGGATGTCGCGTGTCCTGTGCATTTATCTATGTATTCACTATTCAGTATCGACCACATGGCCTCGCAAAGGACAATGATCACAAATTGAACACGTTTCATTCGAATGTCTAATACTGTGATCGTTGTTATCACGTGTCGTAGGTTATGATGTCCGAACTGTAACTTTTAATCAACAAAACAAACTGTTATCCCAACTTTGTTACCTATACATCTGAATTTGTCATTCGGTAGACGTCTAACCTGGTCTAATTTAGGTCATAACTCATAAAAATACAATTAAAAAAAAAAAAAATATATGCGAATTTCGTCGATAGGTAATTTTTATAATTTTGAAATTATTACCAAATTATACTTATTTGGTAGCTTAGGTACTTTGCTGACATCGAAGAATAATGGCACATTAATTTTTGCAATAATGTAATACAAAACGGAAGTGGGCAAAATTGGTTGTTATTTTGGAGGTTTTCAAAGAAAGTGATGGATTTTTATAGTGCTATAGGTTTTTCCCGTATATAATTTCTAATCGGTACCTAGATTTATAAATAAAATAATTGGCCAAGCGCCTATAGAGATATCCAAGAACTATCTAGAAAATTTGATTTCCTACTAAGCGCAGTTGTGAAAATTAAATTTTTAGTTTTTTTTATTACATTATAGTCCAAAATGTCGACTACTTAGGATGGTCCGTTTATAATTATGTACAAGATATACGAGTTATTTGGCTACTTTACTGGTCATACAGGAAATGGATTTTTGATTTTTAATACTGAAAATGTTCAAATTTAATTTATTTAATTAAAAAAAAACTGAATTTTTTTCAATGAAAATCGAGTTCCTACATAACCTAGCAAAATAGTCAAACTAGAATCTCTTTACAGAATTTAAATAGGATCTAAAGTAGGCGTAATTTTTTCAGGCTTTTTGGTCTAAAATGGCATTTACTCATTGAAAAAACTTTACAAGGTAATCTGTTAATAAGCTGTCAAAATGGTCACATGGTCGAAATTGATTAAAACGTTGTTTTCTTAAATATTGCCTATATGAAACTTCTTAAAACCTGTCTGCATGCAATCATCTTAATGGAATACAAAAAAAATATGACTTTTGTATTTAAATAAAGCATACAAAAATCAAAATATAATATATGTCTATGCCCTACAGTAATGGAATCGCCTAATAGTCTCGATCGAAGTTGGAAACTTTTCGTCGCAAAATATTTAGATCGGCTGTAAATTACAACAAAATATATTTTTTGTGGTTGCTTATTTAGAATTTACACCAAGGATCGAATTTAGTAATTAATTTTCATTGTAAAACTATTCTGGAGAACCTTTTATTATTATTAAAAAACAAAAAATTATAAAAACGTATTGAATACAAGTTTTTAGATACAACTTTTGTTTTTAAGAACTTATCCCAGTCCTCGGGTATAATCTAATTGGAGTATCTACAATTATTAAAAATCGTCTTTCCACTTACTACACACGCTGTGGTACTATTGAAAAATGGACGTTTTCTTTGAAAAAATATTATGAACACACTATTGCAATAGGAAGTAAGCGATACCTATCGATAGACTATACACACCGTAAAACGCAGTATACGGTTATTATTACACTACAGTGGTACGAGTAGTATACAAATGTTAATTGTGAATATTGTTTTTTTTTTTTTAAACAAATCTGCCTTTTGTTGAAGGGTCGCTGTACATAGAATTTGTAGTACGACAGTGCGAGAAACCGATGGGATGCAGTGTGCATCCGGCATGTATAGCTGTTGCTTGCTATTGTTTTAGGATAACATAACGCGAGTATAAAACCACAAGTGTTCGTATTGTGGTAGGCCGGTATGGGAAGTATAGACGCTCGCCTAGCCCACAACACAAAGACAAAGATAAACGCAACGATGACTGACATTGAATTGCGGTGTACACCTCGTTTCGACACTTATTACAAAGGTGCAATTAAGGGATTATGGTTTCCCACAGACCAAGACAAAACATCCCCGGGTACTCCTATAATACCTACAGGATAATGCTGCGTATTTAAAAGTGAATTTATAAGTCTAGACTCCTTCATTTAGCTGCACACTTGTTGAACTACCTACGATGACGAAAATTGACAATACCCGAATGGATGAATATCGAGAAAAACTAATCTCTAGATTGAATAATCTCGGGACGAGAAGTCAATTGAAATAAATTGTATTCGAATGAAAAATTTAAAATTGCATCTGCCTTATTTGGATTATCGTACCAACACGTTTTTAAAAATATACTGTGATATAATAAAATCATTATTATACTACTTAAGACGAATTTACAACGAGTCCGTGTCCTTTAAATAGACTACTTGGGTTTGCTCCTTAATTTATTCTTACTGGCTACAATTTATACACGGTGCTGTTCAGTCGGTCGTTCGAATTGAAAGCGAGCTGTTTTTAAGGAGTTTTATATAGGCAATATTAAGGGGAAAAGTTAATAAATTTCGACCATGTCAATTTATTTTCAGGTTAATTTGTATAAGCTTCAGGGTATAAATTATAGTTTTTAACTTATATAATTTTTTCAATGATTAAAAGACATTTTATTCATACAAGGAACCAATTTAGATCTAAAGGCAAGACAAATTAACGCCCTTATAATGATCGGATTTTAACTCTGTACAAATATTTGAGCTCATCTATCTTTTATCCAGGTTATTGTGGAAGTCGATATTTGAGTAACTGTTTATAATTAAAATAACAAGGTAGTTAAAACTAAACATTTAAAAGATTTGAGAAATCGAAATAGATTTATACATATGAGAACTTAGACTTGAGACTTTAAGTCCGTGTATTGAAGAAAATTATCCAGACATCATAACCTAATGAAAATTGGGCGTTTATGCAAAAGTATAGTATATTTACTTATAAAAAAATACATCTCGTTACAACTTTATGTACTCATAAATTACAAATACATTATTATACAAAATACAATATATATTTAATTGGTAATTTATTAATATAATATAATTGATACTTATAACTTGTTGTTACTTTTTACTCATCTTTAATCTAAGTACAGTTTTGTGTATTGTAATTGGCGATTGGAGTGTGACGTTGTTTAGTTTAGCTTGAACTTATTTTATTATTTGATAGTTTACTGAGAAATCTGTACGTACTATAATTAGTAAATTTATGTGTAATTAGCACTGAACTGTGCCGAAACTGTGTTTACAGGTTGGGAGCTGAGCCTGTAGGGCGTCCACGCTGTTTTAATTATATTCTTACCCGACTGCTTAAAACAAATACAATCGACTCCGACCGTTTTGTGTCGTTTTTCGTGTAATTATACATAGGTACCAAATCAAATAATAATACAGCTAGTCCACACCGAATAAATCGGTTGTATTCCCGTTATGTCCGACTTCCTCCGGTCGATATCAACGCGTTCCCGGGTTTCTTGTACATGATTATACTGGGTACTTGGTAGAAATTTGTAAATACAAAATATTATTCAACCGGAGGAAATCACCCCGTGCGCTGGTTACTTATAAATACCGAATAGAGGACTTTGTGCTTGTACATAATGAGGCAATGAGCACCGGATGTCTGCACTGTGCGCCGATACGTTCTCTCGGCGGCACGCATTAGCATTAATGCACTTGATATAACCAAAACACGCACTAAAATATAAATAAATATATATATATATAGTATGTATTTACTTCTACAGAATATGTAGGTACCCTATGTAAAGAGTGTTTTTTTTTAGCTTGACGTAAAAAATTACCATAGCTATAGATAGACTCCATTGATCGGGTAATCGGCCGTGTGTGTGTGGTTTTTTTTTTCAAGTGCGCCTTAAAACATAAAAACGACCGCGAAAAAAAATCACCTTTTTGGTATTTGACTAAAACCATTATACCCCTATTTATAACAACACTATTAATAATAATAATAAAACCTTGTTGTTAATACTCACAGAAAGATGTACTTACTACTTTTAAGTGAGCGTATACTATCCCAGGGATCGGGGTGTTTCATCTCGGGATCGATCAGTCTCTTAACAACACGAGCTAGAACACAAATTATAACGTGTGCTAATAGGCGTGTGTCTGGCTATTTGGTTTGATGTATAGTGTATTTTTTAGAAAAAATTATATGTATATATTTCAATTATACACCAATCATTATTATTTACATTAAAATGTATCGTTGTGCCGATATTAAATAAGTCATAGAAATAGACTAACGAATGTATTAACATAAAATATTATAACGGATACATAATATGTGGGCTTTTGTTAATTGTTAACCCCCGGCTAGGTCTAACCCAGACAAAACTGGTTTAACTAGCATTTTATAAGATGCTACAGCCGAGTAAAGCTCGGTCTCCCGACTCCCGGAACTAATTTGTATTTGTTGTTTAAATAAGACCAAGGTTGAATCTATACCTATTGAACAAAAAAAAAAATTAATTTACTTATATAATCAGCATAATCTTAGAAAAATAGAATAATACTTTTGATCATTATTTATTTAATTTGATTATTTGAACTTTTGTTTAAATATTTCTATTTTAATAATTTTTTCCATTGTTATTTTAGTTACAAATTATATCGAGCTACAATTAAAAATGTATTCAAATAATTTTTTTTATTAATTCGTCGATAAAAATGTGTTATTATTGTAAGTTTTTATTTTTAACATTTATTTGAAGACGTATTTAAATCATTTCCAGGTTGGCTAAATTAATTTATTTTTATTAATAATTGTTATTTGTAATAATATTGAATTTTTACCCAACAACGGAGTTGGAAGATTCGTAGAAAATAGTTAATACTTTATTATTAAAACTCCACCAATTATTGCAGTAATTTTATAGATATATTATAAGTAAACAAATTATTTACATAAAGACAATTGCTTTTTTGTTAATTAGAACGTTTATTAATTATAAACATTTGACATTTCATTCTTTCATACTTACATTATAAATACTGTGCGAGGTTAATAATAATAATGGCGTATCCACCATATGCATGTATATTTATGGGACTTTAATCAAACACAATTAAATTCACCCTTAATTGCAATCACTCAGCTATGGAAAACGTGTTACTGTTTATATTTGCTACTTGCTAGAACCTTTAGTTTTTTTTTATATATTCCTACAGACCAATTAGTGAAATTATGTGTTTTAATGAAACAATAAGCATAAAATAAATAATAATAGGTATCATTAGCGTTTTAAATTAATTAATAATTAACAAAGTTTTAAAAGTGAGGTTTCGTGAAGTGAGTAGAATATATTCATAAAGTATTTTTTTTTCAAACGTTCTGTAATATTTTATATTACCTAATCATCGACACCGACAGAGCACAGTGTTTTATTTTAATTAACATCAAAATTAACTGCAATACTTTTATTCCTAATATGTTAGTTTTTTATGTAACCGGGAATCTAATAAGCGTACTATTTTTACTAAATACTTAATATCTACTCTTTTTTTACATTCCAAAAAATAAATTGAATTAACAATGTTATTTGAAACGAGCCTTTAAAATTAAGAAAAATGTATTGTACATATATTTTTTGAAAACTGCAAATTGTATAAAAATAACATGTGTTATTACGGTATTCGTTAGCCACAGGTCTTGCCATCTGCTTTAATACTTAGCAGTGGTTACTATGTACACCGTACAAATTACAATATGTTTTTAAACATATAATATTTAGAGTTAAAGCCATCGTTTTTGATCAACTGTAGAAAATGTCTTACTGTATGTTTTTATTTAAAATGTTAAATATTTTTACTTGTTAAAAACCCTTGGTAGGTATAATAACCAAAAATGAACACCGTACAAATTCAATTAATTATTAAAAATAAAAACTAAAACAATAAATGAAACTTTTTATTTATTTAAACAAATACTAATGAATAATAATTTTAAGTACACCATCTTTTGAACGAATAATAAATTACCAGGTTTAATTACAACTTTCTTGATAAAATATAAACCATATGCATCAGATTAGTGATCAGTATGTATTTGTGGTACACCTTTTTGAATTTTACATGTTAATATTATTGCACTAATAAACGGTTTTACACGTCATTGTATAATTACTTGTTACGAATAAAAAAATTAATACGATTACTATTATTAATTACTATTAATTTTAATATTTAAAAACAAAGAATAAAACATTTATATACTCTAAACAATGTAATAAAAAAAAAATCGATTTCTGATAACATATTTTTAAAATCCAACCCCGTTACTGTTCAATAGTACTTATTCCGCTTAAACCTTTTCCGACCTAGAGTAAAAGCGTCACTATTTTATTTTTTCAAGCAAATAAACTTATATATTATTGTTAAATATTTAAGTAATAGAAATATCCGAGGCCTGCATACTTATCTGAAAGTGTTTTAAGTCAAAGGGCAGCCGTGTGGTTTTCCTCCTGCAGCGTTTCTGTTTATATGCGCACGTATATATATTATGTTTATTATACGTATGTGCATTAGCGTATATTCAGTCTCCACATTTTTTTTTTTTTTATATACGTCGGCGAAGGGTATACAAAATAATAATAATACTTTTTCTCTCTCTCTCTCTAAAAACAGCATCCACCACCATACATCATCATCTCTATATTATATTGTACGTACATGTATAACCGAACGGACCAGACACTCGACAACAGTTAACCGGAACACGTCGCCACGGCCGAGTTCAAGGTTAAAGTGTTTTTTTTTTACCACATGGCCAATGCCTACTTATTTCTCCATCCTCTCCGTTCTCCTCCCGTCGTCGTTAAAAAAATCTATTTTTTAGACTTTCGCTTCTGTTGCCGTTAGATTCGTCGCTGTTGTTGTTTTCCCCTCCTCGAGCGGCTCGGTCGGATTTTTTCGTTCTTTGTACACCGGTGTCGTCTGCCTACGCCTATTTTGTCTGTTGAAAAAAACGCATCTCGAAAAGAAATTAAAAGAACCTTGAAACCGCAGTGCAGCTCGGCGATCGGTCCTGTCCGTTAGCCGAAGGTTTCTGCGGTACAACAGTCGAGACCATAATATTATTTTCTTTCATACACGGCTCGGTTGCCAAGACCTTGGCCATCACCTTGACACTGAACTCTAGTTTCTCGTCTAGTCGCCGTCTGTAACGGTACACATATTATAGTTTTACAACATACGGTTGTATAATAAATAGTAACTGCCTACAAAGTGTACAAACACCGTATACACATTAATAAATAATATATTATATATTTATGAATTATGATTATAGAAACAAATCGTCGTAGAGTTTTTTTTATTCGTTTCTCTATGCTGATAGTTAAAGACAATTTTAAATGCAGTACATTTTAAGCGGTATATTTATTTTGTTATATAAATACATGTTCATAGATAATTTTTTTTTTACACTTGAACACGCTGTGTTCATTCCATACATGATGTTTTATACTATAGTAGTTTTTAACGGTATATACATAGCTAATTTTTATGTCATTTGTTCAAAACTAAGAGGCGTTTATAATTTTACTTGTTCATAGTTTTTTTTTAGTAAATCTAATTTATTGATTACTAGCTAAAATTCTACTTTTTAAACCCTTTAAAAATTAGTAAACTTTCCATAAAAAAAAAATATTGAGATCCGTCCAATAGAATAGCCAAAAAAGAATAGATATAGATAAAGAATAGAATAGATGCCAAAAAGTGACCTCTACAGTATAGAAAAAATAATTTTTGTCAAACTAAATTTTTATCATACCATAGAAAAAAAATAGCTTATAAAGATTGGAAAAACATAATATTCATTCGGCCTAAAATTATTTGACGTAAGGAATCTAGATCAATCGTTTTAAATATTGCCTACCTTTTGCCCTTTATGGAATGTCCGTTACCGTTATAATTAAACATTGAACCGTATCTTTTACAATAATTCCGACCAAAGTTTTAGAGGACATATTGTAATGATATATGCAAAATGGTTAAATGCATTTGTACTAGTACTATTGGTTATTACCAATATTTTTAATATTCTGAGCACATTAAATGTGTGTTTATTTATTAATAATTTGGGTTGACTCTTATGATTACAAAAATAAATACATAGTACGTAAAATATGTTTTATCAATAAATATTTTCATTTGACTTAAATAAAAAGTTATTACTTTTTTGGTTTTTTTATACGGAAATTCACAATGAAATATCAAATAACAATTGTTTTTAAGTTAATTATAGTTTTTTTTAGATTTTGTATTATATATATTAGTCTAGTAGTTGTTTACATTATTAATTAAAGCTATTTTAAGAAATTCGATGGTTATTTTGTTTTATCTTTTATGCGAAATTGAGAAGTTTTTAAATTTTGAAAGCATGAATTTTATCTCCCAATTAAAGTTACAACTTTCGTGACATTTCGGGCGGGTACAGTAAGTGCTGGAAAAAATACACGGCACTGTTTACAATAACCTTTTTCTATCATATAAGGGATATAAATAATATGTGTAACGTTTTGTTGTTTTAAGTCTGCATTATACTCGAGCACGGTTTATAGGTACACAGGGCCTTAATAATCGGACTTTTGCAAAAGCTGCGCTATCCGTCTTGCGACCATTAGGTATATTCAATATTAAACTGTTCGGTACTTAGTTTGTTTTTGAATTTTGGATCCTGTCGCGCGGTTTTATTCACCCTCCGAAAATGCGGACGTCGTCGTGTACAATAAGCAATAATATTATTTATGAGACGGCATAGCGCATCGTGGTGTTTATCCTAAATTGAATAATTGAACGCCCGCATAATGTAACCAATTGTAATTTTGTCCTTGTTAACAGTGGCATTGAACGCGTTGTCGGCGGTCTTAGGGTTACGGCGAAATAGCCTAATAACGAAGGGACAGCGCGGGATAGGAAGGTGATAATTTGTCCGGATGGCGAGCACAAAGTGAACCATGTGTAAGCACTGAGAAATACACGTTAAATACTGTAGCTCCGTTAAAGGTTCAAAGGTCGCAGGATTAAAACGTTTATAATAGAAATAAATCCTAAATAACATTGCACCGGTGACCAGAGCCGAGCAAT